AATCTGTACGGGTAGCCTTTGGCCCCGATCTGGAAACAACGATCCCCACACGCGACCGATCGCCAGAACCTTTGTCCAGCCACCGCCGCTCTCGTACGACCGTGAAACAGACACCGCCGGCGTTGGCACCCCCACCCATGCGGCCCACGAGTTCCTCAGGAGATAGTGTGGCGGTCATAGATTCTCCACCTCGGAGGCCGTCGCCTCGCAGATCAGAAAGCAGCCGGCCAGCGCTGTTGAAGAGAGCCAAAAGTGACTATGGGCCGAGCCGGATCACCTTTGACAAACCCGCTGTAGTCGATGAAGATGAAGATTTTGCTATGCGACACGGATGGCAGGAGGAGTACACTTCGAGTGAATATCTCAAGGTTTTGCATTCGGTAAGCCCTTGCCTCCTTCACCTTTGTGGTTTAAAACAGCTAACCGAGATTTATTGACTTAGAACTTCTACATGTATTTCACGGAGAAACGACATGAGACAAATGGTATCCCCAGGGACCCCGTTGGAAGCTGGCCCAGTCAGGATTGGCGCATGAAAGATCGGCTCAAAACAGTTTCTGCGGCCTTGGCTATCTGTTTGAACATTGGCGTCGATCCTCCCGATGTGGTCAAGACGAATCCAGCAGCCAAGCTCGAATGTTGGGTAGACCCTACCTCGACCACGGGCGGCGGTCAGAATAAGATCATGGAGCAGATTGGGAAGAAGCTGCAGGAACAATACGAGACCCTTAGTCTGCGGACAAGGTACAAGCAGTACCTGGACCCGTCCGTTGACGAGACAAAGAAGTTCTGCATATCGCTACGCCGTAATGCCAAGGATGAGCGAGTTTTGCTACACTACAACGGCCATGGTGTTCCGCTGCCTACCCAATCCGGCGAGATCTGGGTCTTCAATAAGAACTACACCCAGTACATCCCCGTTCCATTATACGATCTGCAGTCATGGCTCGCCGGGCCCAGTCTCTTCGTCTTTGATGTCTCACATGCGGGCAATATCGTCCAGAACTTCCATACGTTTGTGGAGAAGCATGAGAAAGAGAACCTCGAGACCAAGAAACGGGACCCTAATGCCACCGTCCAAAACTACGGCGACTGCATCCTTCTTGCCGCCTGCCAAAAGAACGAATCGCTCCCGACCAACCCTGACCTACCCGCCGATCTCTTCACCTGCTGCTTGACGACCCCGATAGAAATTGCGCTGCGCTTCTTCATCCTACAGAATCCTCTCCGAACTGACATCTCAATCGACGATTTTAGAGTCCCTGGCCGTCTGCAAGATCGACGGAGCCCTCTGGGAGAGCTGAATTGGATCTTTACTGCCATCACTGATACTATTGCTTGGAACACATTACCTCGGACTTTGTTTAAGAAGCTTTTCCGGCAAGATTTGATGGTTGCCGCCCTATTCCGCAACTTTTTGCTTAGCGAGCGAATCATGCGCACCTATAAATGCCATCCGATCTCTTCCCCCGAACTCCCAGAGACCCACCACCACCCACTCTGGAAGAGCTGGGATCTCGCTGTTGAGATGGTTTTGTCTCAGCTGCCTGCTTTGATCGATCACGAGGAAGGTCGCCGGCAGTATGAGTATCAGCACTCTACGTTCTTTGCCGAACAGCTCACAGCCTTTGAGGTGTATCTTTCGTCCGGTCCAACGGAGAAGAACCCGCCAGACCAGTTGCCCATTGTGCTGCAGGTTCTCCTGAGCCAGGCACATCGGTTGCGGGCCTTGATTCTTCTTAGCAAGTTCCTGGACCTGGGACCGTGGGCTGTTCATCTTGCCCTGAGTATCGGCATCTTCCCTTATGTCGTCAAACTGCTGCAGTCAGCTGCGCAAGAGTTGAAGCCGGTCATGGTCTTTATCTGGGCCAGGATCATGGCGGTCGACCACACGGTTCAAAATGACCTTCTCAAGGATAACGGTATCCACTACTTTATATCCATTTTGAACCCATCATCTCCCATCCCTGTTGGGAATGCCAGCGAGCACCGAGCTATGTGTGCATTCATCGTCTCTATCTTCTGCAAAAACTACCCCCAGGGGCAAAATGTCTGTCTGTCTGGGGAGCTGTTTGACTCATGCTTGAGACATCTTGGCGACGTCGAAAACCCTCTGCTGCGGCAGTGGTCATGTCTATGCCTCAGCATGCTCTGGTGTGACTTCCCAGAAGCAAAGTGGATGGGTATTCGATGTGCAGCTACTGCTAGACTGTGCGAGCTGAACTTCGATCCTGTGCCCGAAGTTCGCGCTGCAATGCTTCATGCAGTGACTACTTTTTTGGGTATTCCGGACTTGACGGACCAGGTGGCGCAGATTGAGGAATCTTTGGCCCTGGCCGTCTTGCCCATGTCGGCCGATGGAAGCGTTCTCGTGCGCAAGGAGCTGATTGTTTTCTTGTCCACGTTTGTCAAGCGCCACCAGAACAAGTTCCTGGTAGCAGCATACGAGGAGCTTCAGGAGGAGAAGCAATCTTTGCTTCGTCGTTTCGAGAATGAGAGCTCTCAGACCGGCGGCCCACATAGTCCAACGGTTTCCGAAGCCAAGCCGCACCAGTTGTCTCGAAACACTACGTTCGGAGCCATCTGGAAACAACTGCTAGTTATTTCGGTGGATCCCCATCCTGATATTGCCCAGGACGCGGGTGTCATTGTCGACTTCATCCATATGACCCTTCTAGAGTCACCCATGTCGCAGCTTACAGACAAAATCAGGATTGAAATCCTGGAACTCACGAGCCGCATGTCACCAAAGCTGAACGTGCTCGAACGCTCCGAGGTGAATAAAACTGTCCCTCCTTCGACTCCCCCGTCAAATGCCACGGCTGTCGCCAAGCAAGAGGGTTATTTGTCCCTGGGTTTCAGACGCACGGCTAGTGTGGCTGCTTCGCTCAAGAATCTCGCATTCGGTCCTTCGGCACCGACAGACTCGCCGTCAGACAGCCAGCCTCCCTCGCCGACTCAGAACCGGACACCCATCACCCCGCGCGGCCGAGCGCCCATTGAATGGTCCCGGCCTCCTGAGGTTAATGACCACGTTGCTCCCGCAACATCATACCACCAAGCTCCGATGCCAACATCCCGTGGCTTTCAGTCCAGAGAGTCGGCTGGGATACCTGCAATCCCGCTGAAGAGTAGGTTTTTGGATTGGTCCACAGAGTACTTCCGTGAACCGCAGATGAAGCCCAATGAACCGGATGAGCCTGGCAGTTCCGATTACAATGAGCGTCTCTGGAGGCGCGGCCGGAACGAGAAGATCATTGCCGAAACCCAGCCCTTGAAAAGCAAGGCCGGTACAAGTCGATGGGACAACTCAATTACGTTGCTGTCGAACAGCAGTCAGCCCCTCAAGATGTGTTTCCATCAATTCGAAGATCACCTCGCTGTCGCAGACGACCGGGATACTATTGCGATTTGGGATTGGCAAAGCCACAAACGCCTCAATCATTTTTCAAATGGTAACCCGGCTGGATCGAAGATTAACGAAATTCGATACATCAACGAGGACGACCAGGCTCTGTTGATGACTGGCTCCTCTGACGGTGTTCTCAAGCTCTACCGGAACTATGAGACTGCCAAGGGCATTGAGGTTGTCACAGCCTTCCGAGCCTTGCCAGACTTAATTCCGAGCAATCGAAATGCGGGACTTGTGTTTGATTGGCAGCAGGGTCAAGGCAAAGCTCTCGTTGCGGGCGATGTAAAGGTGATTCGTGTTTGGAATGCAGCTACCGAAGTCTGCACCAACGACATCCCCGCCCGCTCCGGCTCCTGTATCACCTCCTTGACCTCAGATCAAGTCGCTGGCAACATCTTTGTCGCTGGCTTCGGCGACGGCGCCGTTCGAGTGTTCGACCAGCGACTGAAACCAACCACATCCATGGTCAAGGTTTGGCGCGAGCACAAGCAGTGGATCACAAATGTCCACATGCAGCGCGGCGGCTTGCGGGAGCTGATCTCAGGCAGTCGGAACGGCGAAATCCGACTGTGGGATCTGAGAATGGACGACCCGCTCTCCACAATCTACGCCACGAAGGATACTCTCCGGACATTGAGCGTGCACGAACACGCCCCTGTCTTCAGCATGGGCACGAACCGCCACGAGGTCAAGACTTTTAACGTGGACGGCAGCTATCTCTCCACCTTCGAGCCTTATTCGAGTTTCCTCCACCACAACCGTTCCTCTCCCATCGCCAGCACGGCCTTCCATCCACATCGCACTGTTCTTGCATGTGCTGCATTGAACGACCACCACATCAACCTCGTGTCTTGCTAGACATAGTTCCACTAGGGCTTTGGCTTTGCTGTGCGACTCCCACGGAGTGCCACCATTTTCCAGCCCTCTAATTTCTTTAATCTACCTTCCCTTGTGTAATATGCATCTGCATACGGAATGGACAATCTATCCGGCGTCTTGGCGAATAATGTGGTCGATCCTATCTACATGGTTTTTGTCTTTTGATCTTTGGTTCTCTTCGGAGTCCGTGTTTTTACTCTTCGTTGCACCGTTAACTATTCCTTTCTTACTGAGTGTCAATGATCCTGGTACACGATGACTTCTTGCTCTCAGTCTGCTTGGTCTTCCGACTATTTCGTTTTCTCTCGGGATCTGTCATCCACCGTGTCGAGTTCTCCCCATGTTTTCAAGCCTGCGAGTTTGAAATTGCTTCAAGAGCCCTCTGTGCTTTGGGATACTCTTTTTGTTCTCACGGACTTGGTAATAAGTCTGTTCTTATATTCGCTTTCCCTTTCTCTTGTTAATGATTCGACATAACCGCAATAATACTGTCTATACATATCTTCGAGAGGCCAGGCAAAGGGCCGAAATTCCCCGACTAATAAGCGCGATGGAAGAAAGGGGGCATCGGGGGGCCGCTAAGAAAATTACCCGGAGTCGGAGTCAATAAGCGGTCCGAGTCGTCTAGAAATTCTCTTGCATAAATAAGTGACCATGCTTCCTACTAGTTACCAGCGGCTCGAGTCATCACAGACCATTAACACCTAATATGGCTGTGTCTGCAGCAAACTCACGTCTCAAGGTACTTGTCATAGGCGCCGGGCCTGCTGGTCTTTGCACGGCCACGGCCTTGAAACAAGAGGGCCACAGCGTCACCGTTCTCGAACGACGGCGAGACACGCAACCCCTTGGCCACGCTCTGGTAATCCAGCCCGCGGCGGTCAGGGCACTCCAGCACCTCAAGGGAGCGCACAAGGCCCTCACCAGTGTCAGCGTTGACGCAGGGGCGCTACGGTGGTGGTCGTATAAGGATACCAAGCCCTTTGCAGCTGAAAGGTCGTCCCGTGCGGAACGGAGATTCCAAACTGACCGGCCCTCAGTACAAAAAGTACTACATGAGCTTGCAGTTGCCAATGGTGTCCAGCTTCTTTTCGGGAGAACTGTGCAAGCGGTGGAAGATGCCGCGGTGAAGCCAAGGCTTTGGACAGCCAATGGAGAAAAGTTTACCGCAGACCTAATTATAGCTGCGGATGGTATGTCTGCCTATAGAAGCTGTTGCAAATGGTGCTCACACCTAGTAATTTGATATAGGTATCAAATCTGCTACACGCAAAATGATCTTCCCAACACAGCGCGTCGATCCAATTCCATTAAGAGAGTCCATCTTCCTCACAAGTGTACCCGTGTCTCACCTCGCTCAAGACGATCGACTAGCAGCCTGGCTTGAACCGGCAACCAAGCATGGCACACTGGGGCCCGATCGGTTTGTTTTGAGCCGACCTATGCACGGTGGCCTCCTCGGGGTGCAGTTTATTGACGTTGATCATGCGGATCCGGGCCCGGTAGATGGCAACTGGAATACGCCAGCCGATGTTGGTTTACTTCGTATGCGATTTTCTGACTTTAATATAACAACGAGGGCGTTCTTGGAGCATGTTCGTCACGCTGAAAAATGGCAGATGGCTACGGGGGCAGAGCTGGATACGTGGCGGAGTGCAAGCGGGCGGATCGTGCTGCTCGGCGACGCAGCCCATGCCATGTTACCACACGCAGCCCAGGGGCTCAGCCAGGGGATCGAAGATGCCTTGAGTCTAGCCCGCATGCTGCGCTGGACGGCAAAATCGGGTTTTGATGTCCCCGCCGTCACGAAAGCGTGGGTCAACCTACGCAAACCGCGAGCGGACATCTTCGTGAAGCAGTCTACGAGCAACGCCAAAGTCTGGAGCCTGCCAGATGGGCCAGAACAGGAGGCAAGGGACGAGAAAATTAGGAGGATGGCAAGTCTCCCACCTCCGGACCTCGACGGGGTGGAAATGGACATGGCGGCGAATCAGAAGGCGCCGCAATTTCTCAAGTGGGCGAGGGATTATGATGTGGTACTAGAGGTACGTACTAGAACAGGGTGATCTGATACAGGGGGCGTCTTTCTTTACTGGCGATTATGCTAACGATTTATAACACATGCAGAGCGAAAGGGCGATGGAAAACGCCTTATCGGGCCAGTAGTGGAGATGCGACGCGTAGGCCTATTCCTACCGATTGTAGTATGTGGTATAACAATGATTCCCAATGCAGACCAGACAAATCCAGTGCCTCTATTCTAGAAAAGCTGGTTTTACTACTTAACAAATAAAGATCTAAAAACATTTCTAATACACGCTGAGAAACAATTCATGAGTGTTCATACAGTAATGTGTTTTCGACTTAGCTAGTCTGTCAAGGGTGCTTTTTCTGTAGCATTGCCTGGACGTCGGATCGTTTTACCGGCTTGATAAGGAACTCATCGATGCCAGAAGCAGCGGCCTCTTGCTCGGCAGCAGTGCCACCGAGTCCTGTCAAGGCGACGATGGTTACGGAGGGGAACGCCTCTCGAGCGGAATCTGACAACGAGGCTCGGTAATCTCTCTCAAAGGAGCGGATCCGGCGGGCGGCCTCGAAGCCATCTATGACGGGCATTGATATGTCTGGTTTTGTCAGGACCTGCAGCAAATGATAAACTATGGAAGAGACATAGCACAAACCTAGAATAATGACCCGCAAAGAGCCGGGATGTGCTTTGTAGATATCGATGGCTTCGGCCCCATTGCGAGCGGTCAAGTATTCGTAATTGCCCTTTTTAGTGAAGGCGCTCAGTAGTTGAAGATTCAGATCATTATCATCCACCAGTAAAACGGATGGACCCGAGTTATCTGGGTCTTCGTGCACTCCATCCGTAAGTGAGGTCGAATGTGCCCTGTTCTGAGGCGCTCCATCCTGGGTTCCCACCTCCGCCGACAGTCGACGATGCTCAGGTTCATAGGATCCCATTGTATCCGTGGTCGGTCGCTTGCTGATCTTCATCCTTCTGTCGGGAGGAACACTAGCTGGGAGATCGACTGGCAGACGAGAGGATTCCGGTAGTTCTACCCAGCGAGTCTGCTCGAAGGGGCTAGACCGACCGGACGAAGAATTGCGCTGTCGCTTGATACACAGATTCAGTGCTCGTGCCAGTTTGCGTGGCCCACAAGGTTGGCTGATGAACTCGAAGACGGGTGCCTCATCGCGGCTCTTGGTTGTTACAAACATGTGATGCGCTTCCTCAGGAGACTGGCAGATGACGACGATGGGTGAGCCGTTCCAATCTGCACCTTGACGATCTTTTCCGAGGGCGAAGAGGTCTCTTCCCTTTGTGTCTTCACAGTCCAGCTCTGTCTGTATGGCCAAGTAGAAGTCCAGGAGAAGGGGTTCACCTTGGTAGGACGACACGTTCGTCACAGACAGACCAAACCAGTGACGACACAATCGCTCCAGGGAGTCATACAAGGACTTATCTCGTTGAGATTCAAGGGATTCCCCGAAGCCCAAGAACCCAATCGTTTTCCCTTCGGTGTATTTTAATGTCGAGTGGAATTCCGAATTCGACGAAGCAATGTCTGTTGTACCGAGCGCACGCAGGAGCGGGGTCCGGATCGTTAATTCAGTGCCGACTCCCAGGGTAGAATTGATATCAATCGAGCCACCCAGGGATCCAACAGCTTGATGGACGATGCTGAGTCCCAATCCGCTCCCGGATACGAGTGAATCCTCCTGCATGAAGGGGGTGAAAAGGTTCTTTCGCAAATACTCCTTTCCAATTCCCTTGCCGGTGTCTTTGACAATAAGAGTGACCTCGAACTCAGCTCCTTGCTCCTCTGATGATTCTGAGATTAATCTTGTGTTGTTTTGAGAAGGGTTTTTCTCGGATGACTTCAGCCCCAGGTAAATGTAGCCTGACTTGGTATACTTCAGTGCATTACCAAGAACGTTCATCAGAATCCGGCGCCAGGCACCAGGGTGAGTGTTGAATTCCCACTCTGTATTGGGCTGGATGTCGAAAATGATGGTGACCTCGCCGGCCCGTGGACCAACCTGGTTGGACGAGCTCGTTTGACCGGCTGAGCGTGATGAGGAATCCGTCAAGGCGGGCGGCGGCATCTTGGGGTGGTTATAAAAGCTGTATCCTGCAAAAACGGACTCCGTGACCTCTTCGAGCACCGCATCCAACTTGATATTTGAATTTGAGGCCTTCTCATCGCGAGATTTACTTTGCTCGACACGCCCTTTATCCGACCTGACGACCAAGTGGCGCCCCCTCTCTCCCGACTGCTTGCCTCCAGTGTTCTTATTCTGGCCAAGGAAGGTGAGATCCAACAGATTGTTGATGGTGTCCAGGAGAGTGCGGCCACAAGACTCAATTGTGTGAACCATGCCATGTTGCAAAGCATTCATGGCTGTGTCACTGAGAATGTCCGCAGTACCCAAGATTCCATGCAGGGGTGTTCTGAGCTCGTGGGTAATGCTGCTGAGCAGCCTGGTCTTGGACTTGTTCGCCAACTCTACGTCGAGACGATTGAGTTCGGCCATGATGCTGTTCGCAAATGCCGAAACGTACATCATTTCGTTCTCATATGTGAAGACAAGTTCAGGGTCATTCGTCCAGACTATCGTTCCAGCAAAGCACTTTCGCGCGTCCGAGTCCCAAATTGGCAATAGTAGAATGCTCCTGGCTGTTGGGAAAATGTTGATCAGGCGGTGAGCGTCTTTTTGGAAAGTTGATGTGCCCTTCTCTCTGGACGATCTCCGTTGATTGGCTTGGATCGGGCGATCAGCTTCAGTGGCCTCGCGTGAGTTGGAATCGCTCTCGTCAGAGACAGACTTGTTGGCATCGTAGGTGAATATCTTTCCATGTGGGTATCGGCGAAGAAGTGTAATTAACAGAGCTTCCGACACCATAGATGGCGGGCCAGACACTGTCTCATTGTTGATAGACGATCCTAATGAACTTGAGAATCCCAAGCACGTGGACCAAGGTGAACTATCTTCTTCGGTTCGATGACCAGAGGGCGCCGACTCGCGCTTGGTCTGTGAGTCCGAATCAATGCTCTCGTCGCTGCTTGATGGATTGCTATTGACGCCGGGATCCGATCTCCTGTGGCCAGGTTGGTCACCGAATTTGCTGAAGTAACCGCTTTGCGCATCAAGGAAGATCACACCCTCAGTCCCGATTGACTCTCTTATCAAGTTTGCTGCTCGTGAAAAGACTCGTTTGATGCTGTTGACCTGTGATTCTTCTTGAGGATTTTCACCACCACTTTGGATAGGTATAGCTTTTGGTGCAGGCTCTACTCCAGAATTTTGGCTATGGTCTGTCTCCAGGCTGCCATGATTTGACCCCACTCTCGAAGGATCTTCAGTGCTTTTTGGCCCTCGCAAAACAAGAGGGGTTGCATTTGTCTCATGACTGTCTTGTTCTGTCTCATGGTTGTCTTGTTCACGCTGCTGCTGCTGGGTGTTCACCTGGCCCTCTTTCGACTCTCCGAGATCTTCTGCATTATCTTCTTGCCATGAGCTACGAAGCGTAGATTTCCCCTCGTTAAAGCTGCCGAGGCCGACAAGCATTCGTTCGGACTGGCGACTTTTGCGGGTGAAATGGCCCCTCTCCAGGTGCTTCATAATGGCACTAGCCATGTCCTTCATGAATCGAATCGAGTGTTCTGGGAGACCGGAAGTTCTGACATTGTCGTCCATGACGCTGAAACATCCAATCATGAGCCCCCGAGGGCTGATAAGAGGCACAGCGGCAAAGAAACGCACATTCGATAGCCTGTGCAGCAGCTCGTTAATTTTGATCCGCGGGTCCTCAGTCACGTCCCCAACAACTAAGGCGCCGGCCTTGTCTGACTTGCCATTCTCCACGCACGCGGAGACTGGCTGGTTCTCGATATTGTGGCACAGGCCCCTTTCTTTCGGGAGCACACAGCAACCCAGTAGCAGCTTATCGCGATCATCCTGAGTACCTCCACCGACGAGATTCAATGACGGGGTACCCTCCGCGATGATATGCTGATGAGTGCGATCGAAGAGGGTGACCAGGGCCCGTTGCGTCCCGACGCGGATGGCGCCTAGTTGGGCAAACGCAGTTAAGGCCGGATCGGGCGATGGCTGTGGATTGAAGGCTTGGTGACTAGCATGGTCGAAAGGAGCGAATTGTGAAGCCGAAAATTCGCCCGGCATATACCTGTCGCGAGGCTCAAGTTCAGCGAAAATCTCATATATGACGTAGTTAAGGCTTACTTGCGAAAATCGCGTTCTTGAGCCAAACGGTATCGCGCATGCGAATCAGAGCCTACAATTGCGGTCATGTTTAAACGTTAGCGGATTTGATCTACGCAATCTGCGCATAGCAATTGGCAATTGGAAGTCCGAAAGAATCGGCTTACCCGACACCTTAAATAAAAGTTTGGTTCAAAAGCAGGTTATGACGCAACCGGGCCCTTCAAGGGACCGGCCAATCCCAGTGGACCTTAGACCCTCTTATGCTCGAAGGTTCTTTTTGCCCTACGTATGTTCCATGCCCTGGTGGCTGAGAGACTAGGATATGTATCATTTCGTGGATAGCGGAGCGTGAGGTCATGCAATATGCGCCGCTCCCCAAAATTACGTCACATCCCTGCCGATCCTGAGTACGCCACGCGCCCCGCGTCATCGCTCGCAACTCACGATAGCCTCACATTAGACCAATGCCCCCGCGTTATTTCGAGAATACAACTAAACTTCTGCCTAATTACTTTCATTCACTCTTTTCAGTTCCTCTTGCCTTTCCAAGCACTCAGCTTGCCCAGTAAGCAGCTCACACTGTGATCTCAGAGCAGATCGCTGCCGATTATTTAATGTTCGGTTATCTTTGACCGACGCAAAATCATATTTAATTAGATTACGATCACGAAATTACTCGAGAATGCAATTTTTCTATTTTCCTTCACGGTTCCACATTCGCTACCTACTAACGACGATGTATCCGAAAACCGATGAAGAAAATGCTCACGTGATCTATCGTGCCCTGATTCGGACCAAACATCTGAATACATAGTGTGCCTCTTAACACTTGTAAAAAAGAGAATACCGCAATTTACAGGAAATACATTAAGGAGAACAAATGAAAACAAAGCTAGACGCATGTTCAAAAAAAGAACTGGCTGAATACATGACGGAAAAAGAGTAAAAGCGCATAGAAAAAACGAGAAGAAACAAAGCGGGCGAACAGCCAGAAAGCATCATCCATCAACAAGCAAAAAAAGTCGACCAGTTTCAGGTCTCGCACCAGAAAATGGTGCAGTATCCTGTGCTAGCTTCACTCCCATGCAGGTTCACAGTCGTTCTTAGTAGCCGTTCAACCATATTCCTCGGTTCTCCTGGTTCTCCTAACACACAAAACTAAACACGGCAAAAATCAGATTGAACAAATTGAATATGTCATCAGAGGGGAATGGAAAGGGACATTGAATGGGGAAGTCATTGTAAATTATCGCATGTTTCATCATCTCTCATCGTTCAACGTTGTCATCATCAATGGGGCTTTTAAGACAAAAAGGTCAAGCATGTTATGCTTATGCTGGCGCCTCTCGTTTGGAGAGGGAGAGCCACCGGGGTCCTGAGACCCGAGCTGAACCAACGCATTGTGCCTGTCGATGACCGAGCCGCGCATGGGAGCCGTGGTACGATTCATTGGGGTAGGTGGAGGCAGTGCCGTACCAGGCCCCCAGGGGTTAACAACGAAAGACATCTGAGTTGGCTCAGTTGGCTGGGTCAATGCAGAACCCGTGTTTGAGGAGATGCCGGAAGTACTTGATGCAAGAGGCGGCTTAGCGCGAGGGTACATGTAGGAGGTATCCATAGGGCGCTGGGGTGGTTGCATCGGAGCTAGGCCGGGTGGGTGCATGAAATGAGGGTCATTGGGTGGATGCGTTCCCAGATTAGTGGGCGGATACATGGAGCTATCCAGCGAGGGCTGTGCCAAAGGAGCAGATTGCGAAGAAGCAGGGTACGGAGTTCCGATGGGCGGTTGAAGGTTCAACGGACGCAGAGGTATCATAGTCGCAGTGTGTGTATCCGGAGGAGGAACATCAATACCAAGCTGGGACATGGGTCGTCGGGGTGGAGAGCGGACAGGACGAGTGAACGCAGGGTGCTCAGCAGGGCCTGCACGTGGATGCTGCAAATCCCAGAGGAGATCTAGAGAGCGAGAGTCCATGTTTTCCTTCCGCGCTTTATCACACCAGGCAGGCCAGATGAAGGCATCCTGAGAGGCCGGTGGGGTGGCAGCGCTGCTTGAAGACGGATCGTTTCTCGGAGGTGCAACATTGGCCGAGGATGTGTTGTTGCTCGGAGGCGCATCGCCAATGCAAGGAGGACCCATGTACGGGACAAGGGTAGCGTTGTTCAGAAAGATACGGCGGCCCTGAAAGCTCGAGGTATCAAATTGTGCCTCAGGAGCAAAAGTTGTCTGCCCACCTGCAGAGGGATCATTGCGGCGTTCTTTCGCAGCCTGACCCCCCTGGAAGTTGGAGTTGCCATGATCAGCGTACCATCTGAGGTTACCGCAAGCTCTTTTCACCACGCTCACTGCATCCAAGCCGCCATCGCGCCAGTCGGCCAGATTATCTAATTCCTGCTTGATACCTTGCTCAATCGCCTCTACCACTTGATCAGGACGGCATTGGGTCCGAATATGCAGATTCCAGCCAGTGGGTGGGTATTGTCTGAACTGCCCACGCTCCATGGATGCTTTGAAGTCGTAGACCGGAAGAAGGCTGGATTCGTCCGACAACCCCTGGGGTTGATGTCGAGGGCATGGACTCGGAGGACGAAATAGGCCAGGTGGCGCAGATGGAGCAGGCTGAGTGGTAGCAGGGGCGTTGGGATAAAAAGAGGCCCCAACAGGCATTGGTTTAGGCTGAGTGAAGCCCGGTCCGGCAGCGACGTGAGAATAGAGCGAGCGCGCAGCATGCAATGCCGCAGGCTGAGGGTTCTGCGGAACCTCATTGCTGGCCTGGGTTGGGTTGCATTTCTCAGCAGCCATGCGCCGCGCAATCTCCTCGTCACTGCGATGGCTAATATGCACAGAGCCAGGAATGTAGCCTGATTCGGAAGACCCTTTCACAGCAGCATCGAGATGGAGCATTTGTATTCTGTGTCGTTGGAGACGTGCATTGTTTTGAGCGCGAGAAACCGCGTCGTACCTCTCAGGCTCCTTCAGGGGTCCCTCATCGTTGTCTGCCAAATCTGGTGCTTCCAGAATGGAGTGATACCTCTTGGACTCGGCGTTGGCTGCAAGGGTTGCTTTGTTCGGTGCCATAATTGGTGAATCCTCGAAAATGGTCGCACGCTTTGCTGGAGTGTGAGGTATTGGAATAGGAGTAGTGGGTCTGCCAGGAGTAACCTGGACTGGAGTGGACGTTGATGCTCTCAAGAGAAGAAGGGAATACTTAGGATGGGATGTAGTCCCAGAAGAAAGAAGGTTCGCCTGAGCAGGAGTTCTGATTGTGGGTGAAGTAGGTCTAACCTGAGCGGTGGTCGTAGCCCAGGCTGGAGTAGGGTGGTTCTGGGAAGGAACCGAGTGGGAAACGACTGGAGCAGGCAGAACCTGATCAAGAGTTTGGCCCTGCGTGTGAGCCGTAGTCCTGGCTGGAGCAGCCTGAGGCTGACTGGGATCAACAGCAGAAGGTCGAGTAGGAGTAACAGTTGTTTCCTGTTCAGCAGAACGCGAGCTCTGCGCGGTCTCCTTGACTGGGGCTGGGTGAAAGACTGGAGCGTTTGGATTCACAGAAAAGCCACCGCAGATGGGAGCGTGTCTGTCTTGAGTCGAGGATGCAGGACGCTGAGCAGGTTCGCTGCTGACTGCGCGAGGAGCGTGGGCAGTAGAGCGTTGTCTTCTGTGGTTGTTGACGCGATTTCCAGACGCAGTACTGGTGAGATTGGTCGTCTGGCTCCGTGGCAGCCGAGTCGCTCGAGTGGATGAGGTCGACCGTTGACCTTGGCTGCGTGTTGGAGTTTGAGCGTTGACTTGAGCCCGCCACTGAAGGGGGTTGGAAGGAACTTGAGTCGGGTGCTGAGGACTGAGACTGGCGGGGCGTAGAAAAGGCAGGTTTTCCGTGCGAGGAACAAAACCCATAGGGGGACGACTCTGCTGAGTCGTCGAGGTGACGCCAGCACGTGGATCATTTCTCAGTGCATATCTCTCGTCCGGTGCCACCGGTCTAAGAGGAGGAGGGATGTACAGCCGAGGATAATCAGCGTGAGGTCTGTGGTAAGGGTTCGCGTATGCAGGAGCATGGGCTGGAGGCAGGTAGTGCGGCCCGTAGCTTGGATGACCTATCGGTCCATATGGCGGCATGGGCCAAGGATGGTAGGGTCCATATCCAGTAGCAGAAGGGTGTGCATTCTGGCCGGGATAGTACGGGAGATACGGGGGCCACATGCCCATGGCATTATCACCGCCTGTGAAGTTGGTCACTGGTGCCGGCTGACTACGGTCAGAGGACTGGCTCGTGGTAGGTGGAGCGAGCAGCATAGTGATTGCGGTAATAGACGTGGCGATGAAAGCGGAAGATGGAAAGGAGGTGTTGTGGAAGAAGTGAAGGGTGTGTGTATTCAAAGACTGGCTATGGAAGAAAACAATAAGAATAAGCGAGCCCAAAATGACAGGCACAGCACAATCGTCACAGGCCATATTCTTCCCCATGCCTGCCAGATACCATCGAAACACGTTCAACATCAGAGCCAGGACAGTAAAGCTCAACTGATTTCTCCCACCATTGAATCCAAATGCACCCCCAATCCAGTCGGACAGAACCAGGTACCAGCTCTAAGGGAAACAATAGGTAAGCTCAAGGGCAGGGGCAGAACAATGGACTTGTTGACAAACACTCATCGCACGCACGCCATCTTCTTTCCCATGCCCTCCAGATGCCATCGAAATGCTTCTAGGAAGCTGGGTAGCACCAAATAGCACAACCCCCCATCAGGTTGGTCTCATTGGAGCCAGAAAAACCTTCAACGACTATACAATTTTGTCAGCATCTTCCATTTGCCTTGGCAAATGGAGAATACACTCACCATGTCAAACGTTGCCTCATTGTTAAACAAAGCATGAACAGCTTGATCACTTTCCACCTGCCACTGATATCTCCCCCAGTATTCCAAGCAATCTCTATGCTTTCCATCATGGATCTGATGAGTGGAGCCACGCGTTTTTTGATCATTTATGGATGGAAGTGGACGGGAATGGATGTTTGAGGAGACGGTTGAAAGATTGAAGGAGGGGAGGGGAGCAAGATTTATTTATATGGGCTACAGACAGCTGACCTTTTAAATACGGCCAGTGAGTGGTACATATGTGCGACGGTTTCTTAAGGTCGTGATGGGGCTTGAAGGTGGTGAGTCGGGAAGTGGTACGGTTCACGCAGTACGGGATGCCGAGTGCGGGATCGGCATGCCGAGTCACCACAGTGAGCAGCCCGAAAAGTGCACGTAAAGAAATATTTAAAAATACGGGGACACATCATATGTATTATTTCATTCTGGCCATCTACGAATTCAGACACGAGTACATATATCAACGCGGTGAAATCAGATCTTGAGGCCGAAAATCTCAAGGTTGCCTTTAAATTAGAATCCACCTCGCTGGTTACCAGCCGTGTTCTGGTTCTCGTAATCCGAGCTGCGAACCCGGGGATCAAGCTTGTTCAGCAGGCTAGAGCTGTGCGGACCGGAAGTCCGTCGCTTGCCGCTGGAGCCAGAGGCAGGAGCATTACCACCGGCGAAGCTCCCCTGCTGGCCAGTCCGGCTGTCGAGCCCCTGCTCAGCGCGGTTGTCCATCTGGTTGGCCGTGGAGCGCGTGTTGTAGGTCTTTGTGCCGCTGCCATAGCTATCTCCAGTGGCCCCTCCGGTGGTGCCGTAGTCGCGAGCGGTGGTGCCGTAGGTGTTGCCGGAGGTGTCGCCACCGGTCTGGCGAGATCCAGTGGTTCCTCCGTAGCCGCGGTTGTCTAGTCAAGGAAATTAGTACTATGCCCACGGCGTACGTGTTAGACTTCTTACCGAGCTCGCTGTCCATCTTGTTGCCCATCTTCGACTCGGTCGTGCCACTCTTCATGTTGCTCGATCCATAGCCGCCTGCGGTACCTGAGCCATAGGTGTCGGCGCCAGAGCCGTAGTTCCCAGTTCCAGCCTGCGAGCCATAATTGCCCGAGTCCATAGTGGATCCCAGAGTGTCGCTGGTGTGCTTCTGGGGTCCAGAGCCGTAGCCGCTGGATCCATGCTTGCTGGAATCCATTGTGGAGCCACCGTAGGTGCCAGTGTGCTTCTGGGAGTCCTGCATACCAGAGCCATAGCCGCTAGAGCCATAATTACCCGAGTCCATAGTGGATCCAAGAGTGTCGCGAGTTTGCTGGTGAGTGCCGGAGCCGTAGTTACTGGAATCCATTGCGGAGCCACCGTAGGTGCCAGTCTGCCTCTGGGTGTCCTGCATGCCCGAGCCGTAGCCGCTGGATCCAAGAGTATCGCTGGTGTGCTTCTGGGTGCCCGAGCCGTAGCCACTGGATCCATGCTTGCTGGAATCCATTGCGGAGCCACCATAGGTGCCAGACTGTCTCTGGGTGTCCTGCATGCCCGAGCCGTAGCCGCTAGATCCAAGAGTGTCGCGGGTTTCTATGCAAAGTTAGTACCTGGTATCACCAAACAGGGTGGGCATACTAACCATCCATCCTGTCGCCAGTGCCGGAGCCATAGTTGCCCGTGCCAGTGGAGGAACCATAGGTGTTAGAGCCCATGTTGGAAGTTCCATGGGTATCTATAGAATGTCAGTCCTATTACTAGGTTGGATGCCCAATTGCACATACCACCCATTCTGCCAGAGCCATAGGTATCTGAGCCCAGATTCGACGTATTGCCCGAACCCTTGGTGCCCTCGTTGTAGCTGCTCGAGCCATAGTCCTTTGCCGAGTCATATGCATCACGACCGGTATCCCGAGCCTCTGTTTACTAATTAGTGGCCGTCCAATTACATGACCGGGAGAACTAACCGTTCATAGACGCCCTGTTGGGGTCGTACGAGTCCTGCTTGGATGAGGTCTGCTGGTCCGAGTCATGATGGCCAGTTAAGGCATCCTTGACTTTGTGCATCAGATTCGACATGACGAAGAGTTATAATCAGATTTCTCAGAATGATGGGTACATATGAAGACCTGTGGTTTCTAGAAGAATGTCCATTGAGGCTTTATATGTCCCCCTCTCCATCGACTGTCGTCCGCCATCAGCAGATCCCTGCTCGCGGAACTCGGTGACGCCATAACGCGGGGAGTATAAGAGTACAGACCAGTCAGAGAACAATGTCCACGCTATCATCCGCTCCATTGGTTGTCATGACGTGCGCGAAGTAGAATGGGGTACAAAGTCGTACAGCCGTTAATGTCATCGGTCGTCATGATCCAGACCAGCGGACAGTTTCATGGCGCCACTTCAATGGTGCATTCACTCCCGCCGGGAGCTTGGGGAGCTCCCCGGCGTAACCAGGGTCCTTGGCCGGGGTTATCCACGGGTTCGTCTCGAAATGTTTCCAGAGCTCCGCGCTACTCGGGACAATCCCAACCCTTGCCTGGAGACGGAAGTAGCGCACAAACAGTTTGACTTTAAATCGAGCCCAGCAGCCATCATCATGCAGTAGACGGTTGTCGGGCTGCTAGGGGACTTCTAGAAGTTCGGCGGTGGATCCGGGAGTCGATCCAGACTGTAATACGTCATGGCTGATTGTACCGATTTCCGTCCAGGCCGAAGCGCCCTCCCCCGATTTTCGGGGAATCACAACAGTAGTGGTGGTCTGTAGTATGCATCTAGTCGCAAGGAACATCCATGTTCGTATTTCGTCATTTGTGGTCGCAGTCGTTCTCCATGGCCATGCATCCAGCACCTCGCAAAGGGCGGTAGACTCGCAGGGGTACGGGAAATGCGTGACGACATGGTCGGCGGACCAGTCCATGATGACATTGTCGTCGGACCAATCCATCCAGCATTATTGCCTTTCTGGAGGTATCGAGGCCTTGTTGATAGCTGGTGTCGATCAGTGAGCTAGTTATCTTTGCTGCCTCAGGCTTTCTTCAACGCCTCGAGTCACGTAATCCTTCGTCGCCGCCTCCCCTTCTCCACTTGCTCACACTCCTTCTCCCATCGCCGTCATCCTCCCCCCTCCACTCCCCCGATATCTCTTTTCCTGCGCTGTCGTGTGTCGGCAAGAACGTGGTTTCGTTTTCGGTTTGACCGGCCACGGTGCTGCTCATTGTTCTCGATGAGGTATCTTTCCGCTCTCCGACCGTGGCATAGGTCATAAGACTTCTGTGGTACGAGGCATCACCCGGCATCGCTCTTCCGCCTTGTTTGTCGCCTGTCGAATCCTTTCTCATCAGAAATATTTGCTTTGACAGTCTCTCTTATTGTCAAATATGCGGCCGCCACGCCTAATCCCCGTCCTCTTCTGCCTAATCTTCCTCCCCATCTTCCTCACTTTCTTCTCGGCACTATCGTCACCCCGTGTCACAACTCCCAATACGTTCGCCGGTCGGACGTCTGGCCTCCATGCTCTCTTCTCCTTCAATGTCCCGTCCTCGCTCTTCCCCCCGTCCGCCATCATCAGTCTCACCGATGACAACTCCACCTTCTTCTTGGCCCGACCTGCTGCGTTCGGCCCTTTACTGCCTGGGAAAGGTCTGAGTGGCCAGTTGTGGGTGGGTAGTGGCTTCAGCGAGGACAGTCTGGTTTCCGCGGAAGGGGAACTAGGCTGCTCCGATATCCCCGGCTGGGGCGAAGGCGCCAACCCCAAGAAGCAGGACGGATCTTCCAGGGGCACCGAGCAGAGTTCCAGCAAGTCCGGTGGTGTCACGGCGAACGACCCATCCGGTCCACAAAACCGTGCTCGGTCATCGTCGCAGGGCGATGCCACTCTGCAGAACAACAGAAATGACGCCATTGCTCACCCATCGCTGAACGATGGCACTGACGATCATTTGCACCATCCACTACCAGAATCTGGCGTTCCAGATCCTAGAGTGACGGAGAAGTATGGAGATTACGTTCAAAGCCAACCAGCAGCGCACGCGGACATCCAATCCCTACAGGAGACGGCTGAGATTCAGGGCAAAGTCGTGTTGCTGAGCCGAGGTGGTTGTGGGTTCCTGGAGAAGGCCAAGTGGGCCCAGCGGCGGGGAGGCATTGCGCTGATTGTCGGCGACGATACACGCGGTGGAAACTTGGTCACCATGTATGCGCGAGGCGATACGTCGAACGTGACCATTCCAGCTCTGTTCACATCTCACACGACCGCCCACCTCCTTTCGTCTCTCATCCCAGGTCATTCGGGCAGTGCCGCCAGCTTAGCTGACTCGTTGAAGTCATCTCAAGCGAAGCTTGACAGTCAACCCAATAACGGCAAGCAGCGGACGACGACTACGGCCACGTCCTCTATGCCCAGCCCCACATCGACTCGTCATTCAACGGCTGAGGAGCGAGCTTCCTCTGCTGCCATATCGAACAGCGGATTCTTCCGCACACTGGGTCATTTCTTGGGGCTATGCAGTGACCATGGCGCGTCGCTCGAAGACAGTCGACGTCCACCCAGCAGCGGCAACATTGACTGGATGATGCTCGGCTCAGGTATCAAGGGCGGAGCCGCAGACAAGTCAAAAGGCTCAGTCGATTCCAATCGCAATCGGCTCAAGTCAGAAGCCTCATCAGCGGGCACTGGTCCGTCATCCGACAATATTGACGGCGATGGGTTCGTCATAGGGGTCCAAGATTGGAGAGACCCCGACTTGATGCCGTCCCGGAGCAACACGCAGCTGAACCCCAGCAGTGCTGTGACTGGACCGGACAGCACCAAGACTTCCTCCGGGAAGGATGCGAACAGCACACCAAACCTCCTGCAAGGCGGCAGCATCACTCCGGGAAGTGGTGAATATCAAAGTATTGACAAGTCCAGCGGCAATACCCGTGATTCGAGCGAGAAAGGCCCAAGAAAAGAAGTTCCTGCCGCCGACGGAGAGTCTAGAGGCAAGGGCTGGTTTTCTAATCACTTCGGATGGGGCGAGGATGAGGGCCATGATCCTCAGCCATCTCTCTCTCCGTCTCGTCAGTTCAGTCTCACGGTGGACCAGAAGACTCAGAATAGCATACATTCCTTGAATCGTCCGAGTGTTCAGGCCGTGGAACATGAGGGCCTCTGGGTCACTTTGACCCCCACTAGCATGTCGACAAGCCCTTTCTTCGATACCCTCCTTGTGCTCGTCGTCAGTCCGCTGTTGACGTTGACGGTGGTTTATGTCCTTCTGTTGCTCCGATCGCGAATTCGGCGCCGCAGGTGGCGCGCCCCGAAATCGGTTGTCGAACGCCTCCCTGTTCGCACTTACCACACGATCTCGAGGACGTCTTCATCTGACAGCTCCCCACGACCATCAAGCCCTGGCTCCGCTTCTGCAACATCCCCTCTTCTGACTAGTTCCGCGGGTTCTCCTCGGCCACAGTCCCAAACGACTTTGGGGGCCATGCTAAATGGATCCGACGTCCCCAGTCAGGAGAAATTGGCGAGCGTGCAGAGTGGGTCGACACTATGGCGCCGCAAGTACACGGGCAGGCAGATTGAGTGTGTCGTGTGTTTGGAGGAATATGTCGATGGACAGAGCAGAGTGATGAGTTTACCGTGTGGCCATGAGTTTCATGCGGAGTGCATGTATGTGACGACTTCAACTCCATATTCCTGCCATCTTACTAATCCTCGTCTGACAGCACCCCCTGGCTAACAACCCGCCGACGAACCTGCCCGATCTGCAAAGGAGATGTTGTTCGGTCTTTAACAAACGGTCACTCGGATGAGTCTGGCGATGGAACAGACCAAAACGACCACTTCGCCGAGCTGGATTCCCGAAACGGCGCATCCTCGGCTCCAGTTCTGATTACAGGTGTTATCGAAGACCATGATCCTGACACGGAGCAAAACGCAGGGGCCGATGTAGGCCCTTTGGATGGCCATGCCGCGTCCGCGCCTCAGTCTAGCTGGAGAAACTTGGCCTCGTTCAGCTTCTCGGCGCTCAGTGGGGACACCATCTGGCACCAGGCGCGTGCAGATCGAAACCGCTAAATACCCTTGAATCTCTCTCGTCTCTCCCTATTCACTCTTTTCCATGCCCCTTTCTTCTTCGCTTCCTGTATGAGAGTTCATATTCTCTTTCCTTGACGCATGCTCTATTAGCGATCGTTTCCTTTTTTTTTCCCCCTTTATGACGTGAATTGTGGGCGTTGGGTGGCAACACTCGGAGTGATGGGCGGTTGCAAAGCATCTGCGACTATTATTGATGGACGCGGCTGGGAGTATACCGCAGGTCAATCGTTTTCTCTTCTTTTCTTCTGCACCCGATGGACGCTGAAATGGATACCATTGCTTTTTCTTTTTTTGGACTGCTTGACACTCTGATTCATACCGTGTACTCGAGGGCTTTTGCCTTTTGGGGTTCAATTACCTGACCTAGCTTATGCAATGCCACTATAGATCACCGCTTTGTCACCGAGCTTGATCCTACTCTTCTTGACTGGTACCGCAAAATAAGCCCAATTCATTCCTGGGTTATGTAGACTATTCGCCAGCTCCCAGTATTGCAGCGTTCTTTTGCCAGCTTACCCTACGTTCCGGCTCAAGTCCATCCTCTGCTGTCGGGTTTCCACCCGAACCGGCTGCGGGGCGGAGAGGCGACATATGAAACCCATACGCGTGTGACAAGTTCTTCCCTGGCTCGTAGTGCTCAATAGATGGCCTTTATAGTGCCTTATAGATAAGTAGCTAGAGTTTGAAACATCTAGACACTAGTCTGCCGATCATATCCATTTCTGTCAATCAAAGATGCACTGGGCGGTGCAAAGCACCAAGTTGGGCTTACCCATAATCCGATCTGACAGATATTGCAGCGTAAGGAGTGCGGCTGACCACAATGGCACTTACGTGGCTTACTTCTTCGCAGCTACCTATCCTGGGACCGTCTACAATTCTCTGCGGTCTACTGAATCTTAAAACCTTTCAGCTCAGTTGACAATATCATGGTATCAGCGGGGCACTTAGTAGTCTGTTCGATTACTTTAGGCCTAATTGCGATTCTGCGGTGGGCTTTTAGAGGGAGCAAGATAGCGAACCTACCTCCAGGACCGAGAGGCAAACCTATCATCGGAAATCTGCTGGACCTTCCCCCACCAGGAGTTCAGGAATGGCAACATTGGCTGAAACACAAAGATCTCTATGGTATTGTGTTCCTCCTTCGTACTCTCTGGACAAATTCGGCAACAAGAACTAAGCCGCCCACATAGGTCCCCTCAGTTCCATCACAGTTCTGGGCAAGTCTATCATCATCATTAACGATAGAGATCTGGCATTCCAGATACTAGAAAAGAATTCTGCGAAACATTCTTCCCGGCCGCGTCTTGTGTTTGCCGATGAACTGTATGTTGGTTGAGTTCCGTTGCCTCGCAGCACAATTCTCGATCGCGGGTATCAAATTTTAACCGGCAAGTATAGGGCTGGATGGGGCAAGATACCGTCAAGTCAAGATAATACGCCTCTTCTTCGAGCCTATCGCCGAGCAATCACGAGAGTCATCGGAACCAGGGAATCCGCGTCCAAGTTCGATGGTCTGCTTGAATTGGAAGCCCGAAGATTTACATGCCGTGTATTGCGTACGCCAGAGAAATTCATCGAGCATAACAGGACGTGAGTTTCCGACGACGACTCGATTTAAGGAATCGATTTGCTTATTTCTCTGGAATGGCAGCGCTGCTGGTGCTTTCATTCTGAATGTCACATACGGCTATAACATCGAGCCACATGGCGAAGACCCGTTAGTGCGCCTAGCAGATCACGCACTAAAGCAATTTTCAGAGGCCACTGTTCCGGGCGCCTGGTTAGTCGATTTGGTCCCAGCATGTAAGTTTCCTGTCTTTTGAATGGGTGGTTTGAATTCAGAACCGCACCTCTGACTGACATTTAGTAAAATATATCCCAGAGTGGATGCCGGGGGCAAAATTTCAGCTAGTTGCCCGGGATCACTTTCAGACTCTCACGAGACTTTTGGAGAATCCAGTCGCATTCACAAAATTTCAGATGAACCTTGGCGAGGATCGGCAGTCCATCGTAGCGAGGTTGCTCAAACAAGGAGAAGATGAAGAAATAGTCAAGTGGTCAGCCCTGGCAATGTATGGTGGTGGATCCGATACGGTATGTTCCCAATAATCTATTATAGGAGGTTGCCCCTTATTTATACGCCTTATTTGCCCAATCTTAGACTGTTGCAATCCTTGAAGGATTTTTCCTGGCAATGATGCTGTTCCCGGATGTTCAACGCAAAGCTCAAGCCGAAATGGACGATCTGTTCGGCAAGCCGACTTTGCCAACAGCGGCTGACCGCGAAACGCTACCCTATGTGAATGCCATCGCCAAGGAAGCCATGAGATGGCACACCGTCGCACCCTTCGCAATTCCTCACCGAACAGACGAAGAGGATCTCATAAACGGTTTCTTGATTCCCAAAAATGCAATTATCTTGCCCAACGTTTGGTATTTCCGGCACCGATTACATTGTATTTGTTTGTGCAATCTAACGTATATATAGGTCATTCAACAATGACTCCGCTATTTACCCCAACCCGCGAGAATTCCGACCTGAGCGGTTCCTTTCATCTGAGCCTGCCCTTGAACCGGGAGATGTGAGCTTTGGCTTTGGCCGCAGAGTTTGCCCAGGACGTCTGGTTGCTGAGACTTCTATTTTCCTGATGATTGCGCACACACTGGCTGTATTTGACATCAAAAAGCCCATTGGAGACAATGGCAAGGAAATCGAGCCAACCGTCGAATTTACACCAGGCATTCTGAGCCATCCTGTTTCTTTCACGGCTGCATTTACTCCACGAAGCCAGGAGCATGAACAGCTCATTGTTGATTTTGAGAAAACCCATCCCTTTGAAAAAGGAGATTCGGCTATCTTAGCTACAGCGCTGCAAAGTACCTGACCCGACTACGTTATTGACGATGGTTTCAGAGTTCCAGAAGCTATATCAGGCGTGGGAGAGGAAGTAGGGGCTTCAGTGGACATGCTAAGATAAACAACAGAATATTGTGGAAAAATGGCGCTCTACCATGTAGACATGAAATCATAAATATCGAATCAATCATGTCTAGTTCAGCTTCTCAAGTATTGCTTCACAGCCTCCGCCCATTTGGGCCCATTCTTATACAAAAATATGTCAGGTGTGTTCCCCCGTGTCAGGCCATCAATGGCAGTCGCCAGCTCCTCGCCTAGACCCTCCGCCTTAACCTGTTCCAGCGGGTATAAATACGTGTGGAAAGCAAAGACAATTGCGTTCGACTGCGGCAACCGATGAAGAGTTTGTCGCTCACAGCGGAGGAAGGTCTGTTTCCCATCAACAATTTTCCTTCTGGGGCACTACAAGCATGGCACAGAACACATACCTTGTCCAAGTCGAGGTCGTCGACACCAAGCTGCTTAAACTTCTCCGTCATGGCATTTCCGCTTTTGTCAAAATTGGAATACAACTCCTCGTCAACAGTAACGGCCCAGTTCACTCTCCTGACGTATTTTCCCGGTGGTAGAGTTCGGAAAAAGCGATCCATGCTCTTTTCGAGTCTCTCCTTGTATCCAGGTACGGGGTCGTGAATTGATGCTAGTCGTTTGCCTAGCTTGTGTTGAGGTTCGAAGCCTGAGGGAAAACATGCGCTGTATGCTTCTAATATGTAGGTGGTTTCGTCCTCATCGCCGGCGGTTCTCTTGTTATCTGCCTGGTTATCGGGAAGAAGAATAAAGAAGTCTTCGTCGACATTGACTGGCAAAATCTCGAGCGCCAGCCTAACTGGCGTTGAGTCTGTTAAACTGGTAGGCCACGATTCTCCCGTGACTGTATTTCGGATAGATGAACCTTTGCTTTCAAAAATTGTCGGATATCGTTGAGGAAGATAGTTCCCCATCAACATATGATACAACTCTTTGATTGCGGCTCTAATGCGAGGGTCGGCTCCATTCGTAATGCCGATAATCTTCTGAGGGTGTTCTTTGACCAAGTTCTTTCTGATATGTAGACGCTCTTCGTACGTCTTGTCAAAAAGAATTAGATCATGAGGATCCAGGGTCTCGATTGCTAGAAGAATGTCAGTCCTGATCTCAATCTCCAAGAAATAGTGCAACTCAACCCATCGTCAGATGATATTTCGGCTTGAATGGCCGAAACTGCAAAGGTTCCGTAGCCCGCCAGTTGAATCCCTCCGCCGCATTATAGCGAACGCCAATCTGGTTGGAACCAACCGATCTCGTAAAAAGCTAAGGGATTAAATGTCAGGTCTGCTGCTTGAGGAGCCAAGCAAGATAGCTTACTAGTTTACCGCCATAGAAAGACCACAAAACCAACCCCAGTATCGCCACTAGCAGTCCCGACGTGGGTAGAGATGAAGGAGCAGTGACCTTCCACGTCTCGACAACAATACACCACCAGGAACCCGCCTGGTCACAGCTAATATTGCTCATGATCAGGAGACAATGAAAGTGCAGAGATCATTGTGTGAAATGTCCGGAATGTATATCAGGGCAAAGACTCGTTTCTCGCCCGGCCTTCCAGATCAGGTTTAGCGGTACCACACTTTCTATGGCCTGTCGCCCGACTCGACTGTAGCTTTGGCATCAACAACTCCACAACGCTGTCTTGAGTTACCTGATCTGGTAATACAATCCTGAGAGTCAGTCCCCACGTTTCGTAGAGATACTCGACACCGTCGGTTCAGGCCGAAGCACCGACGTAACCCAAAGATATAAATCAGACTGAATCCGCAGTGCTACTCTTTTGTAGACAAACTTGATCATCAGTCCGAATTTAAGAATGGCAATCGGATCTGAATCCAACAAAACATTATTTGCGCGTTTCGACGCCGCAGCCTCCGACACTACTCAGGAAAAACTGATCGCGAGTATCAACCGCGACGGCGGGGTAATCGTCGAGAACCTCATCTCGCAAGATCTAGCCGAGCAAATCAAGAGCGACCTAAAGCCGCACTTCGATCGTGACATCCCAGACAAATATGGGTTCTTTCCGGCGACTACGCAGCGGGCTAGCGGTTTGCTAGGTTTCTCGGACGCCTGCGTCGAACTCGCCTGCAACCCGATCTACATCGGCATTGCCAACGCTCTCGTCTCTTCTAGCTACACTCTCTGGAGAGGCGATCACCAAGAGACTGTCAGCGGTAAACCGATCATTTCCTCGACGGTTGGGTTCCGTGTCAATCCTGGTGGGAAGCAGCAGGTGCTGCATCGCGATGACAAGTATGATTCTTGAACCTATACTTCACCCTCGAATACTGACTAACTGCTTTGAAAAGCGACTATCATCCCCATGATAAAAAGCTGCCTGTGATGATCGGCTGTGTTACGGCAATAACGAAGACGACAAAAGAGAACGGTGCTACCGTCGCAATTCCCGGCTCACACCTCTGGGGCCCAGAGCGTCGTCCTCTTCGCGAGGAAGCCGTTCCTGCTGAGTTGGAGCCCGGCGATGCCTTTATCTTCCTTGGTAACTTGTATCATGGCGGTGGTTCGAATACTACCCAGTATGTCTTCTCATTCTATCTTGGACTGCGGATGATTCGTGATCACTAACGGTGCCCTACAGAACCGATTATCGGGAGACAGTCGGTATATTCCTCTGCCAGCCGACTCTGCGTCCTGCCGAGAATCAGTTTTTGATGGTTCCACTCGAAAGGGCCAGAAAGCTGAAGCCTCAGGCTCAGAGGTTGTTGGGATACGGGGTCTGCGAGCCGGGTGTCGGATTTATGAATTATCAGGACCCGATGAGAGTGCTTTTTGGGGTCGAAGATGAGGAGACAGTTAATATGTAAGGTAGGCCTGGATTGCAGTAGTTGATGGGTATAAATTGCATTCGTAATACATGGTTCGTTATACAAGATGAGAATATGTAAGGCTGGGTAATGGGCTGCAGGAATGACCATAGGGCCGTCTTTCAGAAGATAAGAAAAGGGCTCAACTCCTGCTCATTTTCTCGGGCAAATTGTATCCAGTTCCCAGTACTTTCCGGCCTTGCCCAGAAGGCACGCAGAAACTGCAGCGCAGCGTGATTGCACCACACCCCAGTCGTGGAAATAGATCGAATAAACAGTGACTGAAGTAGACTCTGATGCTCCTCATCTTCCTGGGACTCGGTGCCCGCTATGAAAAGAGGGAAGAACACATCGTGAGAAAAATGATGTGCTGGACCTTCAGTGAGGTTCTGGATTTCAAGAAACAGAAGACCCATGAGCGGACTTATATTCCGTGCTGCTTCCATCGGAGATGCTAGGGCCTGGTAGCTGTAGATGAGAAGACAATAGTAGTGAGCCCGGATAACGGCTTCAAAGTGCTCTCGTGAGGATGCTTCTCTTGCAGAGAGAAGACTGAGTCCCGTCAACGCCCGCTCGGAAGCCTGCTCGAGTTTGGTGCGCCAGGTACTCATATCTACCTCGGGAAGTCCTTGGCCCTTTTGTAGAATATCGTAACGATGTCTTTCTGCCGCTGTTATTTCAAATATCAAGTCTGTAAAGGTCCAGAACTGGCCATCGATCATTGTGGGCGGCCGCACGACAGCCATGGGATTTGGCTCTCTTGAAAATGCCGAGAAGCTGCCGAAGGCCTCCACATCACCCACTTCTTTCAGCAGAAATTGTGCGACAGGGTCTTGGAGTTCTCTTTGTCGGTTTTGTAGTTTATGTCTGTCGATGATGGTGCGACAAGCGCGCAGGTGGAGCTTCCAGTCTGTCGAGTTTGGAACAAACATCTCCCCGTAGCAGAGAACCAACATAGTGGCAAGCATTTCTGTCAAGGATGAGGTTCCACCATTATCTCCTGCTGCTGTTGGGCTACGGTGGAGTTCTGAGCGTATTGTGCGGTTCAATGCCCGAAGACTGGCATCTCGAAGACTGTGGTTGACCTGCACAAGCGCCGATGCTTGCTCAGGATCCCCACCAGAGGTGACAGACAAATGCGTCGCTGCAAGGCTGAGTATTGACAGTCTCAGACAGGCCGATTGTTGGGCGATCGGCAAGATGATACTTCTCCATGGGTTGACGGGGCTGTCCATCCATCTTAGTAGAGAAGCGACTTCAAGATGGAAGTGAACAAGCAATTTGTCCGATAGGACACTCGATGATTGACGACTAACAAGACTAAGGTCCCGTATCGGGCTGCTTGGAATAACCGTGGAAGGGGTGCATGGTTGAGAAAGGGTGGTCGCTGGGCCCTTCGAGTCCCTCGACCCACCCTTCAGAGGTACTGGGAGATTCCTTCCAGCGAGCTTGCCTCTACTAGCCACGCCTTGATCCCATCTGAGAGGCAGTCGATCAAAACCCGGGCAGCGAAGGCCGCGGATGGCGCATTTCTGGCAATGCGGAATGCTCCGATCGCATTTGATGCGCCGCTTCGTGCAAAGGCGGCAATCTGAGACGTTAGTTTCCTTCCTGACTGACAATCTCTGGCAGACTCACCCCTGGACGCTACTTGACGATCGGAGGGAAGAGCGTCGATGCGGACATTCTTCATGCTTGCCGCTGAGTGTAAGAGGCGAAAACGCGGATGCCCCGCAGTGGTGGGGTGGAGGCCTTCCGCGCCACGTTTTGTGGTAGCGGGCTATACGAGTGCGGCGTGGATTTGGAGCGAATTTGGTTATAGAAGTAGTATAGGGGAATTAGAAACTGATTCTAACGCGTTCTTTCAAATTTATGTTGGCCGGATTAATTAGTATGGTTTATCAAAAGCTCCTTAGTCAAGGTCTTCCTGGAGCAGCCGCCGGGTAAGATCTGTCTGGACCCATTGCTCAATCAAGGCCACAGTATCTCCAACGAGGTAGTCGTAGTTTTTAGCATTTGGTATAAACATAGACTGATGTGCTAACACTTCGTCCATGTCCTCCATCAACACCGGTGTCCAGTGGGCATTGTCCGCTCGCCTCCAATGATGTGAGGGCAAGAGAATAAACTTGCGAAGTTTCTGCTTGGAGACGTCTGCATTGGTAGCATACTCTGATGGTGAGAGGGAAAGTGTTGAGAGAGAAAGCGTTGATAGGGAGGCGCTCTCCGACAAGGGTTGCCCCTCCTTCTGGTCGATGGAGGTAGGTGATGCGAGACTTGGGTTATCCGCTGGCGGAAGGCCCTTTTCAGAACTGGCATCTTCAGCTACCAGGGTAGGTTCGGCTGCCAGAGTGGAATCGGAAGCAGCGGACTTTGGGCTTTGTCCTTCGAGTGTAAGGTTGCCTGTCGAGGAAGCGACTGGCTCGGTTTCGCTAGATACGCTTGGCGTCTCCGAAAATTCTTGTGAAGAGGGTATTGCTGTATTCTTAGTCTGATCAAGGTCTTCGGTTTCCTTGGCGGGCTTTGTGTTGGGTTTCCGGCGACCAGTGCTTGAGGTGTAGTAGTTGACAAATCGTACTCTCCCAGGGCTGTATTCCGCAGCCTCTAACTCCATAAGGCGTCGATACCGCCGGCGAAGTTCAGAGTAATTATTGACGCAGCTTGCAAATTTAACGGGCGATACGAGACGGTTAAAGATCGATTTTGAGAGATTGTCTGTGTTCTTGTTGACAAAATGCATCATACCCTTGAAGAAGCCACGATCAACTAGGCGCACATCATTCTTGAATGGAGGATCAAAGTTGGGATTAGGAGCGACGGGCTTGTAGGCCGGGTCCAAGCCTAGCGATTCTTGTTCTTCCGCTAGTTCGTCTTCAGCTGGTACATCCTTCCTCGGGACAGAGCCCATGAGCCCGGTTGGAATGACGCGGGGATGTAGGCCCAGGAAGGGGACGTCAAAGTTCACAAGGCCCAGGATCCGATGCTTCGGGTGCCCATTTGGTTGCGATTGCAGAAGCGCCACGTCTGCGGCCAGGATCCCGCCGAGACTGTGGCCCAGCAGGATGACATCCAGGTCATCCGCCTCATGCGGCGATAGCCTGCAAGTATTTACATCAGTCCATGCCCTTGGTCAGGTTCATCTGGACAGGATGGTCCCGGCTTGTCTGTGTGGTCACATACCAGGCGCTGAACTGGTCCACGGCGGTTTGTAACTCGCCGTGGGACTTGTACCGTGGGTAAATGCGGGTGTATACCACGTGCGACTCGCTCAGTAAACCCGTCAACAGATCATGAATGTGCGCGGGAAGTTCCTGAAAGCTAGCCTCGGTGCCCATGAAGCCATGGATATAAATCAGCAGTAGCCTGCGCTTATCCAGACTGTGAGATCCTCCGGGCGCGGGCAGCGACAGGCTGGATGAAGAGGGATAGGCGTCATTGTGGATGTCGCCCTCCATCGCCGCAAGGAATAAAAGGAACGTGGCAGTCAACAAGCTAGAAGAGAAAGTGTTGACCTGGTCAAGCAGGTTTCCATTCTGGGACACAGCCACAACGCGGGGATCGACTCAGCACGGCCCGTTTGCCACCACTGCCAAAGACGCTTATTAACCGGCAAACCGTCTGGTTGGGAGTGAACGAAGAGAGAAGATCAACAAAGATCCAACGAGGTCCGGGATTATCGTTACCTCTCGCTTGCTATCTATTTCCCTTCATCGGTTCATCAACCTCAAACTCTGTTGCCTATTTAGTTAGAGTACCCAGCGCGGGCACGACACTCGCCACTGATGTGCTGTTCCAAAACAACACTCCCTTCCTAGATCTTGCTTCACTTTCTTTCTCACTCGATTCTTCCATCGAGTGAGGATCCCGACAATATGGGAAAACCTCCAACCCCCGACCGGGAACCGACACCGGAACAGGCTCCCCCAGCTTATTCCCCCTATGTTGACCCCCACTTGACCGCAGAGTTGGGTGATGTCCATGGTATGTTGAATAGTTCAGACAATTCAGTACCTAGCAACAGAGCTAAAAACTAACCTTCTTACAGTCGACGGCCGCATTGATGTCAACCTAGATTCGGAGCTCGCCAGATCGCTCACGAAGATCGCCAAGCAGCAGCAGGAGGACCGTTACTATCCACCACCTGAGTATAACGAGGCTCTAACCGCACAGGGAATCCTCTGCGATGTCAAACTGAACATAGTCATCCAGATCGTGGGAAGCCGCGGAGATGTGCAGCCCTTCATCGCACTGGGGAACGCTTTGCAAAAGCATGGTCATCGCGTCCGCATTGCCACTCACAACGTCTTCGAAAACTTCGTCAAGGAGTCGTACCTGGAGTTCTTTCCCATTGGTGGAGATCCAGCGCAGCTCATGGCATACATGGTCAAAAACCCAGGCCTGATCCCGCAGATGAAGACACTGCGCGATGGAGAAATCAAAAAGAAGCAGGTCATGGTGGCGGAGATGCTGGATGGCTGCTGGAGATCATGCATCGAAGATGATCCAGACACCCAGGAGCCATTTGTTGCAGATGCAATTATTGCCAATCCGCCGAGTTTTGCACATATCCACTGTGCACAGGCATTAGGGATTCCCGTCCATCTGATGTTTACCATGCCGTGGACTACTACCAGGGCATTTCCCCATCCTTTGGCCAATCTGCATTCCACGTCCATGAGTCCGACGGACGCAAAGACGGCAAACTGGGTTTCATACGGAGTGGTAGAATGGCTAACGTGGCAAGGGTATGTTGACACCCGGTTAAGCGCCAGTTGAAAAAGAACGCTCACGTCGGTTTACAGGTTGGGAGATGTTATAAATCGATGGCGGTCCTCAATAGACCTAGCACCAGTTCCACGAACCGAGGGACCCTGCCTAGCTGAAGCCTTGGAGGTACCATTTACCTACTGTTGGTCCCCAGCCCTAGTTCCAAAGCCACGGGACTGGCCAGCTTATATCGGTATGTATGAGCACCACTCAACACAGCTGAGATGACTGATGGCCTTAGATGTGTGTGGATTTTTCTTCTCGGAGCCATCTTCATACACCCCGTCTGCCGAATTGGCGGAGTTTTTGCAATCAGGACCGCCTCCTGTATACATTGGCTTTGGCAGCATTGTTGTCGAAGATCCTCAGAAGTTAGCGGACACCGTGATCAAGGCAGTTGAAAGGGCTGGTGTACGTGCAGTCATCTCGAAGGGCTGGAGCGAGCTGGCCGGGGTGTCGGATGCAAACATCTTCTACATCGGCGACTGCCCACATACCTGGCTCTTCCAAAATGTTGCTGCAGTGGTTCACCACGGAGGTGCTGGAACCACAGCCTGTGGACTCTTAAACGGGCGGCCAACCACCATAGTACCGTTTTTCGGCGAGTATGCCTACCCCTCGCATTGGAGTTCCCTTCTATATTTGCCTAGAATGCTGATCCAATCCTTCCTCCCAGTCAACCATTCTGGGGCGACATGGTCGCCAAAGCCGGTGCAGGCCCGGACCCAATTCCCCATGCCTCACTTGATCCTGACAATCTCGCCGCTGCAATTAAATTCTGCATCACACCAGAAGCTACCTCTGCCGCGTTGGAAATCTCGATCAAGATGCAGTCCGAGTCCGGCGTGGCGGCAGCTGTGGACTCATTCCATCGCAATTTGCCTTTAGATCGGATGCGATGCAGTATTATCCCCAATCAAGTTGCAGTATGGAGTTACGGCAAAGAAAAGGCGTCTCTGAACTTGTCCAAGACAGCTGTGAGCATTCTGATTCAACACAACAGAATAGACGCCAAACAGCTTAAATGCCACGCTATCAACCCAATCCTCATTGAGAACCGTCGCTGGGATCCTTTGACCGGTGTCCTGTCCGCTGCCACAGGCACCGGAGAAAACATGTTACGATCGACGGGCGAGATGTTTTACAATCCATACAAGGAATACAAACGCGGACGCGCTGCCAGACTTGCTGGCGTAAGCGGAAGCTCGCAAGATCTATCTCGACCTACCAGCTCCACAGAACCAGCCTCTCACTCTACCACATCTCTAACTGATCCCGCACAATCACAAAGTTCCCAGCCATCACTCCACCGATCTACGAGCGAACAAAGCCAGGACTCATTCGACACTGCGGGGAATATGGTCGGGGCTGGAATGAAAGGCTTCGGTAAATTCTCCGCCACTTACTTCAGGGGTATGGTGGTGGATATTCCACACGCGGCGGCAGAAGGCTTCCGAAGGGCACCGCAGCTATATGGGGAGAAGCCGAAGGATTACGGTACTGTTCAAGATTGGAAGTCAGGGATTAAAGTCGGCGGCAAGAACTTCGTAGGTGGCATGGCTGGTGGTGTTAAGGATATCATCACATATCCGATTCAAGGGGCGCTGGCGGAGGGAGGACCTGGTGCGCTTAGGGGTCTCGCTAGGGGGGCTATGGGGATGGCTACGAAGATGCCTTCCGGTGAGTGAATTCTCTTCCGCTGTTCAGAGCAACTACTAACACTCTCTGGTTTTGAAGCTGGAATCGGACTGACAGCTTATCCGTTTTATGGGATTTCGAAAAGCGTAGAAGCTGCTTTCCGAACAAAAACTCCGAAGGCTATTGTGAGTGCACGGCTCAGAGATGGACATGCTCACGCGAGCAGAATACAGCTGTCTCGAGAGGAAGAGGAGGAAATCCTTCAAGTCTTCGATGTACTTTTGTCCTCAATGAGTAGGTAGGTCTTGAGCGGCTTCCGTATGAATACGGTCCTTCAATGGTGCTGTGGCTTCGGATGAATGTGAATGCTACGTATCAGGTGGGCAGTCTACGCTTGAGATGTCGTGGGTTGTCCCTGAGTGAGCTCTTCATCCACGCCCTCTCTTTTCCTTCAGCCTTGGTCGGCTAGTGTTTTGAGCGGTTCTGAGCCCATGGCTTTTCCTAATGTATCTTTTGAATGCCTTCATGATGACCTTTGTTGGGGGCATTCATTCAATGACGGATATTTATATAATCGAATAATATAACACATCCACAACCAAGACCTTCCCTCTGTTCATCTGTACAGAATCAATATCGACAAGCAAGGTTGGGTAAGTTATAAACAACCCCTTCATTTCCATCAACAAGTATCCCACAATAATCTACCCACGCTTCGCACCACCTGGCACACAGGCCCAAGAACAACCAACCCGGCGAAACGGCAGCGGACGCATCATTTCCGCCGGAGCGCGAGGCCTCTTCAGCCCGTTCTCATGGGGCGTGCAATCCCACCACTCCACCCACTCCGAGCGAGGAATGACAAAGTCCCCTTTGCACACGGAGCACACCCGGCCGCCAGTTGCGCGGACTTCTCTCGCGCGCTGCAGCAAGGGGATCACTAGGGCGGGATACTCGGCTAGCTCGGCGGGCGAGACTTGGTCGAGAGCTGGGAGCTTAGCTATGGCGCGGAGGGCGACTTCGCGGAGGGAGGGGGAGTTTGAGAAGTTTGTTGTTGCTCGTGTGGTGATCGAACGGTCTGGCATAGGCTTGCCTTCCATGTTTAATTGGATTGTCGGCCCCGTGGCGACATGGATGGGCGCCCATGCCTCGGCGGGTATATCTCCCTCGCTGTACTCGCGGAACTGAAGTGGGTCGTGGGTCTCTTCATCGGCATGTTTGTTGCCCTCGGAACGAGAATGCCATTCTGCAATCTGCGCATCCGCAATGGAAACAAAGGAATTGGGGCGCACGATCAGATGCTTCAGTTCTCCTTGACGAAGCAGCCACAGGAGTTCCCAGGGGAGATGGCCTAGCCGGTTAACGGAGACATTGAGGTCTTGCAGCGCTGTGAGTCTGGAAATTGTCGGTGGGATTTCGGAGAGCTTGTTGTTGCGCACGCTGAGGACCTTGAGGTCGTTTAGCTCGAAGAGCTCGGTGTGCAGCTCCAGAAGGGAATTGTTGGATAGGAAAATGCGTAGAAAAGGCTGCAGGGACGTGAACACGTTCTCGGATACCGGGGCCTCGTTCACAGAGGGTAGCTTGGTCAGATGCTGCAGCGGGCGTAGCAGACCGGATGGTATACTCCTCATATGGAGGTTCCTAGTCCAAGAGGTTAGCATACTTGGGATCTTGTCCAAGAAGTCCACATGGACATACCCTAGGTCGACGCTATCATGGCCCTTCTCCAAACAATCATTAACCACTTCCCTCGCATAGCGATGCTCCGCCGACTCCTCGGGTCCTTTAAAAGCACCCGCCGCAGCATTCGCAGCACGCATCTGCACCGGGCCATCGCCTCTCAGCTGAGTCTGAGTCTGGTTCCTGCCATTGAACCTGGACTCCAGTGCCGTCTTCAACAAATCCTCGCCCCAACAACCCGACGCATCCCCCTCCGAAGAAAGCAAAAGCGACTCCGCAACCGAAGACTCATCACTCCCCATCCACACACCACTATCAACATAGCGCTTCTCCTTAAACTCGGCTCGCTTGCGCTTGTTATGGTCCACCACCTGCTCCCCCCACCAGGTCCCGCGATACCGCCGTTTCCTGCTCCCGGTGCCGCCAGCCGTCACAGGCGCATGGTAGTTCTCCAACCCAGAGGCTGGGATGTCGTCGCTGGAAAACAAAGCCGGGTCGCTCGATGGCTGGCTGGAACGGTCGTCGAAACGCGATAAGCGACGCGACTTGCGCAAGGACGATGTGCCTGTCCTTGTCCCTGGGCCTGTGCCCGCGCCGTGCGTTGCTGGCGAGCGGTGCCGGATGCGCCGTGGCGGGGGGAGAGGGACCTCGTTGTCCATTTTTGGGAAGTTGGTGCGATTAATGCAGCCGCGTGAGTGAGCTGGTCAATGCCATTCAGAATTTCTGTGTTTTGATGTGTCTCTCTGGCTCTGGGGTTTGGACCCGCGGTGGTGCGACGCGTTTGTGGAGACCAGATGGAGACTGCTCGGCGGGTGTCAACAAACACGCGCGCCGGACAGTTCGGGGACGAGAAACCAGGCCTGGGCGGGTCAATGGTTCTCAGGGTGGTGAGTGGAATAAAAGAAGAACAAAATTTTGGGTTCTCCCCATAGAAAGATAAAGATAAGATGACAACCTTCCTGAAACGTCCCGGCGCACGTGCCCGGTGGATTAACTAGAGGGATCGGCAGTATACAGAGGTATACAGAGGAATGTGGACTACAATAGGACTAGAATACATAGATTGAATAATAATTGTCAAGTCAAGTGGAGGAGCACCGCACGGCAACACGACAGTGGATAGACGGCGGCACAACCATCCACCCGACAGATATGAACAGAAGAAGTTCCACAAGCAAAGAAGTGGTAGAAGAAGTGGTAGAAGAAGAAGAGAAGTCAACGTCAACTCATATCACGTCAAGAATAAAAATAAGAAGGAAGTGGGTATTCGAAGAACATCAAGGGCATTTCCTCTCCGAAACGGGTGTTCTCCAGCCAAACAATATAAAAGTAAAGAAGAAGAAGTGAAAAGCTTGGCTGAAAAGACATGATCAAAAGCCCGTCTCAGTGGGAAGAGGAATATACCAAACAACAGCCGCAGGCAGCAATTGCAAACCATGGCTGCGGCGTATAAAGAAAAGGGTCGTAAGAGTGCATTGACGACGCGACGACAACGACGGAACGCTTCCAGCCCATGATATACTCAACACAAGCAGGGGCTTGTGCAGCTGCTGCGTCAGACACTGCTGTTTCAAATTGTGCAAGTTGCGCAATTACAGCGCCTGGCCCATAACCAGCGCAAAGGATCCAGCAACGAGGACAGCGGGCAAGCCGGCGCCGAGGTGGACTGCGGCGCCGGTCTTGGCGGGAGCCACGGGCTGGGTCGTCGACGAGGGCTTGGAGGTAACCAGCGGGGTGCTGCTGGAGGCCGGGACGGAGGTCATGCTGCTGCTTGGGCTGGGAGTCGCAGTGACAGCGTTGACGCGCAGCAGGGTCTTGGTGATAGTCGTCGTTGAGGTCGAGGTGGTAGTTTCGCCGGCGGCAACCTGGGCCGCCAGGCAGAGGAGGGAGGTTGCGACAGCGCTAAACTTCATTTTGAAATTTGGTGGTGGTGGTGGTGGAGGTGGAGATGATGTGGTGATGTGATGCGCAATTCGGTCACGGAGGAACACAGTGTATGAGCAGTTGGATGATCGGATCAGATCAGATCGGTGTCGCAGACAACAGTGCAGATATTCTAAAAGCGCACGACTGCCAGTAACACGATGCGACGAGTGATGTTTCGAAAGGGTCTACCGACGAAACAGGATTGGTCTGGGCGCACAGAGCGGGCGTCAAATTTGAGACGAGATAGTAAACGAGTGTGAAAAGAGAGCGCTGCTGGAGAGCGAGTATAGTATAAAAGAGTGACTTGGTTTGATTTGGGGGTAATGAATGACTGGGGGTGAATGAGTGAAGCGCAACCTGGGCGACGGGGAGAGTATTGTAGATGCAGAGGCGTCCAAAGGGGTCCGCCCCTGGGATGACAGGGACTAAATACATACCTAGTCGTCCATAGGGCACGCATGCCTGAGCTGGGGAAAGGGACCAATGGGCGAACCCTTGACCGATTTTTTCTTATTTCATTTCCTTTCTTTTGTTCCTGAGAGTGGTCCGCTGCTCCCATTGGACACCTCGGGCTGGCGCGCGATGGGACTATTCGCATCGGGACCCGAACTATAGCCACCGGTGGGCCAAGGTTTATTATTGGACCCCATAGGGTAGGGTATTCCCTATAGGGTATTATTTATTCACGCGACACCTTGCACAACACCCGATCTGATCAATCGCTGACGATCCCGCGCATGGTCCAAATAGCCCAGGAATGCCGTTGTTGGGCATAGAATCTACACAGCAACCACTACTTTGTAAGCGTCTCCTATACGACGACGTAAACAAATGCGAGCTGAGAATACGAGGCTTCTTGGCCCCCGGGGAAGTGATTCCAATACGCTATTCAAGCGTAGATGGCGTGCTCCTTCGCGCCGGCGACACGGTCAATTTCTGGTAGGTCGGGGCCGGCGGAGGATCTACCGCACAACAACAAATACAACCGCCCGATCTCGCGACGTGTTTCCAGAAGCGCAGTGTCCTGAGCTGTCATCTTTCGTGTAACCCCTGGCGTCATGGAATGCAGGAACGGACAGTAGTGGGTGTGTTCGTACCCTGTTCGGGGGATATGAAGGGTTAGCCGAAATTGCAATGAACACCCAATTTGCCTCTCGTTCGGCAAGCGCCCGACTCAAAAATCATACTAATCCCGACCAAGAAGGAAGAGAACTCAGGGCCAGACCCTTTTTGACCCTCCCTGTTCCTGGTCGAGACCCATGGATCCTCGGTGATCCACCTTTATGAGGATCGACCCTTAGACTTGCCGGGTTAGGCGGCCCTAGAGGCCTGCGCATGGGCGAGTCCGGGGATGCCTGCAAGGAGATTCGTGGTGGCCTGAGGCGGACAGCAGAGTTCACTGGTGTTACCCGAGAATGGACCAGGCGGACGGCAACCATCAGTGAGACGCGGACGGTTTATTGTTATTCAGTTGGCTATTACGTAGTTTTATTTTGCCGACATGTGGGCATTAATTACTACTCGGTGACCTGACGATGCCCTAACTACGCCCTGTAGCTAGTCCAGGTCAACCCTGCCTACTGTCTACCCTATAGAGCATATTGTTCATGCAATGGCACATTGATATCCGGCTGATATCGCGCAATACGAAGCATCCAGGCAGATACAATCTTCTCCCTAACTAGCACCTTGCCAGTGCCCCTAGCCTATATACATTGCGTGCAGAGGGTCGACAGTGCCTCCTGTCCTGACTCCGAAGCCCCTGGTCCATTCTCGCCCTTCAAAACCAACTCACTGCCAGCGCGGTTTCGCTAGAGTATATCGTACAAAGTCCCTCCCTTTGGCTTGGTCGTGTCACATATCCGTTGAATGTCGGAGAGTGGTTTATTGGCGCACCGGCCGCAGAGGGCTCGCGCGGGGGAGCATCATTGGGGGTCCGCGGGCACGGAGCCAGGCATCGTTGTAAGGTCCCTCGGTGCGAATGACGCTACCGATGGACATGAACAGTCTGGAGAGGAGAAGCAATTGGTGAGTGATTTCGTTTCTTAGGTGGGCAGTATCAAGAATACAACTCCAACATACCCGAAAGTAGCACCCGAACCCAGCATGTACTTGCCCAGGGTGCGCATGACGCCGTTGGGGCCAGCGCCGTACTGGAAGACGGTCACGGTTCCTGCGTGCGGTGTGAGCCAAGCGGAGACGCATCGTTGTCGTGGTCCCCCTTACCAATGATAAAACCCATGATTCCACCGACAGCTGGAGAATGGTAAGCAGATACTCGAATCATTCGGTCTGGTCATCGCATACTGGATCCCATCAGGGCGCCCATTTTCACTAGGTGTCTGGTTAGTTCGGTTGGTCACCATCGTAGGGGCGGCGACATACTCTTGTCAAAGGTCGAGGGACCGGCAGGACCCCCTGCAGCTGGTCCTGCAACAACAGGCATGTTGAGTGAGACGAAAGGCTGACGAACAGAGGAGCAACACAGTTGAGAGACGAAGCGCAACGAAGATCGGAGCTTCGTTTTCCCTGAATGGAGTCACATGACCTGTGTCCTCGTGCTGGGTGGGCACGTGATGTGTGGCTCCAAGTCTCGAGCCCATACATGGTCATCCTCCCTCCCCTGTGGCCTTTTTCCTCTATGGCGACCATCCCCAGCCGGTGATTTCCTTGTGTGTCGATATCTTCTTGGGGCCCCAAGCCCATACAGGCGGCCGTCCCGTCTTGTGCTTCCCTTATTGTCCTTGACCGGCTGAGACTCGCTGCTTTTCCCCGAGCACGACCTCACGCCTCCTTGGCCTGGAGCCCTCCCTCTTATACGACCGACCACTACATAATCCTCTGTGAAAGGTGAGTTTACCGTCTCTCTTTTCATACTTCTGGTGGTCCCTGGAACGCCCCGAGGGCTGCGCCCGGGCCCGGGGGCCATTGAATTCTTTTGAGGTTTGGCGGGCGACCGAGTAGCCGCTAACGCGACCGTTGTCACCTAGTCGGCCGACCAGGAATAACAACCGCCCCCTAAGCGCATTCAACTTCCTCAACGTCAGAAGCGCCAACCTCGACCATCTCTTGGATTCTCTTCGCTCTCACCGTTGCAAATACCCCACCGCAACCTTCTCCGCGACCGTCAGCAATCAACCACCTAGGAAGACCATTGTGTCAAGTCATCTCCGGCATCCTTCTCCATGACTGCGGTGGCATCTCCGCCTAGCGTTCAATCGGGGCCTCGCTTGGGATGGTACAGTTCTGGTGACGGAGGACAAGGAGCGCTGCCCTCAGTGAACGCGGACGAGGTCTCACGCATGTTCATGCCGCGAAAACAGATTCAGCGGTCCAACTCCTCTTCTTCCATTGCATCGTCGTCTTCTACGTCGACTGTGTCCGCCTCTTCGCAAGATCCACCTGCTGGGCAAGGTGCCAACGGCGAATCCAAAAGTAATATTGCCGCTACGAAAAAGAAGAACGCCAGGAACCCCTGGCCGAGTTCCAAGTCAGAACCGGTCGCGGGGGTTACCGCCGCTCGATCTCAGGCGGTGCCTGCTTTCTCATCGGGGCCCTCTGCATCCTCTACCATGTCCGCTATTCATCAACCGTCATCCATAGTCCCATCGCAACATATGCTTCAGTCGTCCCAGCAGAATGGCGTCCGACCGCCAAACGGGCAGGCCGCAGAACCCCCTGCGATCCTAGCCCTTGCACCGGTCAACGGCACTTTCGAGAAGAAACAAATCAATGTGCCATTCTACCCTGATGTCCTGCGCATCGGTCGACAGACTAATGCCAAGACGGTGCCGACCCCTGTCAATGGTTTCTTCGACTCCAAGGTTCTTTCGCGGCAGCACGCGGAGATTTGGGCCGACAAGGCTGGAAAGATTTGGATCCGGGATGTCAAGTCATCCAACGGCACGTTTGTGAACGGTCACCGACTGTCTCCTGAAAATCGCGAATCAGAACCACATGAGCTGCGTGAGAACGATACTTTGGAGTTGGGAATCGACATTGTTGGCGAGGATCAGAATACCATCGTTCACCACAAGGTCTCAGCAAAGGTTGAACACGCTGGCGTTTATGGAACCGCTCCGAATATCCTCGATCTCAATTTTGGAGATCTTGACCCAGCCTCTGGAGGCGGTCTTCTTCCTTCGCCTCTCAGTCAGCCCTTGTCTCATCTCCGAGGCCGAGCAGGGAGCAACGTGAGCAATCGAAGTGCTCAAAGCGCAGCCAGCACCCAACTTAATGCGCTCCACCAACAACGTCAAATGAACTATTGGAACTCCCCGATCTCCATCGAGCAGGTTGCCAAAAGACTCACGGTATGGCTAACTACCTTTCTTTTTTTCCAAAGGTTTTCTGCTAATTCACTAAAGGGCGAACTGAAACAAGCTAAACAACAAGCGCAAGATCTGCACCAGACCGACGATTTTTTGACGTCGATCATGAAGTCGGGCTATGCAGAGAAAGAAAAGGCCGCCAAGCCATCTCCGTCTGAAAATAATGTTCCTCGACAGCTCAACGGCCGTCCCAAGATGCCTCGCGTCGACTCCTTCTCCCGATTCTCTGATCCACCCGCTCCTCCTCCGCAGCAGCCGCTGCCTCAGAAACCCGATGCTCCCCCGCGAAGTGGAGCCGATGCATTCTCTCCATTGAAGCGCAGTGACACGGAGAAGCCCAAGGGTATGGGTGTAACTTCGCCTGTCTCTCGTGATTCAAGTCAGATCCTATCCCTCATTGAGGCATTGTCTTCTGCCAAGAGAGAGATTGATACTCAGGGAACTCGCATCAAGGAACTTGAGAATCTGTTGAAACAGGAACGGGCTGCACGAGAGTGGGCAGAGGAGAAGGTCAAGAAATCGGAGACAAGCCAGGATTTGGATGGTGCAGATGTCAAACCCGAGATCGCGCCCGTTGTACCTTTGGAAAAACCAGAGCAGGTGCCTAAGCATGACGATGTGGAAATAGCCGCAGAAACCAACGGCCCCATATCACCTTCAGAAGCTACGTGCTCGGAAGTCAATCAAACCGACTCTTCGGCAGATGTCAACACCAAAACTCTCCAACATCGCCTGGAAACTATGATGGAGCAAATGGAGGCAATGAGACAGCAAGTTGCGTCGTTCAAGGAACGAGCCGAGAAGGCCGAGGATGAGTCCGCTAAGTCTCGCAAGTCACTGGCTGAGATGATTGAAACGCTACGGAAGGAGCGCACTACGACTGTTTCTGCAGTAGCCCCGGATGGCAAGTCGAATGCACACGACCGAGACCCAACAGGACATGCACCTGGGTCCTCGGCTTTGGGCAAGGATGATGCAGCACACGCTAAACTGAGAGGCACGCCAACACAACCCTTCGACCCAACCTCTTCGAAAGAACTAGACGCTGCAGCCACGGCCTTAGCCACACAACGGTCTCGACATAATCTTCTCGAGCAGTCCAGTCCCTATGCATCCATGCTTGGTGTGGTGCTATTAGGAGTTGGACTGATGGCATATCTCAACGGGTGGCAGAAGATGGACAAGTAAGACCACTGAAATCCTCCTCATCAGCCTTGCATCCTCCCATTTTCTGTAACCTGCTCTTGGCCCTACGGCTCTTGTCATGGAGTATTCCAGGGAGGTAGGTGTTTTTTGTTTTCCTTCCCTTTGCATCATGTCTCATAGCATGCTCTCTTCTGGTCTTTGTTTCTTCGTGGGATATCCATCCATGCATCCATCAACCATTCCTGCACCCTGGCTTTTCTTTCGTCTGCCAGTCATGACTCCCTGGCAACGATGATCCATTCTCTCTCTTTCTCTTCACCCACTTGTCTCATTATATCACACATTCATGGAGGCGTCCTACAGACCCCTAAACCCACTCTTTGTTCCGTTAGCGTCCGTTCTTTACTACTACTCTGGATCTGGTCATAGTCAGCCCTTCATTTTTTTCCCAGGTTGGGAATCTGGTATCATCTGTCCTCACGTGCTTTTCCTTCCACTTCACTTTTGTCTCTCTGTACATGATGGCGAAAAGAATCGGGGATATGGTTCACGACACACTCGGAGCGTCTCTCTTTTTTTAAACATGTCTTTGTCTTTCTTTGCGATCGGAAGAATACATCCATGGATATCATCATTCGTCATGTTATGTGAGCGCCGGCCTTTTCTTTCTCTTACTCTTTTTTTCCCCCTTTTTCAATGGAAAGTTCCTATGGACGGAGTTTTGTGAGTTTTCTATCTAATCCCTCCTGGAGGGTGCAATGATCCATGCCACCATTAAGTAACCTCTGTAAGCATCATCTTCTTTTTCTTTGGGGACATACTCGGTAGCTTATTGTGTGTGGGCTACCGGTTTCCATGTTTCTCAAGGATTAGAGAGAGTGTGTATGAGGTTTGTTTACAGTCGTTGAGGGGTGTTTGTTTAATTGCCTCGCGGAGAAGAAGCGGTGTCTGATTGTGTGGATGGAAGATGCTAGTGACAAATTAAGGGAATCAAGAGCTGTGGCATGTCTGCTGTTCATTTACGTCTCGGTGTGATGTAGAAGTAGAATGATGTCGCCGCCGGGGTAGTCTGGCCCCAGAACCGCTTGCTTGACCCCACAGAGGTCGCGCGATGGGGGTTGATTCTGCCATGCGCGAGATGATTCTAGTGATGTTCTTCTGTTCCGGGTGGAGAGGGAGCATCACCATCGGTGGGATTGCCCTGAACTAGCGCCAGATGTGGAGGTATGGCCATGCATGCATGTTGACGAGCATCCAGATGATCGGATTGTACCTCGACAGGAAGCGCCGTGAGCGGTAGTTGGAAGCTGGCAGATGGATTCCCTTCCATCTGCTCGGCCGGGGCTGACTCCTGTCCTGGCCTGTCCCTCGGCCATTTGCAGCTGGAGATGGCATCAATCCGGACTCGGTAGCGGTAGCCACTAGGCATTCCACTTATTGTCGACCGTGTCCCGTCGAGCGTACCGTAGAAAAGAAAGAACCGGGCCATGTCTCCGCGCGCATTCACTTGAGCGAGATAGCAACCTCGACCATCTTGATCCACCGCGTGCGCGTCTCAGGCAACTCCTCCATGTCAGCGGAGTCATCATCAGCACGCCGCTTCCTCTTCTTGTCCGAGTCCGACGCCTTCGAATCCGGTGCAGGTGCTGAATCAACACCTTCATCCACCTTCAAATCCGAATCATTCCGACTCTTCTTCTCCCCCTCAACAACATCATCAACAACAAGCACACTCCCCGTCTTCACCCTAACGACAAACTCACCACCCCGCTCCTCAAACCACTTCCCAACACCAAGCGCCCTCTCAATCGCGCGCCCCGTAGCCTTAACAAAAATCTCCTCGCGCTTCTCCGCACCAGCAATCTTCGCCAGCTCCGCGAGTTTCTGCTTCTCGCTCGTCCGCGTATCCTCCAGGCTGACCGCAGCCGTGTCACGCTTCTCCGCTTGCCGCAGCAATTTCTGGACACGCTTCACGGCGCTCATGAAGGGCGTGCTGCTGGAGACATATACTATCTTTGGCACTGTTGCACCGGCGTATGGAGAAGCGATTGGGGCGTGCGGGATAGGTCGTTTTGAGACTTTTGCGTCTGGTACCGTGCCTGGTTAGTTTCCGTCGGGTGCTGATAGATGTAGGGGGAGGTGGGGTTGCGCACTTTTGGGCAGCTTGACCAGGTTCTGGTTCTTCTTCTCAAACTGGTGCTGGCGTTCCAGCGGGCCTTTCCCCATGGTGGATGGTATGGTTCGTGTCCAGCTTTGGGTTGTTTCCTTTGCTGCTCTTATCGTTTCTTTTTTTGCCGGGCGGTCTGGTGATGACATAATGGGTGCGACATGAACCCCCAAATTAGGAAGGTGTGGGTGTGTTGTTTATTTGGGTATGCTTTCAGCTATGACGGTGATGTATATTGTGGGTTGATTTTGAATATGCTCAGTATCATGGATGGTGGCTCTCCGGCTGTTGTTTTTGGTGTTGTTTTGTAGGATAGTTAGGACAATGTCGACTCCTGAGCCGCACACGATATATATCACCCGTACCTGTCTACTCACTATACATCGACTTCAACAGCTAAGTAAATTCGGACCAATGGGCATAAGACCACTCTATTAGCAGTCAATGACAATCTACCGCAAATCCAGTGTTCACCGAGCACTGATTGAAATGAATAGGTATTGCTGCCCGTGAGGGACCCCGAGAAGGAAGCCTTGGAGACAAGGACAATAATGACTGTCTCGACACCTACCTTCCTGTGGATCTCCTCGACACTTAGCACTGCCACCAGTCATTTCCATCCTGCATCCTGTCATTGACTGTCATTGAGTGAAGCCATGATCGCCCGGAACCCCTTCGCGTCCCTTCCGTGTGAGACGTCGATTGTCCGCTCGGTAGGAGCGCCACACTGCCCCGGGCCAGTCAGGAACGAGGGCAGATCGCAATGGCCCAGACTCTGGCGATCAACATCCGGTCCCACGAGACCCAACTGCCGGTCGTGATCCCAGGAATTCATTAATAACGAACAAACGACTTCCCTACAACGTGGCTGGATATGCTTAGAACATTTCAAATCTTGAAACTCCGGGTCATGCTTCTCATAAACCCGATCGATCCTCTGTGCCCGGTGAAACCGCCGACTGCAAATTCAGGTCCCGCCAATCCGGGTGGACCCGTCGGACCTGACTGACTCGATGGATCCATGGATCGCGTTGTTTATGATGACGAGGATGGGCGTGGAGTGGGCGGACCAATAATGTGGACATACTACGACTGTCATTTCACCCTAATAATAACAGGAATAACAGTTAGGAGGTGATTGACCAGTGATGATGACACTGCGAGTTCGTTAGTACTAACGGCTGCCTTCCTGCGGACCCGGTGCCCCGGTATTCGGGGCCGTTCTTTTTTCTTCCTTTTTTTTTCTTGTCGCCACCGACGGGGAGTCCCGAGGGCGGAGTTGCGCTGGATGTATTAGGTACATGTACCAGGTCATAATCACGGAGAAGGCAACCATGGCACCGAGGGAATAGTGAATTAATATGATAGAGTCTAATAATTACGTTGTATAGGGTAAACACACACACACACACGAGCTGAGTGGACCAGTCCAGTGGATCAGTCTCGTTACTCGGGTGGATGCAGTCGATCGGGTCTAGACAGAAGGCACACTCTTCTCTCTGTTTCTCTTTTCTCATCCGTTCTCTCTCTCTCCTTCCACCCCATACGCTCGTTGTTTTGAATCTTCTCTTCCCCTCTTGGACCTGTCTCAACTGCATCCTTTCGCTTCTTTTCTTTTTCGCCGTCATCTCCGATCTTGTCCTACACCCATCCCTTGGTGGCTTTGGAAATCGTGCCGGCCCACGGGAGGCTTGACTGCTCCATTACTTATCATCCGTCTTTCTCTTTTTCATCTTCTTTCCATTGCTGCACCCTGCAATCATGGCTCCCCGTCGCGAGGCACTTGATGCCCCCAATGGCTCGTCCCTGACCTGGATCTTTGACCACTGCCTGCGCTACCCGGGCTCTTACGAAATCCCTCTGCGTGCCATGTATGACCTCAACTGCCACCCGGCCCAGCAACCGGGCACTCGTTCTCCCGAATCCGCGTTCACCCCGCGCAACTCCACTTCGACCAAGTCTTCGCGTTCTTCCCAAGACGCCTCGGTCGACCCGGCTGCCGATCTGCGCGCGCAGCTGGTCCACCAAATCTCCAAGCTGCCCTCGCAGCCTTGCACCCTCCCCCCCTAGCTTCATTACTTCATTCTTGCGCCGCTGCTTCACCAAGGAACTGGAGTCTGTGGATTTCCCTCAGGTCCTGACCGCGCTGGATTACCTCAAGGACTTTGAGTCCCGTCGCCGCAAGGAAGTGGCCGCAGCTCTGCAACGTCTCAACATCAAACCAGAGGATGTCGAGGACCCCAACCGTTCCGAGCTGGCTCGGAAGTACCCCGGCGTGCTCTCGTGGATCGAAGCAATCAATGTCAAGGGCAAGACAGTCGAGACCCTCTACACCCAGATCTACCTCGGCATCCGTCGCTGGACGCTCATCAACGAGATGCTACTCCCGGACTACAACAAGGCCAACTGCATCGCCATGCTCAACACCCTCTTCCCCCCAATGACCGACTCCATGCCTACCCCGACCTCTCAGTTGACTCATCAGATCCTCAAGTCACAACGCGACGGATTTTTCCGCTATATCACCGCCCGAGACACCCAAGGCAAGCAGGTCCTGAACCCGATCATCTGCCAGGGCGCGCCAGAGGGCCATCTCAACTCATGGCCCAAGATCCACGATGCCTTGGACAAGTACCTGTATCTTGCCAATGAAACGATCGACGAGTGCATGTCGGTCACCGAGCCCATTCACCTGGAAGGAGGCGATGCACAGAACCACAGCACCAAGGGCCGCAAGGTGGACTCGGGCATCAGCTTTGGCTCGACGAGCAGCAGCGGCAGCGGCAGCGGCTCCTCCGAGGACTCAGAGAAGCCTCTCCCACAGTTCCCGACTCTTCATCACGGTGGCCAGACCAAGACTGGCGGGTCTACTCTCGAGCGCCTTGCTCGTGAGTTCCGCAAGTTCGGCGACGGTGCTAGGTCCAAGAACCTGAGGAAGATGAGTTCGACCAGCGTGCTGGCCTCGCGGCCTGACAGCCAGCTCAGCTATGCACCCAGCTATGCTGAGAGCTCCGTCTTCGAGACCGACGGCCCGAAGCGTCATCGATTGATCAGCGAAGCTACCTTCCGCAAGAAGTCCCATGCTTAAAAAGCGAGCTTCCTCTTGCAATACATATCTTCCTGTGATCGACTGACCGGCTCTTCTTCACATGGAATGGACAGGGAAGACCAGCGCCTCCCTCCCCCCCACATTGTCTCCATATTCTCTTTCTTCGTTTTCTTCCTTGACCTGGCGTCTGTGCAACTGGAGCAAGAAAAAGTCGGGTTGCATATTTTGAGTATCTTTGTTTTCCTCTGGGAGGATCATTTGGCGCACAGGGACGCATATCACCGGCGGTGGCGCAAACCAAGAGTCAGGGCCCAGGTGGATCTTTTTGTTCTCTTAACGAATTAATGCCTAACGAATGCCAAAAAATTGGAAACGAACCGGACAATACGTAGCTAGCCTTGTACATATCTCGGAGGTGCTGCGCAAGTGGCCGCACTGCCCGCCGTAAGTGCGATAAGATAAGGCCAATCATCCAAGTGTCCACTTCAGGTGACTTCAGTTCGGCCCCAAGTAACTCTCCTTGTAACCATCTTGATTCGGGACCTGGGCCCGTGATGCTTGTCCTACATTCTCCTTTTATCGATTAACCATAGCGGCCCCTTTACCGTCTCCGCGCAAACACAGCGACTTGCGTGGCGGGGACGCTGTCTCCTGTACACATTCCACTATACACCCATTGCCCGACCAATTGCGGCTCCAACATGGGTTCCTCACGACAGTCGCCACTATCATGGCGGTGGTACACCGCCATCGCAGCATTCCTGTCTGCCGGGTTGGTAAATGCTAGCCCAGCGGTGAACGTGGCTCTCCAAGCTTCCTTCGACGCTGCCCCGTACCTCGTGGAGCTCCTGTACGTTCTCATCCCCGACGACTTTTACTTTCCCCACTAGTCATATCTCACACGCGCATGCGTGCAACAGTGAATCCGCCGCAGAAGAAAATTCCACCGCCTACTTCCCGCTCCTCGACCGAATCGCCGACGGCACCTTCGAAGAAGCCACTACGGAGAAAGAGCTCTACGACCGCTTTCTGCAGGTCGTCCACGAAGATGGACACCTCAGCACTGCCGAGAGTCTTTCATCGTTTAAACTCTCGCTCGCGATTCGGTCGTCCGCGCCTCGCATCGAGGCGCATTACCAGTTCTATAATTCTTCTGTTCAGCAGACCCTCATGGCGGCTCAGGATGCCGTGTGTCCTGTTTGGGTTCATGCGGATGGAAAGCAGTATTGCTCGGCGAGCATGGGAAGGGCACAACAGGATGTTCTTGGAGAACAGTGCGTAAACACTGATACTTATGATTGATGACTTGTTGGACTGACCCTCGGCTGTTATAGAGATCCGAGAGAGCTTCCCTTTGACCGGGTTTTGGGAGATCCTTCACTGCCTCCCGCTGTGTTGTACGCAGATATCTCCGCGCCGACGTTTAAAGATTTCCACGAGACGCTGCGTGAAATGGCGAACGAGGGACAGGTATCCTATCGTGTGCGCTACCGGCCCCCTCAGCACTGGATCTCGCGGCCGTTGTTTGTCTCTGGGTATGGAGTGGAACTTGCGTTGAAACGAACGGATTATATCGTCATCGATGATAGAGATGCTGAGCAGCGAGAGGAAAAAGAACCCAATAAGGAGGAGGAATTGAAAGAAGACGCGCCGGATGACCTCCGCCCGCTGTCTGCCTCCGAAGTCTCCAGACTGGGCCTTAATGCTGCGAGCTATGTGATGGACAGTGTAGACCCCTTGGATACATTGATCAAGGTTTCTCAAAACTTCCCGAAATACTCATCTATGGTGGCTGGCCACAACGCCTCGATGGACTTGCGAAAAGAGATTCGCAAGAACCGCGCGCAGATGGTCCCACCGGGATACAATGTGATGTGGATCAATGGAGTTCAGATTGATTCGCGGCAGATGGATGCTTTCTCTCTTCTCGACCATCTGCGTCGGGAGAGAAGAACGATCCAGAAGTTCCACGATCTGGGCTTGTCTGCCCAAGAGGCCGTGAAGCTTCTGTCGCACCCTCTTCTTGCCGCATCTCAGGCGGAGGATGCCTCACACAGATATGATTATCGAGATGCATTGGAAGGGGGACAGGTCATTATTTGGATGAATGATTTGGAGAAGGACTCTAGATACGAGGAGTGGCCCAGTGAGCTTCAAGCGGTGTGTATAACCTCATACTTTGGAGGTGTCACCGTATACTGACCTCTTCCAGTACCTAATGGGAGCTTATCCGGGCCAGTTGCCTCCAGTGCGCCGTGAACTCAACAATATCGTCATGCCGGTCGACCTGAGCAAGCCCGAAGATATGAACATGGTCTCTACGACTCTGTTTACTTTCATTAAGCGAATGATTCCGGTGAGGTTCGGATTTGTCCCTACCACTTCTTCTCCGGAGGCTATTGGCCAGGCGAAGGTAGCCCACTACCTCCAGGAGACCTATGGACTGGCTGCTCTTATAGAATACCTGGACAAGGTAAGATCATCCATACGAAAAATCTAGCTACGTGCTGATATTAATACCGCACAGTCTGCCTCGGAATTGAAAACGACTGTTCCAGACAAATCCATTTTCGCATCCATCACCAAGAAGCGCCAACCTCGTGCCGAGAAGAAGACCTTATCTTTGGATGAGGTTTTAAAAGTAGAAGACTATGAAAACCTGGTCTCCCGCACCATGGATTACACGCGTCGCCTGGATGTTGGCAGCGCAAGCTACTTCTTGGTCAATGGAGTGCCCATTCTCCGTGAGGACAATTGGATGGAACAGATGAGTATGCAGATCAGCAAGGATCTCCGCTCCGTCCAGGAGGGTATCGCAGCAGGTCTCATTGAAGAGGATGCTTGGCTGCCGAATTTCCTCTTGGATGGCACCTATGAGCGGCGGAATAATTTCCTCATGCCTGAAGATCCGAAGAGTGTCCGCATCGTGGATCTTGCTGGTGTTGACGGATTGAATGCCCTCCCGGGAATCGAATCAGAGAAAGGTGCCCTGGAAAGTGTTCAGATGATTGTTGTGGGCGATTTCGATTCGGAAGAAGGATTGGAGCTGCTGACCGAGGCTCTGAATTTCCGGAAAGAACATGATGAAGTGGATATCCTTGTGCTGCACAATGCCGCCTCCGCTGCTGATTCAAATCGGCTTGGAAGCATTGCCTGTTCTCTGGTTAGAGGAGAAGTCTCGGCTGATCTGTGCAAGGAGGCTCCCCGCTCGCCTACCAAGGGAGAAGATATCCCCAAGATCCTGGAAAAGCTCACCGCAAATGAAGGCGCAATTGGGCAAGTTGCAGAGGAGCTGGAATTGCACCGACGACTAGTGGAAGAGCTTGGATTTGAACCTGGCACAGAAGGTCTCGTCGTGAATGGCCGGGCGGTTGGTCCTATCGAAAAAGATAACTCGCTGATTGCGGACGACCTGAGCCAGCTTGTTGCCTACGAGCGCACCAAGCGGATCAGCGCTATCGCAGGGGCTGCTTCAAAGCTTGAACTTGATGCCCGACTCGCCAAGCCGCTCGATCTCGCCAAGCTTACTTCACTTGTTGCTCTTTCGAGCATCTCCGATGTCCCGGAGGGGATCTTTGAGAGTACCCCTGACTTTCGGATGGATGTGTCTCAGCGGTGGAAGACGGATCACTCCGTGATCACAGTCTCTAACTCAGAGGATCCCTTGATCAACGTGGCTGCCATTGTCGACCCAGCCTCCGAGTCTGCTCAAATATGGCTACCGATTCTCAAAGTCCTGTCAGAACTGGCGGGTGTCGAGTTGAAGATCCTCCTCAACCCCAAGGAGACAATGCAAGAGCTTCCGGTCAAGCGTTTCTACCGTTACGTGCTGGAATCTGAACCGTCTTTCACGGAAGATGGGTCCTTGTCTCGACCCCAGGCATCGTTCTCGGGCGTGCCCGTTGAAGCCCTTCTGACACTCGGCATGGACGTCCCATCATCGTGGCTCGTGGCTCCCAAAGAGTCCATCCACGACCTTGACAACATCAAGCTCAGCTCGCTCAAGTCCGACTCAAACGTCGACGCCATCTACGAGCTCGAGCACATCCTGATTGAAGGACACAGCCGCGACCTGACAGCCAAGTCGCCGCCGCGAGGCGTGCAACTAGTTTTGGGTACTGAGAACAACCCTTACTTCGCCGACACCATCATCATGGCCAATCTGGGCTACTTCCAGTTCAAGGCCCAGCCGGGCCTATGGCAGATCAACCTGAAGCCCGGCCGCAGTGAGAAGATCTTCAACATCGACAGCGTCGGCGGCGAGGGGCAGCGCCCCCAACCAGGCGACGAGAACAACGAAGTCGCTCTCCTGTCCTTCCAGGGCCGAACGCTCTTCCCGCGTCTCTCACGTAAACCTGGCATGGAAGCCGAGGATGTCCTGGAATCCGGCCCTAAGCCGGGTTCGGCAATGGACTACGTCTCCAAGGGTCTGAACTTTGCCTCGGGCGTTCTCTCCAGCGTCGGCGTGAAGTCCACGAGCGGTGACGAGCAACACGCCGACATCAACATCTTCTCCGTCGCCAGCGGGCACCTCTACGAGCGCATGCTCAACATCATGATGGTCTCCGTGATGCGACACACCAAACACACCGTCAAATTCTGGTTCATCGAGCAATTCCTCTCGCCTTCCTTCCGCGCCTTCCTCCCCCACCTCGCGCGCGAATACAACTTCTCCTACGAAATGGTTACCTACAAATGGCCGCACTGGCTGCGCGGTCAGCGCGAGAAACAGCGCGAGATCTGGGGTTACAAGATCCTATTCCTGGACGTCCTGTTCCCCCTATCCCTGGACAAAGTCATCTTCGTGGACGCGGACCAAATCGTGCGAACAGACATGCACGACCTCGTCACGCACGACCTGGAAGGCGCGCCGTACGGCTTCACCCCAATGGGCGACTCGCGCGTCGAGATGGAGGGCTTCCGCTTCTGGAAGCAGGGCTACTGGAACTCCTTCCTGCGGGGGAAACCATACCACATCTCCGCGCTGTATGTCGTCGATCTGGCGCGGTTCCGCGCGCTAGCAGCGGGCGACCGCCTGCGCGGCCAGTACCAGATGCTCTCGGCGGATCCGAACAGTTTGTCGAATCTCGACCAGGACCTGCCGAATCACCTGCAGCACAACCTGCCCATCCACAGTCTGCCGCAGGAGTGGCTGTGGTGCGAGACGTGGTGCAGTGATGAGGATCTCGAGACAGCGCGGACGATTGATCTGTGTAATAATCCGCAGACGAAGGAGCCGAAGCTTGCCAGGGCGCGCAGGCAGGTTCCTGAGTGGACGGTGTATGATGATGAGATTGCGGCTTTGGCGAAGAGGGTTGCAGCGGTGGATGAGGAGGTGGCCGGGTTCGTGCAGTCGGGTGAGGATAGTGTGTCTGTTCAAGAAGCTGAGGTCGAGGGCGAGGTGGCGGCCGAGGATGAGCGCAAGGATGAGCTATAGAGTCCTTGTAGTGTATACCTAGGAGTGAAGAAAGGAAAAAAAAGGGATGTATTCATCGTATATGGCCGCAATTGAGAATTGAATAGCACAGAGTCCTTTTTGTGCGTAGGATATGGAAACCTATGAGGTTGACGCCGAAATGACCGCTACGAAGTCTAGAACCAGTTGTGTTTGAAAGTAGAGGAAGTTGATCAGGGCCCGCGCTCGCCAGGTGAGCTAACTACTCAGTCAGTAGTTAGATGGGCATGGTGCGAACTCGACAGAGGACATACACATCAGTAGAATAGAAAAATGAAGAAAAGGGGAGGGGGGAGAAAGTGACGGTAAAAATCTTATAGACACAGCCTGGAAGCGTACAAATTCATTCATCTTTTTGTTTTACAAGTCCAACATTATTAGTTCCTCTCTTTGGTATTCTGTACAAACCAAACTCCCCATAGTGGCTCCCCAGAATCGATCAACCAGCCAACCAATCAATCCGACTCAGACCGGTACTCCTTAACCGACACGACGGAATCTTCACCCGATGAGTCGCTGCCATACTGCACCTCGGAGTCTGTATCCGTAAGATCGATCTTGACATCTTCTTCATCATCGACATTGCCTGAGGACATCAGCGACGCGGGAGCATGTGACGATGATACCTCGTAGACCTGGCTGTTGCCAATGTTGGATTCTCCGTCATCCCTCTCGTCGGCAGCCGGTAGATCAGCGGCCTTGTCCTTATTCTTCTTGGACTTCTTCTTGCGTTTCTTGGTCGATTCCGTAGGGTCAATCTCAGGCTCAGGCTCAGGCTCGGGTTCAGGCTCGGGTTCATGGCTCGAGACGCCATTGGGCTCGGATGCTGTAGACTTGCGGCTCTTCTTTTTCTTTTTCGTTTTCTTCTCGCCGTTCTCCGCGTGCTCCGCATCCTCTGCAGCCGCAGCTACTTTGATGCTGGCAGCTTCCCCGTTGACTTCGGCCTCGGTTGCTTCGGAGTGCTTCTTCTTCTTCTTTCTCTTCTTCTCCAGTTGCTCTCCGTTGTCAGCCTCCTTTCCTTCCGCTTGCTCATCCTTCTTCTTGCTCTTCTTTTTCTTCTTCTCAGGGGCTGGTGAAGAGGGCGCGTCAACTTCTGTAGTGGTTGTCTCAGCGTGTTTGCGTTTCTTTGATTTCTTGGCGGAAGAGACCACAGGTCGTTGATCGTCAGTAGCAGCTGTAGCTTGAATTTTGGGTTCAGATTCGGCATTCTCCTGAGACATGGAAGCGAGCGCGGCTTGCGCCTCTTTCTCCCCCTGGGATGAAGCAAGAGCCGCAATTTTCTCGGTCATGCTGAAGCCACGTCTGAGGCTCTGAGATTCAGCTGGAATATCGTCTCCGACCGAGTCCTCGTCACTGCCCTCATCCTGAACAAATTCCCGGCTGATCGCTTGATCCTTCACTACGAATCTCTTGTTCCAACTGGCATTCTTCTTTGCTGTGTCTGCGAGGTCAGGCATTGCGTTCGGATCGCCTGACCTGGCCCGCAGCCCGTGAACATGGGAGCGAAGTTTGCGAAATCGATCTGCACACTGTTGTCGAGATCGGATATTGCCAATTGCATCGCTCACAGAACCCCACGCGATGAGCTTGTCGTCCATATCAAAAATGTCTTTGCCACAGCTTTCCGGGACCGTTTGTTTCAGACTCTTCCACATGCCCTCAATTACCTCAATAAGGAGGCGGATCTCTGGCTCCTCCCATGCACCGTGTCTCATCTTGTCGCGGTGCTCCAGGCGGTTCTTCCACCGCTGCGTGACGTCGTCATCGGAGCGGCCAAGCATGTTGGCAATCTCCTTCCATTTGGGCCCCATTTGGGCAACGAGCTGGATAAATTCCTTGTCCTGCTCTGGCGTCCAGTCATGCGCTTTCTGCCCCGAGGCCTGGAAGTGTCGCCGCATGAACCGATACACGGATCGTTTCTCGCGGTCCGGGAGAGTGCCGAGGATCCTGGACCAAAATTCGGCCTTGTTGATGGAGGTATTTTCAAGTGGAAAGTCCTTCTCTGGGCCGCGTTGGGAGTACTGCACCAACATGTCGAACTGCGGTCCTTCGATGTGGTGTTCCGCGCAGAATGCCAGCTTGAACCCCTCCATCCTCTGGACTTCCTCGTCCGTGAAGAACCCGACTTTCATGTCGTTCTTCCCTCGTCGTGAGCTCCTGTTGGCTTTCCTCTTCTTTTCTTCTCCATTGGGGGTCGAGGAGTCGCGCTCGCCGCTGGGTTCTTGACTTGCCGGTGTCGAGGGGGCGTGTTGAACAGGCTGATGATTGATAGTTTCCTCTACATTTTCTCTCTCTCCATTCTGTACTGGAGACGCACGTGATGGCGTCGGGGAATTTTCTGGTTGCGAGGAGGGAGGAAACTGTTGAGATTGGGGAACAGGGCGAGCTTGGTTCACAGCGGTGAAGGAGACGCCGTTCGATTTCGGGGGAGACGGCATGTTGCCAGTTATGTTGTCCTCGGGTGCGTGATGCTTCTTCTTCTTCTTCTTCTTTGGCTCAGCTGGTTCCGAGTCGCGTTTGCGTTTAGGCGCTGACTTGTCTCCGTCTTCAGTGGGAGGGAGGTCTGGATGGTCCTTGGCCTCGAGGCCACCACCGGTGGTGTGTAGTAGAGAAGAGCGGTTTTTGGAGCGGGACTTTTTTTTCTTCTTGGGGGACTCCATGACGGGTGCGAGATGTGGAGCTTCGGGGACTGCGCAAGATGGATCAGCCTCGGAAAGGACAAAATCGATGAGGATGCGCGGGATGATTATTTACCGGACTCTTCTTCGCCAGTCATCTGCGAAGATTTCTGACCCATGGCAAACCCGAGGGAGAGACAATCGAAAGAAGGAGCAGGGGAGGTCGAGGAAAAAGTTGGGTGGGCCGGGGGTGACTACGTTATGATTGGTTGACTGGTGAGTACACCTCTATAGACCACTTGTTACAAGGAGTAACAATGTAGATGTACGCGAAGTATAGGAGGTACTTGTAGTTATTGTATGCAATGGATTACTCATAATATCGTACAGAGATGTTGGATATCATCCGATCTTCATCTCGCGCAAAATCCTCGACACCAGCTTCTTCTGCTCCGACGTGCTCAGGTTGCCCTCGTCCGTCTGCTGCAGGCATCGCCCAATGGTCACCGTCGCCTGGACGGCACTGTCTCCAGCATTCGAGCAATCCACCCAGACCTTCCCATTCCGCCCGACCGCAATCTCAAACCCTCCCACGCTCTCCAACTTCTTGTCCAGTTCAGACAGGACAACTAGTCCCTCCACGGCGTCCGTCTGGTCCGGTGAGGCCGAGCTGGCTCGGATCAACCGCGCCGCCATGCCCGTAGAAACATCAAACACCATGCCGCCCACCAGCGGACCCAGACCACCAGGTTCTGCCTTGCCCGTGGCGGGATTGACGCAGGTGAGCTCGACCTCGGCGCCGGCACCGATTCCGACCGACAAGACCCGCGCATAGACCAGCTCGCCCTGCTTCAACATCGGTCTTGTTTTCTTCGTTGCGCCCTCAAAGGACAGCTGGCCCAGCAGGGCTTGCGCCGTATGTGGGGTCACCATACAGTGGAAGTAATCGGCGCTGGAGTGGTGGATCTGCGCGATGATGAGGTCGTTCGGAGTCGGGATGTAGCGGCGATTGGAGAATGAGAGAAGGGATACGGTATTTCGTTTGGCATCGGTCGTCAGTAGACCGGCTTGTGTTGCTGTGAGGACATGGCCGGCCGCCGCTGATGTGGATGGCTGCGATAGTAGCCGGAGCCCGGGACCCAATTTGAGAGGATTGTTGTTTTTGGTTGGAGGCAAATGGTCGGATGGCACCTCTTCGCCAGGGAGTAAGACGAGCGGCGTCGTCATGGTAGAAGGATGATAATTGGGAGGGAGTGAATTAATTGCAAGCTCTCGAAAGAAAGAAAACGCTTATCGGATCACCTTACATAAGCACAGTCAAAAAGTTTTTCCCCCGCTGGCCTTGATCCATTCACTCCTTCACTTTCCTCAACATCAATTCATTTCCTACAAAATGGGTGACGCGGCTAACGGTGTCTCTGCGGAGACAGAGAGATTTGCCATTGGTATCTCCTTTGGCAACACATCCAGCTCCATCGCTCGTATTTCGCCCGTACGTGTGCAGAGCCTTCGACTGAGATCCGATTCAAACTGACATATCGTTCCTATAGGAGGGCAAGGCTGAGGTGATTGCCAACGAGGAAGGAGGTGAGTTTTTTTCTCTCCAGTTCAGTCAAATTCATTGCATTTTCTGACTGGCCCAGATCGTCAAATTCCTAGCATTCTCTCTTACATCGAGGGAGAGGAATACCACGGCACACAGGCCAAGGCACAGCTTCTTCGCAACCCCAACAACACTATCGCATACTTTCGGGACTACCTGGGCAAGGACTTCAAGTCGATTGACCCGACTCCATGCCACCAGTCGGCCCACCCGCAGCAGAACGACTCGACCGTGGCGTTCTCGGTCCGCGACTCTCCCAGCTCCGAGACCCCCAACACCGTCACCGTCTCTGAGGTCACCACCCGCCATCTCCGTCGTCTGAAACAGTCCGCTGCCGATTTCCTGGGTAAGGACGTCAACGCGGCCGTCGTCACCGTTCCCACCGACTTCTCCGATGCCCAGCGTGAGGCCCTGGTTGCTGCGGCCAAGGCTGCCGGCATCGAGGTGCTGCAGCTGATCCACGAGCCCGTCGCCGCTGTCATGGCCTACGATGCTCGTCCCGAAGCTACCGTGACTGACAAGCTGGTTGTGGTGGCCGACCTGGGCGGTACCCGTTCCGATGTGGCCGTCGTGGCCTGCCGTGGCGGCATGTACACCATCCTGGCTACTGCCCACGACTATGAGCTGGGCGGTGCATCCCTGGACCAGATCATCATCGACCACTTCGCCAAGGAGTTCATCAAGAAGCACAAGATCGACCCCCGCGAGAACGCCCGCGGCCTGGCCAAGCTGAAGTCATTTGGTGAGGGCACTCGCAAGACTCTCAGCCAGACCTCCAACGCCCAACTGAGCATTGAGAGCTTGGCGGACGGCATTGACTATCACTCCACTGTCAACCGCACTCGGTTCGAGCTGCTGTCGAACAAGGTCTTTGCTCAGTTCACCGGTTTGATCGAGCAGGTGGTCAAGAAGGCCGACCTTGATGTCCTGGACATCGATGAGGTATGGTTCCTCTTTTCCCTATCATTTAAATCTATACTGACAATTCAACCCAGGTTATCTTCTCCGGTGGTACCTCGCACACCCCCAAGATTGCCCAGCTGGCGCGCAACATCTTCCCTGAGAAGACCAACATCCTGGCCCCCTCGACCTCGACCACGGCCATCAACCCGTCTGAGCTGTCGGCCCGCGGCGCCGCCTTCCAGGCGTCCCTGGTCCAGGAGTTCGACAGCGAGGACATCGAGCAGTCCATCCACCCGATGGTCACCGTGACACCGCACCTGAGCAAGGCGATCGGCGTCGAGATCACCTCAGCCACCAGCAAGACGGCCTTCCAGCCCCTTCTGGACGTCGAGACCGCCCTTCCCGCCCGCCGCATTGCGCAGTACTTTGCCCCCAAGGAGGGCGGCGACGTGCTCGTGCGCGTGTGCGAGGGCACTCGCTCGATCAAGGTCACCAAGCCCGAGCCTAAGGCCAAGGCTGAGAAGCCCGCTGAGGATGATGAGGATGACTCGGACTTTGACGACTCCGACGAGGAGGAGGATGATCTCCGCGAGATTGTCTGGAAGGCGGAGACGCCCATCGCTGAGGTGGCGGTTAAGGGCGTTAAGGCTGGCGGCAAGATCGAGGTTACGATCCACGTGAACCCGGATCTGGGTCTGCAGATCTCGGTGCGTGAGGTCGGTGGCCAGAATGCCGTGCGCGGTGCTATCAATGGCTCTGCTTAGGCGGTGTCTTGTTCAAAAATTGCTTTCTTTTGTTATGTGATGATGGCATGCATGATTGATAGAAGCTGTTGTTTCCTTTTTTTTTTGCCTCTTTTCTTTCCACTTACATTATATAGACCCTCAATCTGGATGTAGCCAATGATAAAATTGGTTTCCTTTGGCCATAGACCCCTAGTCTATAAAGTCTATAGATTTGCTCGAAGAGACAAGACGTTACTCGATGGTTTAGAACCGGTACTCAATAATCTAACACAAGACATTATATTACAACTATTAGGGTAACTTGGAAGTCTCTCGCAAGAAAAATCCATATAACACCCAGATAAACACCAAGCGGCGGAAGGAGAATCACTAACACATGAAACTCGTAAACAGAACTCCGCAAAATCTCGAGAGGAACACAGGAGATGCCATCATGATAATGATGAACACCGGAGGCAGGGGTAATGTAACGATCGTGAACAGTTCGTAAGACATGGCATGACAACGATGATGATAGTGAATGTGATGTATGGGCGGAAAGAAGAGCGAACATGTCGGCGTCTGTTTCTCCAGCGCCAGATAAGCAAGGCGTTGCTTTGATCGAAATCAAAGACGAGGAAATAATAAGAAAAACATCCCAGACAACAATAAGTTTCAAACGGGATATCGTTCAAAAAGGGGCCAGTCAATCAGTGGGGTATGTCAACAGAAACAACCAAAAGTCGAATCTGAAACGATTCATCTTTTTCATTTTTTGAAGATCCCACACCAAGAGCAAGCGGTATAACCCACTTAGTCTAAGCATAAGAAGAAGTCTCCTTCTTATTAGCAGCGCTTTGACTGCGCACGCTATTCGAGCGCTGCGAAGAAAAGAACCCGCGGCGCCGCTGCTCACGCCCACTGTAGCCGCCTTCTTTGCGGCCCACCGCACCGCCAAGGCAGTAGAGCAGACAGGACAGGAACAGGCAGGCTGTCGCAGTCCACATGAAAGCAAAGGCCTTGACACCCAGGCTGGAGGATTGACCGTTCCGATTGAATGCGCTCCGGCCCTGGACGAAGACAGCACTTTTAACCCGATTGTTAGTATCGCAGACTATTAGGTAGAGGGAGGGCATGGAGAGAGAGAGGACATACGTCATGAGACAGGTTGTGATGGTTATGAAGGTTAGGGCCAGCCAGGACAGGAAGCCGGAGATGTAGCTGCCGATGCGGGTGCACATGGCCACCAGTCCGGTGAAGAGGGACAGGGTTGCGAAGAACAGGCCGATGAGGATGAAGGGGAACATGAACCGCGAGGTGAGGAAGTAGTGGTTTGTTCTGTGGTTCGTTAGATATGGACTGAAGATATCAGATTGACGACAATAAACATACCCAATGAACTCGGGCGGCACGTTGGTCGTGGTACCAAAGTTGCGATGGCTTGGGGGGTCGAAGGGGAAGTCCGGGTGCGAGCTGCCGCAGTCATTCTTGCCATCCCTGACGCTGCACAGCTGCCAGAAGGTCCAACGCGACACCGCGGGTGCGCCCGGGATGTTGGCCGTGTTGGCTTCCAAGAAGTAGATGCGGTTCAGCGGGTTGGAGTTGCGGGCTCCGCCCAGTAGGGTTAGGAAGATGAGCAGGATGGCGGAGGCCATGAAGAACAGGCCCAAAAAGCCCATTCCCACTCCTGGTATGCTCGTCAGTTTTCTGTAGTATAGAGTTGGGACAAGGGTCGCATACTGCTTAAAGGCATGGTGAGGAGTATGTTCGAGGGTGATCGATCTAGTGTCGGAGGGAGGGATGAATTAATGAGGATCGAGTCGAACCGTGCGGAAGAAGAGAAGTAGAAAAAGGCATGGCAGAGAATGCAGCACAAGTATAAACGTCAAAGAAGCCGGGCGATCCGTTGATGGTCGACGTCATGCTTGCACTTGCTGGTGGGGGACCCGATTCGGCTAGTCCATGACGACGTTGCACTTCATTCGGTCTGACGTGGTGCACTTCTACACCTTACACTCACCGCACTCACCCCAGGATGGCCACTTGGGCGTACCCTCCCTTGCCGCCTGATCAGCTCACTCGTGAGGTCGACTCGGCCCTGGTACGGACCCCCCTGGCGGATCCCTCAGCCACTCACCACCCTTGGAGAAAAAGATGTGTGGGGAAGCTAACCCGATCAATTAGTCTCGCGAACTCGAGTGGCTGCTGCGCGCACTGCAGGACTCCCTGGTCTCTCTGAAGGAAGGCCTTCAAGAATGCGCCGCTCTCCTGGCGCCCAAGGAACCCGGCTCGACCCTGGTGCTGTCGTCGCTGCGATCCGAAAATGTCAAGGGCTTCGTGACACGAGTTGGCACCAAAGTGGTCAAGGGGGTACGTGTCTCCATCAACGAGTCGCTTCTGTATCCGCACTGACTCACTCGTTGCATAGGATATCCAGCTTCGCCTGAGCTCCCTGCCGCATCCCCGAGGCAGCTCGAGCACCCGCCTCAGCCTGTCCCAGGCGCCCGACGCCCCCGAGCTGGTGCTGCAGCAACTCGTCTCGGTGCGCAATCTAGTGAACCAGAGCCTCGATATTGTCGACGTCAGCGCGTGGACCGGCGACCCGCTCAATGCCGCGTTTATCTTCAGTCAACTGCACTTGCTCCTGGAGACCATCGGTGAAGCGCGGCAGATGCTCAAGGGGGACGGGGACGATGTGCGCGGCAAGTGGTGGGAAGCCAACGCCACGGAATTGGTACGTGCATGAATGAATTATTGATATCCGGATCTGATGCTCAACCACAGCAGATGTTCGACCCTCCCCTGCCCTCCTATCTCTCCTTCCATCTTTCCATCGCCGACTCTGCGCTGGTCCTATTGCTCCGCACCCTCGAATCCACGACGCCGGCACAGGCACCCACCGCGTTTGCGTCGGATATCTCGCTGACCGGATTTTCCCTGCGCGACCGGATCTTCGGTGCCCGGCACCCGGCCCACGATGAGGCCGGCGACGTATTCCTGTGGCACGGCGAGGAAGTCCATGTCAAGGAGAAGGTGCGGGTGGAAAGCCAGGATCCCAGTCTCATGGCCGTGATGGCCAAACTGACGGCGCTCGAGCACGAAGTGATGCGGTGGGTGGCGGCGCTGCGGGTGCTCATGGGCGATGACGAGACGGAGAGCGAGACAGAGAATAATTCTCCCCGAATAGATAATAAATAATATCAATGCATGTATATACTACAAGGAAATGAACGGTCGCGATTGACGCTATACTGGAACCTTGATAGTAGCTGAATCTCAGCAGCCAATCAGCGCCCGTTGATTGGGTAGTCTTGGCATGGATTTTCTCTTTTGCTGCTGCTTCTTCTTTTTCTTCTTCTTCTCTCCAGCTCTGTCGCTTCTTGCAAAAGGACGATGTTGTCTCGATCTTCCGCTTCGGCCAGTCGGCAATGCTCGCGGGATCTGCTACGCACCGTCCCTGGCGCTTCAGTACGACCGCGAGCCGGGACACATCTGATCGCGCAGAGACAGAAGCACCACGCCGCGACACAATCCCCTCTAACCGCGTCTCAATACACGCCACGGACAACGAATACCCCCCAAAATGGCACGGCGCAGTGGTACACCGCACAGAGACTCTCATCGACCGCCGCACCCTCCGAGACGCCACCCGACAACAATGACAAGCTCTCTGCCCTGGTCGACCGGATCAGTGAAAATGAGGCCAGAATGATGGGGCTGTTGGAAGAGCTGGAGAATATGGAGATTATAGAGAATATGGAAGATATGGAAGACGTCGACGACCTAGATCTCGTGCAGCTGCTGCTCGGAAACCGTGACGAACACACTGCCGAGGCATGGGTGCAGAAGGTCCGGCAGCAGTTCGGCGAAAACGTTCCTCTCGGGGCTCTGGACGAGTCCGATCTTCAGCTCTACACCAGTCTTTACGGCGAACCAATCATCATCGGGGAGGAAATCTCCGACGTGGACTTTGAGGGCGAGGAAGACGAGAGGCTGTTCCTCGAAGACGAGCACGGGGGATGGGAGGAGGTGGAGGTTGAGCAAGACGCATACACGCAGAATGAAGAGGAAGCGCCCCTCGTCTACGATATGGAGACTGGGCCGGTGGAGGAGGAAACGATTGCCATGCGGCGAACACGCGAAGTGGCTGAGCAGCTGGGCGGCGAGATCATGCTGGAGCAGTTCGAGAACGAAGCCAATCCCGACTCGGCACCGCGCTTTCATCCTCTGACCCTGCAGGGCAAATTCTCAACAGACCCCAGCACTGTTTATTTGCCGAAAAGTACACTGACAGACCCCATCTCCTCAATCTTGGCTGAGTTCTCCAACAAGCATGTCGCCGACACTGCGCGACGCCTGTTTGGCGGTCCGGGGCTGCCTCATTCGACCACGACTGCGCCGCCTCGCGCCCAACTCCCACAGCTTCCTATTCCTCTCCATGCGTCGCAGCATCACATGGGTGACATGGAGGCTAACGCGTACCTCGCGGCCTTGTATCCGGGCATCTACGCATCGGTTCTGAGTATCCTGGTGGAGATTCGCAAGCGCTTGGGCACAGATTGGATCCGCAGTCTCATGTCACAAGAAGGCGGACCGAACGTGCTCGATGCCAGTGGCGGCGGTGCCGGTATCCTGGCCTGGAGAGATGTCCTTCGTGCAGAATATGAGCTGATGGTGCCTGACCACCCGGAGGGTGCGCCCATCCCGCTGGGCCGATCTACCGTATTGACCGGGTCCGAGGCCCTTCGTCTGCGTGCCAGTGCTATGCTAGAAGACACGAGCTTCCTCCCCCGTCTACCGGACTACGTCCACGTGCGCGAGAAACCAACCCTAGACGATGAGCGCCCTGCTCCTAAACGCAAGCAGTACGATATCATCATCGCACCGCATTCCCTCCTCGGTTTCACGGAGGACTACGAGCGCAAGGAACACGTTGAGAACCTATGGGCCCTCCTCAACCCCAACGGCGGGGTCCTGGTTCTCCTCGAGAAAGGCCGCCAAAAGGGCTTCGAGGCCATCGCGGGAGCCCGCGAGATGCTTCTGAAGCGGCACATCGCCAGCCCCGGCTCAACAGAATATACCAATTTCACCGAGTCCCCGGACTCCGCCGAAACCGTGGACAAGGAGCCCGGGATGATCATCGCCCCCTGCACGAACCATTCCACTTGTCCGATGCACAACCCCGCCGGCCCAAGCAAAGGCCGCCGAGACTACTGCCACTTTGAGCAGCGATTCATCCGCCCGCCCTTCCTGCAGCGCATCATGGGCGCCAAGGACCGGAACCACGAGGACGTCAAATTCAGCTACCTGGCCGTGCAGCGCGGGGCCGATCTGCGCCAGACACAGAACATCATCCAGGACGCCGCTATCACCGACACCGCATTCGAGGGCTACGAGAACCTCGACGAAGAAGCAGACCTTCCTTCTTCTGCTGTTGAGCCGCTCTCCCTCCCGCGCGCCGTTTACCCACCCCTCAAACGCCGCGGGCACGTCATCTTCGACTTCTGCACGCCAGCCGGCAAAATCGAGCGCTGGACCGTGCCTCGCTCGTTCAGCCGGCAGGCCTATCGCGATGCGCGCAAGGCAAGATGGGGAGATCTGTGGGCGTTGGGCGCGAAGACGCGCATCCCGCGCAAGTTGAATCTGGGCGATAAGCATGGCGAGGGGAAGAAGGAGCGTTTGGCGAGGAGGGCGATGAGTAAGGCGCGTCAGGCCGCGGAGGAGGGCGAGGGCGAGTTTGATGATGAGGCCCTGGATGAAGGCGAACTGGAAGGTCTTGAGGATGAGGATGGGGCTGATGATGGGATCCCGCAGATTGCGGTTAGGAAGAAGGGGCAGAATATCCCCAGTTGGAAGAAGTATAATGATAAGAAGAAGGTTAGGCAGGCTATGAGGAGGCAGTCGGCGGACGGTTTGTGATGGGTTTGGGGATTGTATACTACTTTTCACGGGCAACATGGACATGGGTACTGGGATTTGGGATTGGGATTTGTATACTAGATCATTCTTCACACTGCAATTGTACATTATGTCTCCACCCTTCCAATTGGCTTCAATTGGCATCTGGCTTGCAGTTCTACCTATCATAAGATCTGCCTACAGTTCCCGACCATGTAGGAGTGACAGTTTGACCATAAGGGTTATGCACCACACAGCTAGAACCTGTGCAGCCGACAACTGCTTCGGTTTGCGGAACAGCAGTCTCGTTGCGGCGCTTGGCCTCGAAGTCCCACGGTGGTCGCACTAGTGAGAGTAGATCGGACCGGACCGGAATTGATAGAGATAGATCATCTCTCCATTGGGCATGGATGGAGATCCGCACAGATGCAGCCCCATGTCTTCCACGATGCAAGGGATATTTGATAAGAAGTGCAGGTGTTGAAAGTGTTGAAAGTATCGAACGCAATCTTGCTTGCTGCCCTCGATACCCAAGTGACTGAGTCTAGGTCTTCTGAGCCAGAAACCCTTCATTCTTAGAGTAGGAACATCAATCTTTCTTCTCATTGGTGTCGGATTCATCTTCGATAAGTTGATGTGGTCGTATCAAGAGGGCCGAGTTGTCAACTTCCCTTTACAAATTCCAGATCCTCTATTTTCAGTCGGAGGCTTCCAGCTGATCATTGCGAAGACGCGAGACGTCCGGACCTCCGGAGCGATTTCCCAGTTTGTGTGAAAGTATCGTTGAATCGTTGACTTGGTTTGCTTTGTCCCGGGATATTCAACTCGCCGGTGTTAAGAGCAGGGGCAGCGCCAATTGATAATTGGCGAGCATTGTTTCGTTATCCAGACACAAAGAGCGGGTGCCCTCGACAACACTGAGAAAAGAACCACTAGTAAGGGTACTGGACGGCGTCGAATTGCGTGCGCGGTAGAGGACACTTGGCCGCTGGAATCAGGCAATGCGGAGACCATAATCCATATAGATATGGCAGCTTGAATCAATTCAACCCGTCGCCGCAGATGAATGCAAGAACCCCAAAGCCCTCCTCACTGAGCCGCCATACTCTTCCTCAACTGCCTCTCCTTCTGCGTACTCTGCAACTCCAACCTCTCAACCGCATACTTCAACCTCTCCTTCTTCTGCACAAGACTCTTAAGATGAAGAGCCTTCGCCGCATTATCCCCACTTCCAGCTCCAGCCATTCTCGCCCGCAACGCCGCAGCGCTAGCCTGTTTCTGCCGCGCAGCTGAGCTTCTGCTCTCCGAATTAGACGACAGACGACCCTCTTGCAAATCGCATTTCGCTTTCAGGCCCTGTTCGCGCCGCGCGAGTTTCTCGACGTGGTTGGTGGCTAGGGAGAGGAGGTGTGCGATGCTCGGGCTGATTTCGTCAAGGAGGGAGCGTTGCGCGTCGCGGAGGGTTGGTTCGGGGAGGAGTTCGAAGTGCTGTTATTTTGGTTTGTTAGTTGGGGGTGTTTGGGATTGGGATTGGGATTGGGATAGTGGGGTTGTTTTGTTGGTGGGAGGACGTACGCGTGTTGTTTGGAGCACTTTGCAGAGGCGGGGGAAGTCGTGCACACCTTCGTCCAGGGTTGAGATGGAGTTGTCGAGGAGTTGTAGGGAGGATTGGAGCGATGAGACGGAGGCTGAGAGGGAGGCGGCCATGGTGGAGGGTGAGTTGAGTAGATGCAATGGATGCAATGGATGCAATGGGGTTGATTGTTTACTCCTGTCACATGATCAGCCCTACTGAATTTAATTATCCACCCTATCATTGACTAGCTTACAATACAACACTCCTTTCGTCTTACATGTGGTTGCATTTCTTTATTTTAGCCCTATCTATTAGGGTAATCTCGCGAACCTGGACGCTGGAAGTGCTTGCGAAGACTCTATAGGTAGTTGCATTGCTATGGAGAGAAGATAGGACCGACAGATAAGCCGGCTCCGACACCTCTTGGGCACTTGAGCAGAGGCTCGTGTGTACAATAGGAAGGAACTGTCTTGACGCTCGCTGCATGTGCTTTTGTATACCAGAGTTCCTTTTTCGTCTCCTACAAGTGCACTTGGGTCGAAGTGGTTTATCTTAGCTCGGTTCTCCGGCCCAGTCCCTTTGCTGCAGCCCCTCCAATTGTTGAAGAGGGTGACGGGTTTTTTTTGTCGCCCTACACCTCACCTCGCTCTCTCTCCTTGACCCGCCAGCTTCCTACTTCTATCTCCCTTTCTAACTACTGCGGCTACTCCATGACCAGCAATTGATGAGACAGGCAGATGCTGACGGAAAGTTCGAAGACCCCCGTGACGAAATGCATGATTAAATCTTGCAACCAATCCTGCCAATTTTCCACGGAATTGCTCCCTTGACCCGAGCTAAAAGTACATTCTTGAAGACGGTCTGTTTGCCGAAGAATTGCACTACACTGTGCAGGTAGTGGGACACAACTTACTTCCTGTTTATCTCAACAACACTAAGAACATGAAAAATCATCTCATTGGGGCCTGCCTACCATCTTTTGTCAAATACTCGATTTTCCCTATCTACCACCCTAGGGGAGTTCAGGTTCCAATGGGTGCAAATTCAACTGCAAAATTGCCGGAAATACCTCGCAAGGTATTTATCCACGGGTAATCTCGACCTAGCTTCTTCAAGTAGTCTATGAGGGTGACATGGGTATTAGCACAAGAGAGATTCTCACTTATTCAAAGATTAATATGGCTAAATTCGATGCCACAATTCACACATCACGACTAGAGAGGCTGGTACAGGACGATGATGGGTACGTCATGGGATTGGTTTTGCCATACATTAATTGTCATGGAGCTATCCTCAATTGCATTGAGAGACATGGTCCCAAGTTTCCAAGGTCCGACAATAATAGGCTGACCAGATTTCGCACACACTCAAACACCTTCATTTACACAGTATCATCTGGGGAGATGCGAAGGCAGCTGACGGGCTCATTGAGATGTCAGCGAGGATGCATATCTGATTGATTTTGGAGGATGTCATTTAAAGGCTGGGTTGAGAAGGAGAGACTATTTCAAGCGGAGATCTTCAGGGACTTGGAAATATTAAGCGGTACCTTTTTGAATGAGTCTTAGGGGATTTCCATTCAGGATTCATACTATCTACTGGTGGTTGTTACTATCTAATGCAGGTTAAGGCCTGTACGGGACTATTCGACCATGAAACCCTCATTTGCTCTTCACAGGCGCTGTGGATGATCCTAAACCCGCTTGACCAAGTCTAAGGAGCGGCCAGAACATTCTCAGAGTACCCATCCTGAATCCTAGGAGCCTATACCAACGCTCTAGGAACGCCGCTCCGGATACCAAGAGCCGTGCGTCTCTAAAGAAAAAGCAAACGTCCCCTACGATCTGTATTACCGATCCTGAACTCCGGTTTCTGGCTGCAGACTTCTAGGAGCTGCATTGGTTGGTGTGAGGGTCTCACGCGAGCACCCTGGAATTTCCCATCAGCTCCTACAATAGTTCGCCCACTTGATTATGGACTCTATTGTTTACAATAATCCCTCTACTCAGAATAAAAATACACCCTATGTCAAGTGGTGGTGTCATCACGGCTATTTTAGGAACCAAGCCAAAGTGGCAACCTGCAGACCCACTGGGGAAAACTCTGACTGGCCGGCATGACCAATGCCAAAAAAAAATCCCCTCAGGCTTGACGAGAGCTTAGTATACGATTTAAGCTGTCACAAAGGATTTATTCTGGATAGTTGTCTCCCTAATTGAAAGTAACTATAATAGTGTAGGGCCATTGAAACAAACTATAATTATAGTAGGGACCGGACAGGCTTGGCGACGTTAGGGGAGGACCCCCGGTGGACCCGAGGACTCCAGTCTTCGCCAACCAGAGAGCGGAGGCGCAGGAACCCCCATTTGTCTCAAGGGGAAGATTCCTTGATTGGCCCATGGACCATAGGGTCACACAGCCTGGCCGCAATACTAATACATAGGAGTGGATCGCTTACCTTAGAGTGGCCAACTGTTGGATCTGCGATCGGTCCTGCAGCGGGCATCTTTCTTCTAACCAACTAACTAACGAAAGGGCCCGAAAGATCCGACATTCCTGCTCTAACGTCTTGGCATCTCACCTTCATGCCCGTTTGAGCAGCAATGCAGATCCTTCGCAGTTTGGCAGCCCTAGGGACTGGCCTACTTCTGGCCCGTCCGACACTAGCCATCGATTTGGACGTCAATAGCGAAGGTGAGTGACGGACACTCTTCACCCCTGTCTCCGGGCCCTCCGCTAACTATTTTCGAACAATCACACATAGACTCTCTCAAAAATGCCGCCTCGATAGCAACCTACGGAGCCTTTACATACTACTCTGGCAACGACTCCGGGGGAATTCCCGGTGCCTTCCCCTCAAAATGGTACGAGGGTTCTGCGCTGTTCATCGTCGCGCTCAACTACTGGCACTACACGGGCGACGACACATACAATGCCATCACGGCCGAGGGACTGGAATGGCAAAGCGGGCCTCAAGGCGACTATATGCCGAGCAACTACAGTCAGTTTTTGGTAAGAAAAGCAACTCCCCGCGACCGCCGCTGAAGAGCTATTCTTACTTTCCTTTTTGTTAAAAACAGGGAAATGACGACCAAATGTTCTGGGGCATTGCCGCTATCACTGCCGCAGAGATGAATCTTCCCCAGGCCCCTTCATCATTCGGAACGTGGGATTGGCTTGCCCTTGCCGAGGGCGTCTTCAGAGACCAGACCAGCGGCAACGGTGTGGGCTGGGACACAACCGCCTGCGGTGGCGGCGTACGATGGCAAAAGTTCTTCTACCAGGGAGGGGGTTATTACATGAAGAATTCCATCTCGAATGGTGGGTTGTTCCAACTGGTTGCTCGCCTCTATCGCTATACAGGCAACTCGGAATACAAGGATTGGGCCGAGAAGATTTGGAATTGGTCGGTGAACTCGCCTTTGGTGGATAATCAGACCTGGAATGTGGCCGACTCCACGCAAATGCAGGACGGTTGCACAAGCCAAGGCAATACACAATTTTCTTACAACTACGGCACTTATCTGATGGGGTGCGCGTTTATGTATAACTCCGTGAGTGTACATTCTGCCGAGCGACCTTGCATACCACTGACTTGCATCGCTTTAGACCACGGGTGCCGAGCAGGAGCAATGGGCTACTGCAGTCTACGGGCTTGCAAACAAAACCCTGGAAGTCTTCTTCCCTCAGCAATACAACTACGTGATGTTCGAGCCGTCGTGCGACGGTTTCATCTCGTCGTGCTTTGATAGCAACAATTTCTTAATGAAGGGCTGGACCACTTCCTGGCTAGCGTTGACGGCGACACTGGTCCCGCAAACATACTCGCAAATTCTCCCCAAACTCCAGGCTTCTGCCGGAGGAGCGGCAAAGGCTTGTTCGGGCAGTACCCTCGGCGGCAACGAATGCGGCGAGAGTTGGGTGACGGGCTCGTTCGATGGTCGTGCGGGCATGGAGCCTGAGATCAGTGCCGGCAATTGTTTCGCTGCGAACTTGGTCGCTTTCGATAACAATATCGCGAAAGGGCCATTGACACAGGCGACAGGAGGCAATAGCAAAGGCAACCCTAACGCGGGTAAGAATGACAACAATGGTGACATGGCCTTGCGACCTATTACAACGGGAGACCGAGCAGGAGCTGGAATTCTTACTGCCGGTTTTGTTGGTGGTTGGGCTGCCCTCATGGCGTGGTTGGTACTTTTCGAGTGATCTTTTGGCGCATATGTACTCAATTCTTTTGGAGGTTGATCTTTCATTTTGTACATTATCATTTCTGTATATTGCTATACCATTTATTTACCCAAAGGATCTATAGATTCGAGCTGCAAATATCTCCGTTGCCCGACAGAGATGCTAACGGAAGGAACACTTTTGACAATCTACCCCAATTTCTCAATCTCTGCCATTACCGCGTCCACCACTCCTTGTGTATTCGCGGTGCCCCCCAGGTCCGGCGTCAGGATACCTGCCGAGCAGACACTCTCCACGCAGTGCATGAGTTTCGCTGCCGCATCCTTCTCACCAACCCACGAGAGCATCTCCGCCGCAGACCAGAAAGTAGCTACGGGATTCGCGATCCCCTTCCCGGTGATATCAAAGGCACTCCCGTGAACCGGCTCGAAAAGAGAAGGATTCTTCCTCGTTGGGTCCAGGTTACTCGACGGCGCCACGCCAATTGACCCAGCCAGGGCAGCAGCCAAATCAGAAAGAATATCCATGTGCAGATTCGTGCCCACAATCGTATCGATGGACTGCGGCTTAGCCACCATCCGCACCGTCATCGCATCCACGAGCATCTTATCCCATTTCACATCGGGAAAATCCCTGGCAACCTGAGCGGCCACTTCATCCCATAGAACCATGCCGTTTCGCATGGAGTTGCTCTTCGTTACAACCGTGAGCTGCTTCTTTGGGCGCGACTGAGCAGTCTCAAATGCAAAGCGCATGATCCGCTCAATCCCAACCCGCGTGAACATGGCCACCTCTGTAGCGGCCTCCCACGGCTGCCCGATATGCGACCTGCCTCCCTGGCCCGAGTACTCGCCCTCGGAGTTTTCTCGAACAAGCAGCCAATCGATACCATCCGTGGCGGTGTTCAGCGGGCATTTAGTTCCTGGGAAGGTCCGCACCGGGCGGACATTGGCGTAGAGCTGCAATGGGCCACGGATGGCTAGAAGAAGACCCCAGAGGGAGATATGATCTGGCACATCTGTCCGTAGTGTGAGATATTACTATGGGGTTCCAAAACGCAACTTCTCTCATATGCATACCTGGCGCTCCAACTGCTCCGAATAGTCCGGCGTCGAACTTGCGTAAAATGTCCAGACAGTCTTCCGGCACGTATCGGCCATTCTGTTTATAGTACGCCGTACCCCATGGGATATGGGTAAATTCGATCTGGAAGGTATCCAAAGTCGTGGCAAGCTTCTCGACCACTTGGATTGCAGCAGCGACTACTTCCGTTCCGATGCCGTCGCCTGGAATGGACGCGATCCGGTATGCAGGTTTCAAGGTCATATTGAACGGAAGTCGACTTTGAGATGTTTGAAAGAGATAGGAAACGAGGCCATGCTGGCAATTAATCCCGGCTATCAGAAGTGTAAATAAGCGTGATGGTTCAACCGGATCGGCATCTTCGGCAAAACTTTCAGGCGATTCATTCCCCCGCCTTTCGGTAGCCTTAGGATTCCATTTGACATCTACTCTCAACAAAACATCGATTAAAGAAAGAGAATATGTCCCCGAAATCCACGGAGAAGAATCCCGCGCGCATCACTGTCGCCTGCAATGCGTGTCGCTCGCGAAAACAGAAAGTAAGCATTTTTTGCCCGCGATGCCCAGCTTGTACGCTGACTCTCCATCCTAGTGCAGTGGGGAAAAGTAGGACCTCAACACTTCATGCCCAAAAGAATCATTTTGACTGATTATTACGGTGAAGGCCTGTTTGCGGACAATGTCTTGAATTCAACCGTTTGTGTAATTGGCCCGAACAACTTCGGCGGTAGGTAGATAGCGCAACGGGCACTTTCTTGCGAAGCATGGGGTACTGATAACACTACCACAGGGGTCCAGCGAAGGGATACATTGAGAACTTGGAGTACCGTCTCCAGATTACAGAGAGCGTTCTGTTGAAATTGCTTTCTCAGGTCTCGGACCAACAGCTCTTAGCAGCCTTACCGAGTGACCGGACGACGAGGCTGGGCCGCAAAAGAGCATACATGCCTTTCTCAAGGCTCAGCAAGGAAGGCATGGATCACTGGTCTGAGTATCCTCTGGACACTCCGTATAATGTCCGGCAGTGGCAGCAAGCTTGCATTGGCCACTACCACGAAGCCGCTGGCCCGGAGAGCCCGGAAGTTCATTCGGAGCATGACGCTCCTCGAGAGCCGAAAAAGCGACGGCTAGAGATTCACGATACGCGAAGCTTCTTCCCTGGGAATATACAACAGGGCGTTGAGTCCCAGGATACATCTGAAAGTTGCAAAAAGGATGAACAAGCGACGTCGAGGCCAATATACCAGCCAGCTACGCAGAAACCTTCATCAGAAGTCCAGGAATATCAACAAACTCTCAGACGAGCTCTGATGGAACCTTCCAGCTCCCTTAGTTTGGACAATGGGGCAAATATTTATCCCGACACACCCCAGGCCATCTATACCCCAACTTCATGGACCGGAGCACCGTCTCTCAATTTCCAACGACAGTTTCTTTGGTGAAAAGACAATATCTCAATACTTTTCATCCCATATAACATATGTACAATATAATGACATCCCGCAGGAGTTTCTTCACTCGGCACTTCAGAACTCCTTCCCCTCGTGAGCCGTACCGCAGGGGGCGGTGGATGTGGGGTGTTTTCATCTCAATATGACCAGAGGATATCTTGAGTGGATGCGAGGGTCCTCGATGAGGAAGTTGGTTGTGTATGATCTCACCCAACGAGCTCAGTGATCACACAACTGAGACTTCTGGAAGCTGCACTGTTGCTAGATCTTTGATATAGCCCTGCACTTTGAGTTTGATACCATCTTGCTGGCGTAGGGCGAGACTGTCCCAGACACTGCCATCGAATAATGTGATCCCGGGTATTTGTTCGTCGGCATTGAATCTGTAACAAGATAGAAGTAGTCTTCTGACTCACGAACATCATACCCAAGCTTACCCTCTTCCCCGATTTACAAGCTTAGGGACAGGGATATTCGCATGCTGACGAACAACCTCCAGCACCTGTGTATCATCTTGATTGCGCTGCTCGATAGTAGAGAATTCGGGTTGGTAACCATAATAACCCAGCTCACCGGGTTGAAGTCTTTTCTTCAAAACATACTGAGAGAGCATATAGATGTGCTGATCGAACGGTGGAACAGGGAGATTTCAGGTTGGCAAGGTTTGAGCCATGCTTCGTGGGCGTCAGATACCATTTTTGAAGATTTAATACAGCTGGATTATAAAATATAGCGGAGTAAACGGAGGATTTATTCCATGTCCAGTTCATTGGCGCTTAGTACAAAGCGTCTAAAGCTGCTAAAGCGGCCTGCGCTAATCTTTTCGTCCATTTGCGCACTGATCGAACTATGTCTACCATACTCAAGCCACAGTAATATTGACCCTTTACTGTAATATTCTTGAAGCAACTGAGCCCCACCGGACAATGGTGATCCGATACCCAATTGCGTCAGTGGGAAGCGACCTCGGGACGAGAGCGTGGGACCCCCGCAGTGGAGGTCGTAGCTTTTTGGGGAAGTGAATAGCAGGTATGCCCCTGGACAGATTTGTTTACTTTTGTGACTCTTTTACTCCGATATATTTGGCCTTTGAAGTTACACAATGGGAATTCAAAAAGTACAGACCTCAAAAAAAGGATAACCATCAACTGTCTAACATGGACAACAGGTCATCGTTGTGGGAGCAGGACCATCGGGTCTCATCCTAGGTCTCTTACTCTCCAAACAAGGAATCCAAGTCGAGCTGCTTGATGCCGGCGCTGAACTCGACAAACAGCCTCGCGCAGCCCACTATGCATCCCCTGCCGCATACGAGCTGTCGCGAGCCGGCGTCCTAGAAGATGTCAAGGCACGCGGACTCCTGCCCCAGAGCTTTGCATGGAGAAAGCTCGATACAACTTTCGTCGCCGGCCTAAATCTTCAAGCGCTGCCTCCAGACTATCCATACAAAATGGTTGTTCTTCCACTCGACCGACTGGGGAAGCTTCTTTACGAACACATCCAACGCCAACCAACGGCGGAGGTCAAATGGTCTCACAAAGTTGTTCGAATTGGCCAGGGTCAAGAAAAGGCATGGGTCGAGGTTGAGACCCCGTCTGGTCTGCAGAGATCTGAGGCGGACTATGTCATAGGCTGTGATGGTGCCAGCAGCACCGTGCGACAGGAGCTGTTCGGGCCTGAGTATCCCGGCGAGACGCTGAATGCGCAGATTATTGCTACAAATGTGAGACCAATGGCATTAAAGGATGACTCTTATGCTTATTTGTACTATCAGGTGTATTATGATTTTGACCGCTACGGATACTGGGACAGCAATTTCATTATCCACCCGAAGAACTGGTATATGGCGGCTCGCATCACGACTGATGGACTCTACCGTGTGTCATATGGAGACATCCCAGGCCTTAGTCGCGAAGAATATCTTGCTCGCCAGCCACAGAGATACGAAGAGATCCTGCCCGGCAATCCGAAGCCGGGTGAATATCGCATCACGAATATCAGCCCCTACAGGCTGCAGCAACGATGCGCACCCAGCTTCCGCGTCGGAAGAATTCTGCTTGCGGCAGATGCGGCCCATCTTTGCAACCCATTGTAAGTGTGTCCTACAGCACAAGCCACCAGGAGCTAATGAGTGTTAGTGGCGGTTTGGGATTGACAGGTGGCATCGCGGACGTGGGAAGTCTCTTCGATGCGCTGATGGGAATCCACAAGGACCTTGCCGACGACGCAATCCTGGATAAATACAGCGAGGTACGCAAGCGCATCTGGGCCGAGACGATTGACCCAATGTCCCGAGAGAACTTCCGGCGGCTGCATGATCAAGATCCGGACAAGGCGCGGGAAAACGACGAGTTCTTCCAGCTTTGTGTGAAGTCAGAGACAGATAGTGAGCTTGCCAAAGATCTCGCTTTGGTATGTCATTTATTCCTTTTTCCGCCGGGGATTACTTCATAATGCTGATTCTACGACAGGGACTCGAAGTGCTTCGCCACGATATGACACAGTATTATACCAAAAAGGAGGAATTTAGACCGTAATAAACTATATTAGATATAAAGAAAGTGCAGTACTTTCAATTCAACTTTGAAATATCTTTATATCTAGTGGCTAGGGTAAATTATACCGCTCGAGGCACGGCCTCCTAATTGGGAAGGCATAAGGGTATGGGCAACATCGTACAGTATAAAAGCTCTGCCCCGCAGCAGTGGCCGCAATAATGAGATGAAAATCATCACAATCTAGTCTGGCCTCTTCTCATTGGTGCTAACAGATATGTGTGCCTTTCGATACAGCAATGGCCCCCAACTATTTTGGTGAATGTTCTCCATCTGCCTTGATCGCCCGGATCCTGTGGTGGGGCCGCTTCTCCACGGAATGATTGTGGGGCCATCAAGTGTGGCTGCTCTGAAGGATGCGGAAGGATGCGGGAGGATGAAGGAACCGCTATGAATTAAATTGTATGTTGGGTCCAGTTTATTGTCTCCAAAGATGGCAGCTGTAAGATATGGCATTGTAAATGTGCAGAAAAAGTCACGATTTCTAAATGTAGTAAAGTAAAATCAAAACACCTCTTCCTAACCGTATATGAACATGCATCATGCATCATGCATTTACAGCATGGGCTTCAGCTCATGCGCGACCTTGAATGGAGCAGCGGTCTTGCTGCGGATCTCATCCACCGAGACGCCTTCGGCGAACTCTGTCAGGGTCAGGCCCTCTGTAGGGCTGACCTCAAACACAGCCAGGTCGGTGATGATCTTCCACACGCACCGGGGGCCGGTCAGAGGGAAGGTACAGTCTTAGATACCTGTTAGCTAAATCTAATGTGTTGGAAAAGACTAGAAGCTTACCGGCCAGAATCTTGGGGTTGCCCTTCTTGTCGACATGTTCCATAGTCACAACAACCTTGGTCTTTTCCGGGTTGGCGACTAGGTCCATAGCACCACCAATACCCTTTACCTTACCGGGAAGCATGAAGTTGGCCAGGTCTGCAGAACAGTCAGTATAAGCTGTAGCATTAGACATAAAATATAAACGTACCTCCGTACTGGCTGACCTGTAGCGCACCCAGCATGGTGAGATCAATCTTGCCGGCACGAATCATACCGAAACTCTCGTGGGAACCAAACACGGAAGCACCGCGACCCAGGGTAACGGTCTCTTTGCCGGGGTTGATCAGGTCGGGGTCCTCCTCGCCGGGTTTGGGGTAGCCACCCAGACCAAGGATTCCGTTCTCTGACTGCAGAACGACCTCGACGCCCTCGGGCAGGTATGATGGGGCGATCAGAGGCATACCGATACCGAGGTTGACATACATGCCGTCCTTGAACTCCTTCGCTGCACGCTTGACGATACGCTCGCGGCGGATAGAGGCATCACCGGATCCTGGAAAAGTGGTTAGTTGTCATTTCGTGTCAAAGATTCTGATACACGCACCGGCCTGGAGCATCTCGCTGGGATCCTTGGCGAAAGTAAGTTTCTCAATCTGCTTCTGCTCGGTGCTCTGGATCACAGCATCGACGTAGATTCCCTGCAAGTGGATTTCCTCTGGGTCAAGCTCGCCCACTTCGACGATGTGATCGGCCTCGACTAGAGTCACCTTGGCATTTTTAGCCATGGCTTCGTTGAAGTTGTTCATGGCCTTGCGGAACTGGCAGTTGCCTAGCTTGTCGGCCTTGTGGACCTTGACCAGAGCGTAGTCACCGTATATGGATTCTTCCAGAACGTATTCCTTGCCGCGGAACTCGCGGACTTCCTTGGGCTTTGACCGCTCGGCAACAGTACCATCCTTGTTGTACCGAACGGGGAGTTCACCGGTTTGCACTATAAGCGGAGGTGTCAGGTTGGGTTTTCTCAAATTGACCTAGAAAATTACCGATAGTCCCATAAGCTGCAGGAGTGTAAAAGGCAGGAATGCCAGCAGCCGCAGCAGCACACTTTTCAGCAATCGTGCCCTGGGGAGTGAGTTCCAGCGCCAGGTCACCGCTGAGATACATCTTCTCAAACACTTTGTTCTCTCCGATAAACGAAGCGATCATCTTGCTAATCTGTTTAGACTCGAGCAGCAGACCTTGTATTTACATTAGAATCAAGATATCTTCATGCGGTGGAGACAAAAGAATTTACCAAGTCCAGCACCCGGCATTCCAGCATTGTTCGAGACCACAGTCAGGTCCTTGATGTCCGGACGGTCGCGAACAGCGTTGATAAGGGTATTCGGCACACCCGAGAAGCCAAATCCACCTACTAGCACGGTTGCAGGGCCTTTCATGTCCTTGACAGCATCATTTGCAGAACCTCGCAATTTGTCAATGGCTCGCATTGAGGTCGACGCTGAGAAGTTCCGCCGCCATACGGGGTGGAACACTTTCACTGCAGGGAATGGCCGCGACATGGTGCTGTTCGATTACCCTTGTTCAATCGAGGATGTTCTGAGCCAACAGAGGAGAAAGAAGAACAAAAGAGACACCCCAATTTTGCAAGCACCATCATCATACTTCGGCTACGATTAAGCCTGAGCAGCCGGGAACGCTTGGCCGGCGACACACCGCCCAGCTTCCCCACAAACGCTTTGCCCCATCCCGAGCCTTCCTAAACCCAGCGTTGAATTTGGACACGACCGATGTGGGGAAGCCTCAGATCTTGGATTTCTCTTTATGAAAAATGAGGTTGTTCTTCGCGATCCAGTTCAGGTGCGACGAAACAAGTGCTGACGGGATGGACGCCTAGCGTATTTCACAAGCGAGCTGCGCACCCCAATCCACCATATGCAATTTCAGTCTGATGTAGCTGTCCTATTATTACGGTGCTATGCAGACCCAGATCAGCTTGAATACAGGCGGTACGTCCTTGTGTGAAAGACTATAGAAATCACAAATTCTGTTTCATGTGCCACAAGCTGATTTTTCGGCCGTTGTATAGGCGTGGATATATACATTTGCATCTTAAATGGCTAAATTACTAACGCAATTATGGTAATGCCATAATATAACATTTTAAGCGGTTGAAGTTCATATATGCGACTAAGAATGCTTATCGACACTAGTCTGCCAAATTTATAATAAATCCGACTTGTGATTGGAAAATATGGTGGTGTAGAAATAGAAGGCTTGGAAATTAAATCCCCCTAGTTACTGGATTCACAAACCCACCTCAATGAATTTGGTTTAGCGTGTAATTAGAAAAACTTTGGCATGTCTAGCGTCTTCTTCGTTGAAGGCAAATCATCGGGGACCAATAGATAGGGGTAACACATCGGGGACCTCGAGCAGCATGCTACAACGCTTTACGGAGTAAGGGTTGCTCCTTATACTTCTCTTGCCCTTTTCTGTCAATTTCATAGATGTTCTTGGTCTCTAGCGATTGATAGGCTTGACTTTTTTTAAAGTTGAATTGGCAGCAAATTGGGGCGGATGGTGGAATTTCGGTAGTTCGGAGAAATGCCGAGATCTTGTATCCTCAATGATTTCTTGTGTCATTTAAATCCACACAGCCGTTATGAAATTACATATATTTTAACAGATATTTACAACGTATGATTATTCGAAATCTCTATGTTGATTCAGGGCCTCTGATTGACCAACTCGGAAATCCAGGCTCTCTTATCTCTACGTATTACTGTATTCTCGGGAGAGAGGACTTAGGGGAAAAGAACGCCCCCGACTTGTAATAATAGCAATACGAAATACGAACAAGTTGTGCGATAGGTACAGCCACTTACCCCATTTTCGGATTTGACTGGCGGTCTCGCAAACGCCAAGCAAATAGGCGACCCCACAGTCCACTCCGCCGCCACGTTGGGTCCTCCCCGAGCGGGTCCTTCACGAGGCAGATACCGGTGCCGAGCAAAAGAACAAATCAGCGCTGGTTAACCCAGCTATCACTATACTATATTACGATAGGCCTTATTTTGAAACTGATTTCCAGTATTATTTGAATATCCTCGACTGTGCCCAAATCGCGTGGTTAAATATTAGGGAACCGTTGATGATCAATCTCGCGATGACGATGCCGCCCATCGCGTGCAAGCAGTGATTGAAGCAAGTGGACAGTACACTGAATACTGGATAATTTTGTATGTGATCGCGTGTCCTTTAATTATAATTATTAATTATTTTATTATACACTAGCGTGCCAAGCCATACTAGCGCTAATATAATCTTCAGACCTGCCACTGTACATGCTTCGTGCTCCGTAAAAGGATTTATTTTAGATGGTCAGCGTAGTCCGTCTGGATCCGCGCTGTCCGATTGCAGTGTGCAGAGAATTAGAAACCCTGACTACCATCTATCAATATTGGCCTGGGTGAAAGGTTACCCACCGTGTGGAGACTCCCTATGTTTGGATTTCGCAGCGTCCAGCCTTGCGAACCTAAAGCCCCGCCACCGTGATTCGTACTCTCTCTCGTACTCGCTTTGGCCGAGTTGAGGTATTGACCCGTACGACAGTAGAATCTGAACGGATGTGTACTTCACCCAGACAGATAGTGCTACTAGGCTTCTAGACGAGAATTATCTTCGTGTTTGAACGATGACTAGTGCTAGTAGTGTGATATAAATGCTGTCTTAGCATTGCCTCTAGACCTTGACATTGCGTTCGAACCACCTCTTGGCACATAGCCGAAACATCATCATTACCGGTCTCAAATAGCCACTACGTAGCCCCGTGTCTCCGTACAGAATACACTACGTAGCCATGGTAAGGCCCGCCGTAATCTCATCCCTATTAATAGGGATTTATCCCCCATAGCCTTGTCTGGTAACCCTTTCATGCCGTCTCTCAAGCAGTTTCGTAGCCTACAAGCTGCCCTTCCGATGAAACTGTTCGTCAGCGACTTTTGCACAACATGATTTTGATTTTCCTGGGCTACTTACTACTTCTACCTTCCGTCATTTCTGCTTTCAACCCCAGTGAAGATGAGGACCTTGTCACATTTGTCACTGTTCGTCACTGAATTTCTGAAAGACTCTAGGAGCCAACGGACTGACATCTCAACCAGCTACCCCAAAGCCGAGCCCTGAAATGGAATATTACCTACCATGATCGCTCCGCCGTTGCTCCCGGATATTGGTTTGTCGCGCCATATTATTTAAACATGGGTGAACCGAGCACGAATCGATGGATGCCTTGTCAAATTGGCGCTCATATCTTTGATCAGGATGGGGTATGATTTCTCTTCATTATGAACTTTTCTGTTTACTGACAAAGGGGTAGGAACTTGTTTGGACGGGGTCTTGCGACACCGATAACAACAATATCTACGATTTTCGCATGGTCGACACAATTGGAAATCCACCGTCCCTGGTGATGCTACTGCGAGAAGAGGATACCCCAGGCAGGACACACTCGGTCCTCATTTATGACAACAACTACGAGCAAACCCACTACATCACTGAATTGCCACACATAAACGGGCATGAGATCAACATCAAAAGTCCATCCCAAGCACTTGTGATGATCACCCGAGAGGACTCGTTGGATACGTCTTCTGTCGGGGAGCCAGGAAAGGAAACGACGGTATCGACAGGAGGATTTGCCGAGTTTGATATCACAACTGGGAAAACCTCGCAGGAATGGCATTCAGATGCCATATCGCTGGACGAATCTTTCACTTATCCCAACAGGGACTATATCCATACCAACTCCGTCGACAGGAATCAGCACGGCGACTACTTACTTTCTGGCCGCCACACCGACACAATCTACCTGATCTCTGGGGAAGACGGCCATATCATCTGGCGACTAGGCGGAAAGAAGAACGACTTCGAAAAGGATTTTGAATTTGCAGGGCAACATGACGCCAAGTTCATCTCAGCCAACGATACACATCAGGTTCTGTCATTTTTGAACAATGGTGCTCGCGATGATGTCGTAGTGCAACCGGTTTCCTCTGCAATGTTCGTCGAGCTGAACACCGTGGATATGACAGCCACCATTCTGAACGAATATACCCGTCCTGATGGCGGAAGCACCACCAAGCGGGGGAATGTCCAGACTCTTCCTAACAACAACATTTTGGTCTCTTGGAGTAAGGACGGATATATGAGCGAGTTTAGCCATGACGGAAAGCTCCTCATGGATGCCAGCTTTGCTTCAGACAGATTCAGCACCTACAGAGCATACAAGTTTCCCTGGTCGAGTCGCAGTCCATCATACCCACCGACTCTGGTATCATCCTGCTACGGTGTCAACGGATCAGCTCTCTCAACAGTCTTTTACGTAAGCTGGAACGGGGCCACTGAGGTCAAATCCTGGAAATTCTACGCACGAGCAAGTCCATCTGGTCCCGACATAGAAATTGGCACCACTTCCAAGAATGGCTTCGAAACCTTTTACACTGCTCGCGGGTATATGGACAGGGTCTCGGTGAAGGCTCTAGACGCAGACAATAATATTCTCGGAACCTCTGAGATCGTTCGCACTGATCCTCCGGAATATTGGCCCAAGGGAGCAGAAATGCCAGAACCCGATGATCCGGCTGCTCTAGATCTTGGCGTTGATGAAAATATCGAGCAAGATCAAGAGCAAGGTTATCAGTTCGAATTTTTTGCTATTGGGCTTCTCGTCAGTACGGCTGGATATTTCTTTATACACTTCTGTTATCCAACCGTCCGTGAATATATTCGACGGACATATTCAAGAGCGCCAGCAGAGGATCCAGAAGGGAAGGAGCCAGAAGAGGAGGAGCTCATGAGAGAAAGAACGGATATATAGAATTGTATAAAATTGTATAAAATTGTCAATGAAATTTACTTAATGTTATAATCACCTAGAATTCCTGGGATGTGATCATACAAATTAAGCATGGTACAGGCGAACAATGTCTTATACTGTAGCGAAATTCAACCTCTAAATCACCGAGCAGAGCTGACATTCTTCCTTTGGCGCCTTTTGGCCTCCTATGTACACATTTTGGCGGATAACGTTGTTTGGCATAGACCGAATCGTGGCAGTATTATCCCGAGGAACTGTGAGTGACGGTTAACCGGGCAGCGTATTACCGGTGGAAGCCAATTCAAGCCTTGAAGATTTGGTTTACTCGGAATTAGTAAAAAGTGCATGCTGGTGCGCACCATGGCAGTTATTGTTGGCAGAAAGAAAATATCATTTCTTTGTATTAATCAATATGCCATAATAACTGCGGCCACTCTTTCTTCAATGTTGTGCCCCAATACACCTCCAAGTACTCCCCCACTTCCCCTGGAAAGTGTTTTGCCACCTTGGTACAAGCGCGATGATCGTCATGAGGAGAAAGGCCCCACCCCGTAGTCGGAGAAGCTGCGTAACTGCTCCTTCCCAAACCTCTTCACAACCCCATCGAACGCACTGAAGAACAGCAAACATGCTGAAAAGAGCAGCTGGTGAAATTTTGAGGAAGAGCGCAGACGATGTGGTTGTGCTGTCGGCAGTGCGAAGCCCTATTGCCCGGGCGTTCAAGGGCGGATTCAAGGATTCATACCCCGAAGAGATCCTGATGCCAGTAAGTGTGTCTTCATTGTGTAAGGATTATTTCTGAGCGTGTTATTACTTCAGGTTATGCAAACCGCCGTTCAACGTGCCAACATTGAGCCGGACCAAGTCAACGACGTCCTAATTGGAAACGTGTTAGCCGAGCTGGGATTCGCCAAAACAGGACGCATGGCTCTCAATGCTGCGGGATTTCCAAATTCCACAACATTCCACACAAATAACAGACAGTGCTCGAGTAGTCTGCAGGCAATCACGCACATATCTCATGCCATTTTAGCTGGTCAGATTGATGTCGGGCTTGGGGGCGGGGTTGAAAGTATGACCCGCAACTATGCCACTCGTGGCATTCCCGTCGATATTTCTCCTACACTGAAAGAGTCGGTGAAAGATGCCCGGGATTGTATTTTACCTATGCTGAAGACATCTGAGAATGTTGCCGAGCGTTACAATATCTCGCGTCGGGAGCAGGATGAATTTGCGGCAGAGAGTCAACGGCGGGCGAGTGAAGCACAGCGCTCTGGTAAATTTGTTGATGAGATTGTGCCAATTACAACCCGGTTAATTAGCGAGGGCATTGATGAACATACCATTCAGGTGATAGAGAGTGATGAAGGTATTCGCCATAATGTCACGGCGGACAAACTGTCGACTCTCAAGCCTGTTCTTGAGAATGGATTCAGCACGGCAGGGAACTCGTAAGTTTTGAGTATTTCGTCATGAAGCTAATCACTAATTTCAACTTGCCAGATCCCAAATCTCCGACGGAGCATCCAGCACCATTATAGCCCGTCGATCGTGGGCTGAGATGCACGGCCTGAAGCCAATTGCCCGATTTGCTGGCACCCAGGTAGCAGGATGTGCACCTGATGAGATGGGAATCGGACCTATCTATGCTATTCAGGCGCTGTACAAGTACCTGGGCATTGAGAAGAAGGATGTCGACATTTTCGAAATGAATGAGGCGTTCGCCAGCCAATCTATCTATTGCATCCGCGAGCTAGGTCTGGACATGGACAAAGTCAACCCTAATGGAGGTGCGATTGCCCTCGGACATCCTGTGGGCGCCACTGGAGCAAGGCAGACTGCTACTCTTTTGGCCGAGTTGAGAAGGCAGGATAAGGAGATTGGCATTGTGAGCATGTGCGCCAGGTGAGTTGTCTTGGATTTTACTACGAGGCCGGGGCCCGCTGACTTTTTTCCTAGTACTGGTATGGGAGTAGCATCTCTCTTCATTAGAGAATAGAGTACATAGTCCAAAAACATGATGATAATATCATATAAACACAAAGAACAATGCTACATGCTCCAACTCCCCAAATACTCACCCCCAAGTCGGCCACCCTAGCCGCTACCCACAATATCGCAGCTGTTGGGGGTCCGACTTGGGGACGAGTACTCCTCCAGTTCAAGCCCCACATGGACAGTTGACGTGGGGCAGGGACTCCGACCCAAAACGGAGTCCAATCCGGGGAAACCAGCTCACGACCATTGTCAATGGACGACTACTTGCATCTTTTTCACAATGTCAATGTTGATTCGGCTCACACGTCCTGTGTCGCAGGTCTTTCAGCCCAGCGTGTGGATAAACACCACCGGGCGGAGGTCGATCGGATCCGTCAGTGCCATTGACTCGAGCATTTTCCGGACCTTGTTTGGGACAGAAGAGATTCGCAAGGTAAAGTCTCATTATAGTCAAAATTTCTTGCGAGCTAGACTAATCGCAAAACTTAGATCTTCGACGATGACGCTTATATCCGGCGCTGCGTCGACGCAGAAGCCGCTCTAGCTCGGGCACAATCCCGATGCAACGTGATCCCCTCAGAGATCGGGGCCATGGTGACACGAAAAGTGCAAGAATCGACCCTTGATTTCGAAAGACTGCGTCACGAGACCGAGATCGTCGGCTATCCTATCCTGCCACTGGTGCGTCAGTTATCCACCATTTGCGGCGAAGAGGCTGGCAAGTACGTACACTGGGGCGCCACGACACAAGATATAATGGACTTGGCCAGTGTTTTGCAAATGAAGGAGGGACTGAGCGTTGTGGAGCGATTACTGAAGGATGTTATCGGCACATTGCGAAAACTCTCGGAGAAGTACAGAGATACCCCCATGGCGGGCCGGACACATCTCCAGCATGCACTGCCGGTGACATTTGGGTACAAATGTGCTGTATGGCTATCGGGATTCCAGCGACATCTGCAGCGACTGGAACAGCTCAAGGAGAGAACATTGTTGGTGCAGTTTGGCGGAGCGGCCGGCTCGTTAGCATCACTGGGATCAGGCGACGACGGTCTCCGAGTCCGAAAGGCGCTTGCACAAGAGCTTGGACTGAGCAATCCCTCAATTACATGGCACGTTGCTCGCGATGGTGTGGCGGAGATTGCCAACTTTCTAGCTTTGATGGGCGGATCCATGGGCAAACTGGCCTTGGACATTATCCTTATGTCCTCGAACGAGTTGAGCGAGGTAGCCGAACCCTTTGTGCCTCATCGCGGCGCATCATCAACCATGCCGCAGAAACGCAACCCAATTTCTAGTGAGGTAATTTTGGCTGCGTCCAAGATCCTGCGATCGAATGCAGGCCTTGTGCTTGATGGAATGGTAGCCGATTTCGAGCGTGCCTCGGGTCCCTGGCATCTAGAATGGGTTGCTGTGCCAGAGAGCTTTGTTATTGCTGTGGGTGCTCTGTCGCAGACGAATTTTGCACTATCTGGGCTTTCCGTGAATAGCAAGCAGATGATGGAGAATCTCCACTCTACAAAGGGACTGATCGTGGCTGAGGCAGTTATGATGGGGATGGCACCGCATGTTGGGCGCCAACGGGCTCATGATATTGTCTATGAGGCATGTCGAGAGAGTATTGAGAAAGACCGGACCTTGCTTGAGTGTCTCGTGGAGAAGGAAGAAGTCACGGCGAAGATGAACAGCGAGAAGTTGAGGGAGTTGTGTGATCCGGTAAACTACCTGGGAGCTTCCGCGCGGATGGTGGATGATGTACTGGCAATGGAATAGCCGATATATACTAGAGTATCTACAGCATTATGATGTGTGATGTATTCTTGTAAGGTTGATCTAAATATTTCCCTTTTAGACCTCTTTGAAAAGTCCTGATGCAGCATGCAGCATTTTGTGTTTATCCGTTCACGCCCTGGGCAATTATTTCTTCAAGAAAGTCAAAGCAGCAAGACACAACGCATCCACTCCAACTCTCATCGTTGGCTGAATAACGGGCGCGAAAAGTGCCGAGTGGTTCCCCGGTATCTCTTCTGTGCGAGAATCTGCCTGTGCCTTATCCCAAAGCTCAGGATCAATGCCTCCAAGGAGCCAAAAACAGCTAGGAAGCCCCCGGCAGGTTGCCAGTGTAGAAAAATCTTCGCTAACATTGGTTCGCTGTACGTCATCATCGAAGTCTTCAAAGTGAGTCGCAAATGTCGCGGCAACTTGAGACGCAGTATCTTTGTCGTTCAGGGTAGGTGGGAAGCGTCTTGTTGGAGTAAACACCGGCGGCTTGGGCGAGCCACTCGCCGCGCACTCGGCCTCGACGATGCGCTTGATCGCAGAGATTATTTGTTCCCGAATCTCCACTTTGACAGACCGAAAGTCAACACCGATCTCGGCTCTGTCGGTAATGATATTTTCTGTCTGCCCCGCCTGGAGACTTCCCACGGTCAAGACGGCGAGGTCGCTTGGATTGATCTCTCTGCTCACGATACTCTGTAGTCGAACAACAATGTGCGCAGCGAGAAGCACTGGATCTACCGTCTGATGAGGCTGAGATCCATGGCCACCACGCCCAAAGACTGTGATCTTCATGCTGTCGGCCGCAGCCATAATGGCTCCAGGGCGTGAGCCAACGCTTCCTGCTCGCATCCTCATAACATGTTGACCCAGGACATAATCAGGAACTGGAATCTTTGAGTAAAGTCCATCGTCAACCATCGCTTGTGCACCTCCACCTCGCTCTTCGTCCGGTTGGAACAGCACGATTAAAGTCCCGCTCCAGGCATTCCGCATTTTTACAAGCGTCTCTGCAGATGCTAGAAGACATGTAATGTGCATGTCGTGGCCACAAGCATGCATCACCGGCTTTTCATTCCCATCGGCATCGCGCATAGTGACGGAGCTTGCATAGTGGAGCCCGGTCAGCTCTTTCACTGGAAGTGCATCCATGTCCGCTCGCAGGAGCACAGTCTTGCCCTCGCCATTTCGAAACACCCCCGCAAGGCCGTAGCCTCCGATGTTGGTGTGAAGCTCATAGACTTTCAGTTGGGCGAGATGGGCCGCGAGCGTTTCCGATGTAGATTTCTCTTGCCGAGAGAGTTCGGGATGCGCGTGGAAATATTTGTACAGGTCCTCGTAGGGAGTCAAGTCCAAAGATGCTGTCTTGAGAATTTCTGATAACGTTGACTGTACCATCTTGAGTAATGCCAACGGGTGGTAGGCGTGGAAGGATGAAAGTCAGCGCAAGGCTGGAGGTGATTCAGACGCTGGTTCGCGCCTTCCAAATACGGATTAGGGTGGTTTCGGGTACGATCGAGACACAAAGCACGAATGTCCACGATATTGTCGATATCTACTATGTATAATTACTATTAAAAAGGTGTTTATAGCGGCTTTGATTAGACAATTCCTAGTTCTATATTTTTTCGGCTCTCGTGTACTCGCACCTATTTCCGGATCCGGCTTCTCCACATCCACATAAGGCCCCGCAAGTAGTTACGCACGAACCCTGTCGTTATCTTGCTCCAGTATCCAATTCTAAAAACAAGATCTATTGGTGGCTACGTATGTATTCTGATACCCATGTGGGTCTAGTCAGCATGTGGGAGCTGTGCAACCTGTAGGAGCTATGTAGCTGCGGGTGCCCCATATGGGTTTTAGCAACTGGGGAAGGTAACACGGCCGGTTCATGAAATAAAAACACACAGCAGAGTCTTACTTGCTACAACTATATGATATTATCTCAGAGTTGTCTTTTCACTACCTTTGTTTTCGATAAACAACCGCGACAATGTCTGTTCCGCCCATCCAAGAGAGGAAGCCAGTCAAAGACATGCAAAAGGTCTTCCATTATACGGATACAATGAGCCGCAAGCCTACACGGGACAACGATCCATACGAATACATGGCAGGCTTTGGTAACCGCCACCAGTCCGAGGTCATTCCAGGCACCCTCCCAGCCGGACAGAACAACCCCCAAGAACCCCGTTTTGGCTTGTATACGGAGGGTATCACATACTCGGCTTTTGCAGCGCCGAGACATGCAAATTTTAGCACTTATATGTATCGAGTACGGCCAGCTGCAGCTCATAGTATGTCTTGTTTGTGCTGGGCACATTACCGTGAAGGGACTAACCACTAGTACACAAAGACGGCTACAAAGCCAATATCCCCAACAAGGCCGATATCGAGAACTGCTTTTTGTCTATTAACCCCAAGGTTGCCACGCTAGCAGAGCAAGGAGAGTGGGCACCGTTCCCGCTGCCCAAGGATGACGAGAAAATCGACTTCGTGGATGGACTGCACACGGTTGGAGGCAGCGGAGACCCCAACTTGCGTGAGGGCATTGCGCTTTATGTCTTCATGATCAATACCGACATGGACCACCGCGCCTTCTGCAACACCGATGGTGATTTCCTGATTGTTGCGCAGTTGGGAAACCTAGATATCCAAACAGAGCTGGGGAAGATATTTCTACAACCTGGCGAGGTCTGCGTGATTCCTCGTGGAATTCGGTTTTCCATTCGCCTTGGTCCTGGACATGACGTTGCTCGGGGCTATATCACTGAAATCTGGGGCTCCCGCTTCGAGTTGCCCGACCTAGGGCCTCTGGGAGGACACGGACTTGCAAACCCACGCGACTTCTTGCATCCTGTCGCCTTCATCGATGAGAATCTTCATGAAGATTGGTCGATTGTCAACAAGAATAATGGACAGTACCATGCCATTGAGCAAGACCACAGCCCGTTTGATCTTGTGGCGTGGCATGGCAACGTCGTTCCCTACAAGGTATGGATGAAATCCGTTCTGCTATATGCTAAATATTGCTAATACGAGCTTCTTCAGTACGACCTGACCAAGTTCGCCTCGCAGAACGCTACCTCTATCGACCACACCGACCCGTCGGTCAACTGCGTGCTCACGGCCCCATCGCGTGACCCTGTCGCGCCGCTGGTTGATTTCCTATGGTTTGGACCGCGATGGGACACTGCGTCCAACACATTCCGCCTGCCGTACTTCCACCGCAACTCGGCGACAGAGTTTCTGGCTTGCCTGTATGGAAGTGGGCTGGGTCGCTCAGATGAGTTTCTTCCTGGCGGCGGCAGCGTAGAGATCAGCCATACGCCACACGGAAATTTCAGCGATGCCTATGTGTATGAAATGCGCAATCAAGTGAATGAGCCCCGCAAGATTCTCGAAAGTAAGTGATGCAAGTCTCAATCCATGTATGCTGCTGATTTTAAATGTTGTGAAGACCAAATGACTATCATGATCGAGAGCAGTCGGTCTTTCCTGTTTACTGAGTATGCTCGGAGTGGCTGCGGCACATTCAAAGATCAGGGCACTGATCCCAAGGCGTGGGACGCGCTACCGGTAAGTCTATGTTGGGGAATTTGTATACGCAGTTTAGGGCTAACTGACTGCAGGACAAATTTTCGTCGTATCCGCATATCCAGGAGATCCTGAAACAGGTCAAGGCGGACAAGGAGGCACGCAAGCAGCGCCTGGAAACATACTGTGACGACGATCGCCTGGCCGCACTGGTGTCGCAGTTGGGCCAGTAAGTAGACGCTCGGGTCTTGAAGCTCATCTCCAACTGCCGGGAGGATGGGTGGGGAGCCAATGAGGGGCCGGGTAGTGGCGATGAGCCCCGTCTCGAGGCTCGCTGCTTACCTTTTTCCGGATTGCGTTGCTTGCATCTTTGTTGCTCATGCGATCTGCGGGGGTCTGGTTGTTCTTAGGGCCCAATGATGGTTCTTTTCTGGCCTTTTCCCCCACGGGGGAAGTCCTGTGGCTTGTATACCAAGTAATTTAGCCTCAGCTCCATAACCTAGGTGATTTAATCGTGCTATTCGGAGCAAGCCTCTTGGAGACCTTTCCCCTAAGTTTGTATAGAGAAACTGGAGCAGAACTTATTGTACCGCCATCATTATATCCCTCTCTCCCACTGTTTATTTTCAGGCACAAATGTGCCAGTTCCACCGTTCGCCGGTTCTTGATCGCCCGGCTTAACCCCGGCGGTTTTGGTATTGTTAATAACGGTCACAAAACAACGCGACTGGCGGAACAATGCCAAAATTATGACGTATGTACCATACCAATACTCTTCCCGCTGACTAACACCGGACAGCTTCCCCTCTCCACCGACGGTGCTCTTTCCTTCTTCGTCAAATTCTCCCTGTGATAGCAGCTTTATTTAATCGCCATTAGCTTCAGACTGCATTTCCCGAGCTAGCCTGCTGAGCATATGCTATGCGCTGTAGTCGCCGATCCATCTCTCGCTGATCCGCGAGCTCCGTCATGGTCCTGCGCAAGTGCAACATCTGTGATCGCCGGTTCAAGAAAACAGAACATTTCAAGCGCCATGAGCGGTCACGTCAGTCCAGAGGTCTTGGGATAATATATCTGATTCTGACACTCGAGTTAGATACGAAGGAACGTCCCTATGAATGCAATGTCTGCCATAAACGGTTTTCTCGCAGGTAAAGACCCAAATTACGATGCGCTTGTTTCATGATATCTGATGGTCTCGACTCTAGTGATGTGTTGAGTCGACATGCCAAAGGCCACAATAATCCGAATAGTCGTACGGCCGCCGGGGCTAAGATCGAAGATGCTGCTGCGGCTGGTCAAGCTCAAGAGCGTCGGTCCTCTGTGATGCCGGGCACGTCGATGGTTGCCGGACCTGAAAATGGCGTTCATATGTTGCCCAGCTTTGGTACAGAGGCACATCAATTACCGAGTTTCCCAGCGACACCGGCCCTCTCAGCACCGGGTATCCCACCATCCTCTCTTGATTTCCTGGCAGATATCTCAGCGCATCATGCTCGAACAGAGCCGGAGATTCACCAGATGATGATTGATGAACAGCAGCCGTATTTCGGGTGGAATGAAGTGACGCCTGCCGACCAAGCCTCCCACAGACCCGGCGTGGCATTCGACTCAGTGCCAAACGACATGTTGCAGATGTGGCTTGAGCCCCGGACAGACTCGGGATCGAATAACGGCTCGCTTGATTTGATGCGGGAGGGTCATTTTCCTTTAATAGGGGACAACGCGGTCGTTTCGCCAGACCGGCAGAACCGACATTCGATCGATAGCGGCAAGTCTGGCGGAGACAATATTCCAAATGAAAGATTCTCCAAAGTCCAGCGATGCTGGCTGACTCCACCCAATCACGCCAGTCGACTTATGAACACTTTATGGCATGACATGGTCTACAGCCCCGCGGATAACGTGTTCACGGTGAATTCGTTGCATGTCCCCGGCGAGTCCAGTCTACTTCAAGGGTCGCGATGCGGAATTGATGAGGACTGCAGACGCCGTCTTCAGGCGGCCTTTGGGCAGCCAGTGTTCACTCAGCCCAATATGCAATCTCCCAACCGCAATGGTCTTTCCCCCGCCGCGCTTAACATGACTGTCAATGGCCTACCCGCCTTTCCTCCCGCAGAGATCTTGGATATGGCTCTCGACCTTTATTTTCGCAATTTCCACCCTCTCGTGCCATTTGTACATCTTCCGACCTTCTCAGCGCAGAAGACGCATGTTCCACTGCTTCATGTCATGTGCCTTATCGGCATGATGCTGCTGGGAACCAAGGGGACCACTAGTTATGTGGTCAAAAATTTCACTGTAGGTCAAATCCTCATTAATCGTCTTTTTCTGTACTGACAATCATGCATAGAGCACACTGGAAAAGGTGACTGCTGAGTTATCAAAGTGTTCAATGGGGATCGAGAGTGCATCCGGCTCTGTGTCCACTTTTGCCACGGCGTTTCTCTTTTTGAGCCTCGCCACATTGACTGGCGTAAGATTGGCTTGTCTTTGTTCGTCCTCGCTTGATACTAATTCACGATTCAGGAGAAAGCACACTTAGAGCAATGCCAGATGCTTTACGTGAGTCTGATGTCGGTAAGTATGGTTTCCATGTGGATTCCAAACTTTGGCTCTAACATAGATCACAGATCACACAACGGCATGGCCTATTTGCGGCAACTGAAGGGCAGATCCTCGACATGAGCCTGTTCGAGGCAGTCCCCGATATCGACATGAGATGGAAGGCATGGAGTAAAGTTGAGTCCGCTAAGAGGTGACTGCCAGTGTTTTGTTAAGTAGAGGACGTTCTGACACAGGCTGAACAGGGTCGTCATCGGGCTCCTCCTTGTGGATTCCTGGTACTCTTCCTTCCTATCTACGAGCCCAGTCATAGTCCCCGACTCCATCAAAGTCATCCTTCCCTGCAACGAAGCCCTATTCAGCGCCCACTCCTCAATGCGCTGGACGCAGCTCATCCGCAACGGAAAACGGATCTTGATGCCGACGGTGCTGGCACCGTCTGAGAACATCAACATCCCGACCCTCGACGGACCCGCCGACGACTTCTGCATCCACACCGTTCTCGCAATGGTCCAGCTCCGCCAGTCAGAAGCATACCATCGCCTCCTCTCCAATCGTGCCAGCTACCCTTTCGCCCCCTGTCACACATACGCCATGGACGGGCGGGCCCGATGCCTTCCCTCCCTGCAACTCCAGCTCATCAGTACCTACGGCGAAAATATGGAATCCATGAACCCAAATGCCTCGGTCATGTGGCACAACATGTGCATGACCCTGACGGCAGATATCCAGATCTTCGATCTCGCCGCTGGCCGGGCCGGCCCCGGCCCTGCGCGCAAAGCTCTCGACAATATTGCAGAGTGGTCACAAACCCCCGCAGCGCGCCGTGCCTGTCTCCACGCCGCACATATCTACCGCGCTATGACAAATCGCAAAGCATCAGACCCTCCAACGTTTCACTCCGTTTTCGCTGTCTTCTCCGCAGCACTTGTGCTGGGTCTGTACACGTTCATGGTGCCCAGCTCCGCATCCTCGCCGGCCGGCCTCGGTTCTGTCGAATTACTGGATGATATCGACTGGCATCAGATTGGCACCGAGGGTTTCACAAGTTTCATGGACCCGCGCGGTAGTCAGGACTTTTCTCCGACAGATGACCCCGCCGTCAACTTCATCCGTAACGGCGCGACGATCTACCTGCGCGGCGTGCCTTTTCAAGGCGGCTACCAGTCTGCTCGCCGGATTCTCTTGGACTATGCGGGTCTCCTGAAAGACTCGGGGAAGTGGAGCGTGAAGAAGTTCTCGTATATTTTGCATATCATGAGCGATGTGCTTATGGATGTCGAGTGAATCGACTTGTCTTCTAGCTGGGCTAGGGAGACTTTGTCTTGCAATGTATACTACTCCATACGCCGGCAGGTTGGTTGATTCCTTTGGGTTTATTACGACGAGCACTCGGGGATGTATCTAATGAATAAACGACTCCAAGTTCTCACCAACCGGCCCCTTCTTCTCACATCTAGTGTTCATGCTTCTCATGCTTGTGTATCCCTCCGTCGCGATGTTCCAACTGCGCTTTGGGCACAATGTAATGGTGCAAGGTCTCCCGAATCTGGGTCTTCTGCTCAAATGCATAAGCCATCTCAATCAGCGTCGGCTCACTCCACTTCAGCCCCATGAACGCCAGACCCATGGGAACACCAGGAGCCACAGAGGTCAAATTCCACGGAGGAGAGAGCTGCACGTGCGTTCCTGCGGGATATGCACCCATCGGCACAGTAACGACCGGTCCGCCCACCACAGCTGAAACGGGGTATCCCAGGTTCGTTGGCAGAATCACCGCATCGAGGTTTCCTCTCTCGATAGCACCGTAGACACCACCTTCTCCGCCAAAGTACAAGTTTTGTTCGTACAGCGGCCAGAAGTCAGGCGATGTGTTGTTGATGCCCGCTTCAAGGGCGTGGTCCCATGTCCCCGTGTTCCGGGCCGGCCATTTCTCGAGAGGAAACCCGTGCGTGAAGGAACGTACGTCTGCAAGGCTGTGCACGTTTTGAGGGTTTGTTTTCAGCTCGGAGAGATAGGTCGCCAGGTTACTGATGAAGTCCGCTTCCAGGACGGTTTCGCTGGCACTACTCTTCTGGAAGTTTTCGTACGCGGTGAAACTAGTGTCTTCGACGATGATGGCACCGAGTTCCTTGAGGACTTTGATGCTAGCCTCGAATGCGGCGTAGTAGGGCGCCATCGCGGGGCCGTTGTTTATGGCGAGCACGTTGCGCGGGATACCGATGCGCTTGCCCTTCAGGCCATCTTCTTTGCAGTACTGCGCGTAGTCTGGGACGTGCTGTCTGTAGGGGCTGGCTAGGGTATAGTTGTCGTGCGGGTCCTGGCCAGCGATGGCACTGAGGACTAGGGCCGCGTCTTGAACGGTGCGGGCCATGGGGCCAACGGTATCCTGGCGCTCGCTGATGGGGATGACCAGGTAGCGAGAGGTGAGTCCGACGGTTGGTTTGATGCCCACAAGACCGCTCTTTTCACTAGGGCTGGTGATACTCCCGGAAGTCTGGATATGCTACATTAGAGGCAATGTTTAAGTCAGATCGAGAGGAGCCGTTCCTCACCTCAGTGCCCAAACAGGCATATGCAAGACCCAGATCGGAGGCAACACCGCTCCCACTGGAAGACCCGCTAGGATCCTGGTTGGGGACATGGGCCGCGATAACCTGTCCGCCCCATGCACTCCAGCCGTTGGACGAGTTAGTGGAGCGGAAATTGGCCCACTGGGAGAGATTGGTCTTGCCCAGGATGATCATGCCTGCTTTGCGCAGTCTGGCTGCGATGGTCGAGTCTGAGATAGGTTTCGCATCCATTAGGGCATACGAGCCAGCTGTACACATATTAGTTGGTGAGCGTACACAGGTATCCGCCAAGTGTGGAAGAGTACATACCGTTTGTTTGAAGATCATCATCTGTGCCGATATTCTCTTTGATAAGAATCGGGAGGCCATGAAGCGGTCTATAACACTGGGGATTAGTTACCTTGAATGGTTACTCAACTGACAAGAGAGAGATATGCGCACCCTCTGATAGTTCCCTTCCTCCGCTCTTCATCCAGTTCTTTAGCAATCTCGTACGCCTCCGTATTCAGTTCAACAACCGCTCGAACGGTTGAATTGACTTCTGCAGTTCTTCTGATGTATGCCTGATATCCTTTATCAGAAACAAGCCATTGCGATAGTCAGTGTCACTCACGTCAACAAGATCCACGCTCGTAAAACAGCCCGCGTGAAGTCCATGCTGAAGCTCTGCGGCTGTGGCAGTGAGGAGATCCGGATAGGTACATTTTGCAGCTAGAATTGATACTTGGTAAGAATTTATGTCCCAAGTTGCTTGTCAAGGACTTCGTACCAGTGGGAATCGAGCAGAATACTGCTGCGATCAAGCCCACAACAGCTACTCCGAGAATTGTCATTCTTGTCAAGAACATCCGAGATTATTTTATTAATTCTCCCGGTTTTCTCTTCTAGGCATCGGGGTAAATCGCCCCGCTTTATACCTCGTCAGCCCTTATCTAACCCGCCTTCCAGTTCAGTAAAAGCGCGGTTCCTGCCGCCTATCATCGCCCAGCTAGGCAGGTGGCATTCTACCACTGCCCGATTCCTTACATCTCTAATCAATTCCGATGTATATGTGTGTGTCGCTTGTTCTATGTACTGTCCCCGACTCTAATGCTGTATGTACAAAAGGGTATAAATGCTTCCTTTACCGATATAAAATGCCATCGACCATCTGCCCAATTGCCAAACTGCTCGTCAACCCTGGACTCTCAATGCCCAACAAATTCACAAACCCAGGAAACCCCTCCTCTTCTTGAATCACAAAATCCTGAAACCCCTTCCCCTCGTTAACACCCGCTCCGCGACCAAGCTTAGGTCGAATCCCACAGTAATCCAGCGAGATAGCGGACACATCCACGCCCGGCAGGTAGGCTTGGATCTCAGGGAGAGCTTGCTCCAGTCGAGCCGGCGAGGGCTTGAGATCATTTGGGTCGTCGACCCATTCAACGTCTGGTCCGAAGCGGATGCGCCCGCCCATGTCTAGTGTGAGATGAGTGCCGAGTCCACCGTGGCCTGGTACAGTAGCTGGGTAAACGAGGACGGACGTTTTGGGTCGTGATGCAGCGTACGAGAAGTACGTTCCCTTGGCATAATGCGGAACACGGTGGCGGTCTGGTGGGAGAAGCATATTACTGATTGCGCAGGCGCCGTGTCCAGCACTGTTAATCAGCGTCTCGGTGGTAATCGTCGTCTCGGAGCCGTCCTCGTCAGACACGGCCGTAATTTCATAGCCGCCGGCGGCCACGGGCTGGATATTCGTCACGCGCGTCTTGAAAGCGACATCGCCGCCGCGTTCCTCGAATGAACCCTGTAGGTATGTCATGAGTGCATGGCTGTCCACGATGCCCGTCGTCTCGCTCTCCACTATCCCGGCATCGGCTCTGACGTCTGGTTCGCGCTGCAGCGCTTCTTCCCGTGATACCAGCCGCGTGGGCGCATCACCTAGTCCCTGTGCGTGCTTGTGGACTTTCAGACACACATCCCATTGAGCGGCCGTCTGCGCGACGATCCATTTCTTCGTGTTGCGGTGGGGGATACCGTGGGTGGAGCATAGGTCGTAGAGCATGTTCCGGCCTTGGATGCAGAGTTTTGTTTTCAGGGAGTTGGCCGGGTAGTAGAGGCCGGCGTGTATGACCTGGACAGAGCTTGTACGTTAGTCCTTGAGCTCTTGGTGTTGGCTGCTTTGGGGGCATTATACCTCGGAATTGCGGCTGCTAGTCTCCGTCCCCGGTGCATCGTGTCTCTCTAGGAGGATAGTCGAGGTGCCCTCTCGCGCGGCGAGCTGGCGCGCAGCCGCCAGACCGACGACTCCGGCACCAATTACCTGGTGAAGGAGAAGTTGAATCAGCGGGGGTTTGTTCTTCCGGCTATGCTTAGGCGGTAGAAGAAAAGTGGACTCACTGCATGTGTGAAATCTGCATTGGAGGAGCGTGTAGTAGAGAAGAAACGGCGAAGCGGCAGCCTCGCAAGGATTGATGGGCGTGGCGGCATAATGTGTGGTGAAGGAGAGAGCAAGAGTTGAGTTGAGGTGAAGACAGACGTAATTTACAGCGCCGATCAGACCCGCACTTGGCGACACCCCAGAACTATGGATGCATCTAGATGAGAAGGAGTTGATCGAGGAACTTTGCGGTATGATGTAGCTGCACTGGCTTCATTATTAGGTAGCAACAAGTGTACACGCTCCAATTGGATTCTCTATATACGGTTTATGGGGCACGCAGTACTGCGCACCAATATCTAACGCTTGCTGCAATTCCGAAGCATCTCATCCAAATGCTTAAGAGGCAGGTTAGCCAATAATCATAAATCATCATTGAGCAAACTCACCTGTCGTCGCTCTGTCGCTAGTTTGCCTTGGGTATCCTGCAGTCGGCCAGTCAGTCAACATAACTCCTCTGTAAGGTATCACAGACAACATACACTAATGATGGTTAAAATCAAGGAATAATTGTTGAACAAAAATCGCTCGCGCCGCTTCGCGTCCGTGCCATTTCGACTCAGTTTCGCCAGGAGAGCATCGAATTCGGCAGTCAGGCGAGCTAAGCTGTTGGATACCGGCTCGTCATCTCCCGCATCACTGCTGAGGACTAAGATGCCATGTAGAAGCTGACCAAACCGTTGGGTGAGGAAGTGCGGAGCCGAGGACGTTTTCAAGTCATCCCCGCCCGCGATGGACAGTGCAGCACCTGCACTGCGACCGGTATTCGATCCGACTCGCTTCAGCGACTCATTGTGGAGATCCATGATGACCTGGAACCGGGGCCATAGGCGCATATTAATCCCATTAACATAGGAGTCGGCCACGGGCACCTTGCGCCGTTGTAACTCAAAGGCCGAGTGCTGGTTAAGACGAACACAGATCAAAACGCCAAGGGAGTCGGTGGTGTTGTCGATCAATTTCTTTGTCAGATTCTGGCCAAGGGTGAAAACTGGCTCGAAGATGTCCATCGCCATTCGCGATATTTGATGGAATGACAAAGCAGAGAAGAACTCGGTGAGGAAAGAGTATTCGGCAGAGATGTTGTCCACGAGGGCGACGTTGAAGTTCCGGAATGGTAATTCAATGCCATGGAAATGGTTGTCTTCCTCGGCCAGATATGAGGATAATGCCTGCGGGTTACTGGTTCGGAGAATATCAATCCGCCTGCCCAAGGAAAATGGGTCGTGTGCGGCAGAGCCAGCTCTGCCGCTGTGGGTATGTCCTGGAGAGGGGCGTCAGCATTTTGTCTTGCTGATGTACTGAACGAAACCTACCTGTTCGGTGTCCGGAAGGCTCGCCTCCAAGTACTTCGTTCCGGTCACTAGGCCAGATCTTGATTTTCTCGAGTGCCTGCAGATACCGCGTAAAATTGGAGGTATAGTACCAGCGCATGGTGTTGATGTATGCTTGTGAGATCTCACCCGCCAGATTTGAGTGGGCCTTGGTCAGGTAGCTGAATAGATCTTTAAACTTTACCAGCCGTTGCTGCTGGATGATCTGCGAGTTGATGTTCGGGGACCGCATCGCACGGATCTGCGCCACCAAGTAGTCCCTGATTCGTTCGAGCGCCTACATCATCGTTAATCCAAGATCCGACTCGTGAGCGGCAGCAAACGCACCTTGTTCTTCACATCTTCCAGGAGCGGACGAACATCCTCAATCGCTTTGAACCCGTTGGATGCAGACGCCTTGGTTTCGATATTCGTCGTACGGGCGTCGATTTCATTCAGGGCGCGCACCCAATTCTCATCCACAGGACCCTCAACAATGGTTCGGATGGTTTTCGGGGCGATACTGATCTCCTCCACGGCCGGACCCAGCAGACGCTCGACATTGCGCCGATTATCCAACATGGCGTTCAATTGGGTGGAGCGAGACTGCAGGGACTCGATTTCCGCCGACACGGCGCCCAGTTCAGTCTGAAAGTCATTCAGGTAGAGTTCGACCGACTTGCACACGTCGTCGCAGCCTGTGATGGACGTGTGGAGATCCTGAAACTTGTCACGTTCCTTCTCGAACTGCTGGATTGTTTGGGCGTTGACATCACTGCCTCGAGACTTTTTCACCAGCGCCCGTTCTTGCTCCCCAGCCACGAATTCCTCGAGGCTGCGCCCGTCAAAATGCACGACTTCCACCAGCTGCACGGGTCGGCTGTCCAATTGCGCGGATCGTCGGGGGAGATCTTTCTCGGTCTGGGTTTCCTTTCCAATGATCCCGCTCAACACTTCCAGCGGATCTGGAACATTGGCCGGACGGGGTCGGCGAACATTGGTTTCCTTGGTCTCTGGTCGCGGGAGGGAGGTGGTGGATCCGCTCACGGTGAGCAGGGAGGTGGTGGACGACGCGCGCGACACGGGCCCAGGACGGCCGTGTGGACTCGGGGACAGATGGGATGAACGGGGCGGCAAGGGTGAGATGCTGCGATTAGCCCCGGAGGGAGTCGAGGTGCCGGAGATGCGGTCGCGCCACATTCTCTTGATCCATGTGAGGTGGTTCAGTGTACAGAAGGAACTCCAGGCCAGACGCTATGGACGGGAAGTACACTAAACCCCTTCGGGCCGTAGCGACACGGGCGCCCCGCCACAACAAAAATCGCTTTTTTTCTTCCTTCTTCTTCTCCCCCTCCACTTTCTTCCCTTATACCATTGATCGCTTTCCTTTTTATCTCGCTTTTTGACACTCACTAATCTTTCACCATGGCTGACGAGGTATGTCTCTCCTTGCCATCCCCCAGTCTCCCTTCCCTTCTGCCCTCGATCTGCCTTGGTCTCTCCCAGCCCCGCATCTCATGCGGCTCCCCCCCTCTCTCTTGCCCTCGGGTGCCATTTTACACTTATGTACCATACTAACTGGCCACGTCCAGCATGATGTCAACTTCGACTCGGTGGATGCCGGTGCGTCCACCACCTTCCCCATGCAGTGCTCGGCTCTGCGCAAGAACGGTCACGTTGTCATCAAGGGCCGCCCCTGCAAGATCGTCGACATGTCCACCTCCAAGACGGGCAAGCACGGTCACGCCAAGGTCCACCTGGTCGCCATTGACATCTTCACCGGCAAGAAGCTGGAGGATCTGTCTCCCTCCACCCACAACATGGATGTCCCCAACGTCTCTCGCAAGGAGTACCAGCTGGTGCGTAGTCCCCACTAAGAGAGAGGGGAAACCGCACAGACACTGACCTTTCCTTCTAGCTGGATATCACTGACGACGACTTCCTGTCCCTGATGGACGAGTCTGGTTCCACCAAGGACGACGTCAAGGTCCCCGAGGGCGATATTGGTGCCCGCATCATCAAGATGTTCCGTGAGGAGGAGAAGGACGTCAGTAAGTACACCCGCGACCGTCTTGCGCGGATTCCGTATCTGACCATCACTTCCCAGATGTCGTTGTCCTGACCGCCATGGGTGAGGAGGCCGCCATCGATGTCAAGGAGGCTCCCAAATAAGCGGATCGCTCCCTGGATCGCCTGTGATGTCAACCGTTATGCTCAAAATGGCCTGTGCCACAAAAAATTCATCTTCAATGGTTCAATGGCCGGGTATTGTCTGTATCCACCATCTAGCCTTGGATGTAGGCTGGACCGACGAGAAGAATTGCTTTGGTTGGCAGCATGACTTGTTATCCGAAGATCAGTTCTGAGTCCCAGCATCTCATGATCGTGTGACGAATGAATCCGTAACCTTTGATCGGTTTATTTATTGTTTTTCCAACGTATCCAGTAGATCCTGGTGTTTTTTTTTTGACACTACTTGTACTCTTGAAGTTTTGAAGTTATTTCCAAACCCGTTGGGTGGTCGTGGGCCCGAAGCGGCGGTGACTTTTTTTGCAGAAAAAAAATAGTCTGGGACGTCAACATTATTCACGTAAAGAACATCATCCCTTCCACCCAAACGGACAAGTCATGCCCCGACTGCCCTGGGATGGTGGAATACATCACTCGAGGGGTCTGCGGCCAAGAAGGATGCCGGACACGGCGCTACTATCTTGACGAGGGCCTGTGGTTCTGCAAGCGCGGCCACCGACAAGCGGTAGGAGAACGCCCCTCTCGTCCTGTCCCGACGGTGTCAAAAGATACGCCGGAATCACACAAGGCTAAACTATCGTGCAGGGCGTCCAAGTCGAAGAAGATCCTGAGGATTTCGCCAAGCAGGGCAAGACGCATCGGGTGAAACGTGCCGCGACCGAGAAGTCTAGAAAGAGTACGGTGACCACCCACTTTCTCTCGCCGGACGCGCTGACACTGCAATAAAGCATTTCGCGGTCGCCAGGCATATACACTTTTCCTGCAGGCCTACCAGTTGATCCTCTGGAAACAGTGCCATGTCTTGGTTCGCGAGCAAGGCTTTCCCGAGCAGTTCGAGGTACGTTGACGAACGGCTCGAAGGGATGTGTGTGAGACTAAGACATTTGTTTAGACTGTCGTTCGCGACCTCTGGGCTCTCCGGCTGCAGGACTACGCATTGAAGATCAATGAATCCCTCGAGGAGGACGAGTCGGAGCCGGAGCTCTTCAGTTCGCAGCAAACCGAAAAGGACGAGTCGCAAGACTTGGGCTTCAAACCTCGTGGGAAGTACCTGGCCTGGCCTCGTCTCATCGATTCCATTGGTCTATGTTATCTCGCTGCCCTCATAATGCGGCTTCCGATTTGTGTCAGTGATTTTCATCGGTATGTACCTTGATCTCCTCTTGTTATAAAGGTGGTTGACATTTGCTGCAGTCTGGTCATCCGGCAAGATGTTCCCTACATCCGCGTGGTGAGGGAAATCCCTCGCGAGATGAGAGATAAATTTCCCCCCGAATTCCTATCACTGCTCGAGGTCAGCGTATGTACTCTACTGTGTGTCTCCTCGGGGAATACGCTGACTTTTGTCATCACAGAAACTCCCGAAAGCTGGCCACTTCCAGCGAGCTTTCTTCGAGCTGCAGATATTCTACGAGCGTCGCTTCGGAGTCGTCGTTCCTCCACTGAACTCTCCGCTCATTCTGTATCGTCACATTAAGAGACTGGCTGTTCCAGGTAAGAGAAATCTCCTGGTCTGAACCCTCTGCTGTTGACACGAGATTCTAGTCGAGGTGTACGAAGCAGTCAAGAAACTGCAAGATATAGTGGGTTTCACATACCAATATCCTTTTCGAAAGCAAGGGCGCAAAACGCCGCTCCACCTGCCTGATGTCCAGATCATGGCTCTGATCGTCATTGCCACGAAACTCCTATTCCCATTCGATGGCGTGAAGCGGTATCCGACTACGAGCAACGAGCCTGCTGCTCAGATCATGGACTGGAATATCTGGGCGCAAGCACATAGGCAGTTCGACAGCCATGACCGTCCTGGTGGCGAGATCGGGAAGGGCAATGCTATCCACGTCACTGATAAAGACGTGCTGAATATGACCCCGGCTGAGATGGATCAGTACATGGACTGGTATGCAAATAGCTGGCTGGACACTTCAAGCGGTAAGGAGTGCCGATCTATTATGAAATTGCATTTGACACTGATTTGAACGTCATGTATAGCTACCAACCGTCTTGCCGGGATGTTCCCTATAACCCAGCCAAGTGCGGGCATAGATCCACCTCCGTCTACGACCACAGACCCGGACGAAGCTTTGGAAAAACTGCTACACACCGTGATTCAAGACCTTCGTCCCAGACGAGTTGTCCCAGACGAAGAGCAGGGAGTGTCCCGTCCGGGCTCTAGGTACCAGCGGTGTCTGCCAGGGTCTACATTCACTGGGCCTGAGCAGGCATTTTACGAACTGACAGCCCAGCTCGCCGCTGTTTCGGTACAAACGCTGCTCCGAGCTGTCTCGCACACCGAGTCTCGGGTTGAACGGTTCTTGGATGACCGGAAACTCCTCGAAGACTTTGGCGAGAGCGGTGCGGATGCATTTGATGGCGATGTGCTGGATGATTTGGACGAGCAGATGACAGATCTGGTCATGGGTGATGGTATGGAGATGTAATGTGCATCGCGGCGTCTTTTCTATAATATTAGCGTTATTTTATTTTATAGTAGTGATATCCCGGGTTTTCCCTTCGGTCTCCAGGCCATAGTTGCATGGAGATATGTCACGTGCAACTTAGCCCTATCCACGTGACTTACATTCAAGGGCTACTTCCGTCCCGTGACCACTTTTTCCTAAGCGAGCTCACTCACATTGCCGCCGCCTCTTCCGCCTCGATCTCACCGCGACCGACAACAACGAAAACCCGCAACCAGTACGTACAGTCCCTCCAGATACCTATTTCCGTGTTCCCTTGACCCTTGCAAGCTAACGTATCCTTTTTCCTGCGTTTCCAGTGCAGATGTAGGTCATTCCGAACCCCCATTCCCGTTCCCGGTGCCTCCCAGCCGTGGACCGTCCTCGCAAAGCGTCCCCTCGCCCGATCGAATGAATGCCAGAATCTAATTTCTCTCGAATACAGTTTCGTCAAGACCCTGACGGGTAAGACCATTACCCTCGACGTTGAGTCGAGCGACACCATCGACAACGTCAAGGCCAAGATCCAGGACAAGGAGGGCATTCCCCCGGACCAGCAGCGTCTGATCTTCGCCGGCAAGCAGCTTGAGGATGGCCGTACCCTGAGCGACTACAACATCCAGAAGGTACGAATCCCTGTGTTGTGGAGGATGTGAGCAGTGGGTGGATATCCTCGGATCCGACGTTACGGTTCGAAGGATTTGGGGATGGAAATCCGCTGCATCATCGTTCAAAAGTGGGATCGGTTCATATGAATGGTGGCTAACAACTACGTTTCTCGTTATAGGAGTCCACTCTCCACCTGGTCCTCCGTCTCCGTGGTGGTATCATCGAGCCTTCCCTGAAGGCCCTTGCCTCCAAGTACAACTGCGACAAGTCCATCTGCCGCAAGTGCTACGTACGTGACATGGATACTTCCACGCCCCAGATGACTCTAACTAACCGGTTCCTCCTATAGGCCCGTCTGCCTCCCCGTGCCACCAACTGCCGTAAGAGGAAGTGCGGCCACACCAACCAGCTCCGCCCCAAGAAGAAGCTCAAATAAGCGACTCGCCTCCCTTTTCGTTGTGTTCGGTGTGCGGTGGAGCAGCGTGGTTGGACTGCGACATGGAAGAGGTCTATACATGGCGTTAGAAAATGATGGAACAAATCAATACAGCCACAGTCGGTCGACCTGTTGTTAGTTGGCTCCTCTTGCCTATCGAGTCGCAATTCATGATTTCAATGTTGTAAAAAAAAATCAAGTTGGAATTCAGTGCTCTTTCCTCTCCGCTAGATATAGGTACAATGCTTGCGCACGATGGACATCGTCGCGCGCAAATTAACAGGAAAAAGTGGCCTGCGCCAGGCTGGCCGGAAATACACAGGAGTCCTAGCATCTCATCTCCATCTTCCCCGTTTACATCATCCACCGACGCTGGTTGTCATCCCCGTCATCATTATTGTCGTGGCCCTTGTGTCCCTTCTTCGCCGGGCTACCGTGTCTAGAAGAGGGAGAAGTGTCAGCCAAGCCAGGTTAGGAAACGACAGAGGGGATGCACTCACGCAAAGAAAAGCACCGTGATAGCAGCAGCCAGAGCAGCATGCAACACGACAACCAAAATCAACAAGATCTTGCTAGCCTTGGCATCCGTAGCATTGAGAACCGGGTAGAGGTTGCGCAGCAGGAAGAACACCGTCCACACGAAGCCAACACCAACAAGTGCCCAGTTCAGCGCCGTCAGCGGACTCCAGCTGACGAGAGCAACCCCAATCCAAACCAAATTCGAGTACCCATACAACGCCCAGCACTCGATCAGATCCGCCGTCGAGCTACCGAACCAGCGCAGCGCACCCCACAGCGCAATCGGCACCACGCCCGTATACCCATAGATCAAACCCGCCGCGCCGGAGAGGAGCTTAAAGTCGTACTCGAAATGCTCGTCGTCACGATTCGCCAACCATTGTGAGATCGTGCCCGTCAGGAAAAGAATCACCACGACGGTCGTCGCGATCCAGATCGGCCCGTACAGGTCCGCGTTGCCCTCTAGCACGTCTAGGAAGTTGGTGCGCGGGTACAGAGCCGCCACGCACCGCCGCAGCACCTCGTTCGTGTCCACATCAAAATACCGCTCGTAGTAGTGCAGCGACCACCAGCTATGCTTGGTCGGTGTGCCGCCGGGTGAGCGGTCCCGGCCACCACCGCGCGATGAACTGCCACCTAAGAATGGGGCGGAGTCGGCTTGGGCTTTGGCGTTGCGCTGGTCAGATTCGAAGTCTGGGGCGTGTCACCGACATGGTCAGTGATGCTCTGTTGTTGTTGGAGGTGAAGGCAACTCACTGGATGGGTGGAATTCAAGGTCCTCTTGCAGGTCGGTATGTCCGAGGTCGCCCTGCGGGTTGAGTGAGCGACAGACTTGGGGTTAATTGGAGGGTTATTGGCATACCTCGGCATCCACATCAACAACCACATCGTAGCCCTGG